AGTACATTTGTCTTGCAAGAATGTCAAGTATTACAATTTTGTCAATCGAATCGAACAAATGAAGACAAAGAGGATTGTGCAAGAAGGTAAGGTGCGTACACTACTTTGCAAACAAATGAAGAATTGAAGTGCATCAATAAGAAAACACCCCAATATTTAAATCATTTTGACTTCATTATCATAGATTTTCCTCGCTTACTTAAGAAACTAAGAGGAAAATAAGACGACTGGGTTCTGGATACCTCCTTCATAATCAACCCATTCACATACCAATAAGATCAAACAAGAAAGAAAAAAGCAGTTCCAAATAGAAAGAAAATCCACCATTGGATCCTTGCCAAAACAAAAGGCCATCGTAGCAAAAGCAATATACACATGATATGTGCAGCTGGGAGATTTTCTAGCATCTAAAAAGTACTTGCGAGCAGATTCAAGACCCTCGGCCCTCCGGAGAAAACGAAGGAACTGCAAAAGCATATAAAAATACATATGAGTGTTTCCAGTGAAAAAAAAAAAAAAAATCCAGAAGTGAAAAAAATTATAGGTGGGAAACAAATGGAGGCGAAAAACATATATCATGAATATGGTGGAAAGATACAATAGTCAGCAGTTGAGAAGCATGTGACTATGAACAAAGGAGATGTGCTTTTATGCCAATCTTAGCAGTCCTAAGTTCTGAACTTTGCTCGTTCTTACTTGTATATGTGCCAAAGAGTTTGTGCTAACCCCCAAAATGCTTTCATATAATTTCTTTGCTGACTGCAAAAGCATACAAATAGCAAAGAGTATGAGAACAAAAGCAACAGCTCAATAAGGAGATTCAAGCAGCAAGGATAAAAACCTGAATTGCTCCACGAGATTCCTCCAACTCAGCATAAGCATATTTCAACATTTCCGAATCTGACATTAGAGAGTGGACAATGTAGACACTTAGAGAAATATAGAAGGGTCGAAACAATAAAACAACTAATTCATAGACATAATGAAAGAGAGGATAGATTAGATACCAGGAATGGCTTTAAGACCTCGCTGAAATATTTTGATTGCAGCATCCGTCGAACCAGATTTTATGTGCCACTCAGCATAGTCATACCATACATCGGGATAGTGATATAAGCACATTAGACACTGTAAAACCAGAGTAATAATCAGTCAATTAAGAAAGAACCGCATTTCGGACATCTCATTGTCTCTTAGAATACCTGTTCATAGACATATATAATCCGCTTAGTTGACAAGGCCGTGTCAATCCTTTGAGGGTTGCTTCTGAAAATTACAATTGTATAAGGAGAAGAATATAGTTATATTTAGAAGGACTGGTTGAAGAATAATATGCATAAGACCCAATCAACACTTGTTGGATGTAACTGGGTAGTAACTCATTCCAGTTTTCAAGTTAATATCATCATTAATCTTAATCAGCAAAATGAGACAGAACAAGGTATAAGTCTCATCATTAGGAGGCATAAACTGAACACAGCCAAATTTCAACCGGGGGACCAATTAACAGTAGCAATATATTGAATCTCTAGCCTTTGTTTTCTTCAAGGTACTAGAAACTCCCGAAGAGAAATGGGTAAGCAACTACGAAATGAATGGGAAAAAAAAAAGATGATGTTTTAGGGGTTTACTTTTCAAAGCATAAGAACTTCTTCCAGGCCACCCATTGAGCTTCTTCCTGCATAAAACCATAAGGCGGTGTAAATTACCAAGGTGAGCAAAATGCTCAATTGAAAAAATGAAAGAACTTATAGCTCAATTTGTATTTTCTATCTTGATAACCTGATCTCATGACGTGAATTTATGCTCATAATGTCATTATAGCCAATTTAAGTCTCAATATATCCAATATTGTCGAATTCAAAAATATAGAAGAAAGTTAGACTTAGCAGTTCCAAAAAGAAGCAATGGATGAGAAATAATTCACCTTCGAAGATCCTGTTGGAGGTATGGCAAGCATATTCCAATCAATTTCTTCAATGTACTTCTTGCGCTCCCTATACACGGCTCTGGCACTGTTAAATTTTGGTTGATACTCATTTACAAGTCCTTTGGCCTGTTCACAGGATAGATTAGATCATCCACCAACCAAACATATCGAAAGAAGTTCGTAAGAAACCACACAAGATTTGTAAAACAAAAGTTTACCAATTGACGGCTAACAGAATTTTCAAAGTTTTCATAATCTTTCCATAGTTGTTCAACATGGTGAGTCGGAGTTAATATAGCTCTCTGATACACTTTTCGTAGAGCAATCTTCCGTTGCGAATCTTCATGGGGGTTAAGAGCCTGCAAGAGAATCAGTTAGTTTCTCTGCAATAATAGAAAATTATTAGTATTAAGGAAAACGTTAGAATGATATAACGAACCGGAAGAGACTTTAGAAAGGTAATGTACTCGGTCCATATAGGTCCAGATGCTATGTCTGTCCCTGGTGATTAATATATCGAATAAACGACCATCAGTAAGGCCCGGGTTATCTTATGTGTTGGCATGTTACGGATGCAAAGTATAAGAATGTGCTTGCTATTGCTGAGGATAATAAAACCCTTATTAACATTTCTCTTAGGAGTGACACACTATCAGCCAAAGAGAATCCCATCATGGACTTTTACTTAGTACCAAAGAGACTCCTAATGCGTAGGAAGATAAAAATAAAAACCATTCCATTGTCACAATGAAGAGTCATGACATGTGAAAAAACGAACAAGGGCATCAACAGTATATGATGAACGTTTGATTCAACAATGATTCAACGACGCATTACTCATTTCAACGCCAGTTATAGGAAACTACAAGAAGTTTAAATAGTGCTAGAGGATTGGACAGAGTTTTCTAGAATTTTCAAGCCATGTGAACACCTCAATGTGAAACACGAAGTGCTTCCATCTACTTATAATCAAAGTACACACGCATATCCGTTACAGTCATCAAGTGTCCCAAATTATAATTTCTATACCTGATACTTAACGATCATGAGATGGATAATATAAACCAGCTTACAACAGTATTACAAATACAATCTGTCAAGACGAAGAACTACCAGAGACTGACGTGACAAAAGTTAGAACGCAGACAAACTCTAGTAACTTGCAAATTTTTTTTGATTGTTAGCAACTATATTTCGCATAATATCGAACAACTCATATCTTTTACTACACAGAACTATTAGCGAAATATTTCCCTCTATTCATCGGACATGTACACAGGACTAGCATGAAAATGAAAAATAAAAAACACAATAGAGCCAAAACTCCTGAAGGGAAGCGATACCAATATAATTAAGCGTAAACTCAAAAGCCTTTGTGGTCTCCTCTTGACCCTCTGCTCCTTTCTTGTCGTAGACCTTTCTGATGAACCGAATGTAACATTGCCTAAGAGAATAAGATGTTTGAATTATATTCAAGGAGATGGAAAGACTTGCATTGTAGCTAAGCAGAAGAAACAGTGAGACGGAAAGATCATGTATTGACTCTTATCAACTAGTAAAAAAGGAAAGCAGTTCATACCAAAGAGGAACTTGAAGGCAGGTCAGCAAGCAACGGCTAAATATCTGTTTCGTAGCATCATCATTGTTTACAGCCATCTGTGCCTCCACATATTGCTTCCAATATCTCGCCTACACAGAAACTCACAATTCAGTAATAAACTTAATAAAACAGGAAACTTTTCAGCACAATAACGCGGCAGTGAAGCCACTGGAAACTTACAGAAGTGGGATACAGTGACAAAAGCTGCTCGTAGATCGGCGTTGCCTGAGCAATCGGTAAGTGCTGAAGGAAGCAAACAAGTTCACGAAATCCAACAATTAAAAAGTCAAGAAAATTTCCACGTCTTACGAGAAATCAAACAAGTATTAAAAAAAATCCGGGGAAAGAGTTGTACCAAGGCTCTCCTGGCCAAAGCCTCTGCTTCCTCGATGTTGTACTTATCAGCCATAAATTTAACACGTTGTACTTAATCAGAAGAACACACCTTCAATTCAATCAGTGGTGATACAAATAAACCCTAATCTGATATTCAGTCATCCGCCGAGTCTAGCCAAAGCTTCTACAGCTTCAATGCCGTAAGTCTCGCCTCAAAAAGGACCCCGTTGTACCTCAGATCGCAAGAACAGAGTCAGAATTTTATCCGGCGATGATATAATTAAACCCTAATCTGACTTTCAACAACTTAACACTCCTCCGACGGGTCTGGCCGAAAAACGGTGGCCGGAACCTATAGCCGAGATGAAGAATGGGGAGACTCAAAGTCCCAGCCTTTAAAAAAGGAAAACAATTTCCGCGGTTCTCTTTTGGGTCGGACTGACTTAAATAAAACAATAGATGAGCATAATTGGGTCTACATTTTAGGCCCATATGATGAAAGTGGGCCTACTGAGCCTACATTATTTATTTAGTCGTTTCTATGAGAGAACATTTTCTCTTTATTTTATTTTATCCTTTCACTAAATTTACGTCTTCTCGAGTATGACGTATAAGGTTTTTTTGCGGATCCGAACGTTGGCGGTTTACGTTGGTGATTAGAGAGCTTCTCCATAAGAAAAGATGCTAGGTATAAAATAGGGTTGGGGAGAAACATTGATTCCAACTTTTTTTTTCTTATATCATAATCACCAGAGAAGATGATGGATGCTTTAACTTCGAAAATAAGAAGAGAAAAGGAATATGAGCAGCTTGTAATATGGTTTGGAGATGTAGATATAAACACTAAGGAACATAGTACAAGATCTCTTAAGACTCCAAAAGTTCACAGACAAATGTGCCATTTGCATCAGACGCTTCTGAGTGGAGCTATTGTAAAGCTAATAAGATTGTGTGACCCCATCCCTACAGGCTTAACTGTTCTATTTTAGTTAGGCTTATGTGATGCTTTGAATAATATAATACCAAGAAGAGCTAATCTGGTTGTAATATGGAAAAATCAAATTCTTCTTCTTGCCTCCATCTAGTTTCTTTTACAGCTTTAAACAATAAACTCGTTGCAATTAAAACAAGTACAGAAAAGCGTGTTGATTATATCAAAGCATCTGGATAGTTGTTCCATATTTCCTGTACAGTAAAAGAATTCTACTACAGAAAACAATCTGATTGGGAAAAATTGTAACTCCGCTACTAAAAGAGGTGGATAACAACATGACGGCCCTGACTTTACTACAGCTAAAAACTTCTTTGACTTGTTGGTCTAATTACCAGTATCTGATCCACGTCCTGAGGAGCTGTCACTGTTAGAATCTGCAGATCATAAGAGAAGTTATGTGAGTTGTGATGCTGATAAGAAAAAGAAAAAAAGAGTTGACACAGAGTTTCTACATTTACCAGTAGAGCAAGATCCTGAGTCACTACTAGAACTGTTAGAACTACTTGATCCACTTGCGTTGTTTTCTTGCCGAACAGGAGATGACGTGCGAATTGCTTTTCCTGGTTAGAGAATATTCATTATTCCACTGGCCTATTTTTCTTTTTTTTTCTGTGTAATAAATACTAGTGCATCCGAATATGGTATGACCTCGTGAGCTAAAACCTTACCTGATTCAGTAACTCTCGATGTTTCGGTGCCAGTTGCTAGAGTGGTCTGCGAAACCAAAAGGAGAAACAATGATATTAGCCAAAATCAGTAAGAGCAGAAGACCTGAATCAAAATTAGCTATGGAAACCTTACTGGTTCTTGGATAATATTGTGAGCAGATTCAGCATCTCTTTCTGAGCCAAATCCCTGATCCTCCTTTTTCTTGCCCAAGCTCTCTTTGTACCCAGTCACGAATCTATAAAGCTCCCAAAGCGTTTCGATGTCGACACTGTCAATATCCAGCTCGATCTCATCATCTTGCTGAGAGAGCTCTGGATTCCTCTTCTTGATAATCTGAACAACTGTCTCTAGTTTGTCATAAGGCAAGTCCTGAAGCTCTTCACTGAGTCTCCGTTTCTCATCCAACGTCAGGTCCCTATTGTTATCAGGCGCTTCCTCTTCTTCTTCGGGCTTATCGGGGGCAGTAGTGACAGTTTCAGGTTCCACTGGTGTTATCATGGATTCTGCTCTCTCCAAAGTAGTCCTATTTTCAAGTACTGGAGGCCGAGGAGGAGCAGGAGGAGGAGATGGGGAAGGTGTAGGAGCTGGTAATGGCTCTACAATAGGCGCAATTGTTGAAGCAGGAACAGAAAACTCGATATCACGAGTTGGTTTGAACTTCCTATGAAGATTATCATACTGCACTTCAATGGAAACCCACTTCTCTTCAAACATGCTCAACAGAAGCTTGGCCATACGATGCACATCATGCCCAATTGGATTATACAAGATGGCATTGTTAAAAGTAAGTCTCACATCTTCAGCGAAATCCAATGGTGAAGTATACATACTTTTACTCAACTTAGCCTTCACTGTGCCCAAATCCATAGGTTCTTTAACAATAGTGTGATAATCATGCAAGCCAAGTCCCTTAGCATCAACTGGCACATTGAATACCCATCCATCCTTGTGCTTCATCAATTTAGTAAGCAAATTGTTGCAGTTCTTGAAAATCTGAACCGTACCTTTATCAGCTCCAAGCCCACCCTTCTTCACTCCATTACCACCTGTTTTCAGCTTCTTGTTTCTCCCTACGGCACCGGTTTTAGCCATGTACCCGAAGTTTCCACCGATGTTACCTTCGGGGTCGAACCGCTTGATCAAGCTCCTAACCTCATCTAACTCAGACATTAGTTTCCGCTTCAAGCTCCTTACCTCAAGCTTCGAAATCGAGCTCAGGCTTATCCTCAACATTTGATGGCCGTCCTCCGACGCAAACGAGTTCGACGGAGACACGAGAGGAGCCGAACGTTCTTGTCTATCAACCACCATTGGCCTGGATCGGTTCTGGCTCTGGTTTCCGCTTGCGCTCCACTTATGCTTCGTCTTCGAAGCTCCACCTTCTGATATATGATCAGAAGACATTCTTCCTGAAAACAAAATTCAGAAACGGAGCAGAAGAATCTAGGGTTTCTCTAGGGTTTTCAGTTCGGAGCACCGAGATTGAGGATTCAGAAATACCAAATCGAAGGTCGACGAAATCGAAAGAGAGGGAAATTAGGTTGAATCGTAATTCAAGAAGATCGCTCTGGATTTGCAAAGACGAAAACCCTAAGGGGAAGAGAGAGCAATGGGGAGGAGAGAATAGAGTAAGCTCACGCGCTTGAATTCACGCGCTTGACCACCCGATAAATTTGGGAGAAAACCAACACATGTGTTAAGTGGGAAAGGGAGGTAAAGTTCTCTCAGGTGTCCCCAACAAAATACCAAACCGGTACCAAGCCGGAAAATACCAATTGAATAATCCCTTTTACGTGACGTGAATCTGTAAAAACCAACTTGTACTTGCTAAATCTTTATGACTTTATCTACCTATATCTCCAAAATTTACAAGATTTGCTTGTACTTGTACTGATTAAACAAACCCAAGTTACGTGACGTCGAATATCTATTTGCTTGTACGTTGACTAATTTTTTACCTTTAAAAGTTTTGTTCCGTAATTTGGTTTTCCAAATTATTGATTGAAGAACATGTTTAGTTATCAATACAACAAATATTGAGACACACAACTTTGTTATTGAATAACACAATAATCACTTAAAAGTTTGTGATTCAGTAATTCTATAAATTGAAATCGTTAGCCTTATTAATGTATGAATATTACCAAATTGTTACATGCATGCTAACATAGGATTATAGAAAAGACAGCATAATTCCACCTAAATTTTATTCCTCTAGTTTGTACAAACCATTAGCAAAATATATAAACCAAATGCTCCAAATTGTAAGCCAATACGCCTTTCTATTCATACTAATTAAAATGAGAAGTTGTAATATCTATCAGAAAATGGAAAGTAAACGTTAAAAAGAGAAAATTATGTATTAATATATATTATTTTTTGTTATATATATATATATACACAGTATATGCCAGTAATAATAATTCGTTATGAACTTCAAGAAAAATATTACTTCGGTACAAAACCAATTAAATATATTCAGATTTTTTATCTTCAATGGTACCACCAATCAAATCTCTTAAGATTTTTTTTTTCATCAGTAATACTACATATGTCTCCTCCATAGAAAGAAAAATCTACGAAATTATGGATATCGATCTATCAATCCCAAGTTCGTAGTATCTTACAAGAATAGTCTAAATATAAAGACAAATGTCGTTGGCTAAAACCATCATCATCCAGATCATATTTGCATAGCTCACGGAAACTTTTGACCCAATTGAACCAAATGGCTCGATCATCAGTTACGGCTACGGTTCCGATAGGCACAATCATAACGGTGTTAGGCTTGTTTCTAGCTGGTGGTTTTACGCATGCCCGAAGCCCGACAACCTACACTGTCGGAGATCAATACGGGTGGGGTCTGCGTAATAGTGGTGATATTTGGGCAAGAGGCAAAACTTTTTATGCGGGAGATTTTCTTGGTACGTACATAAAATACTAGTAAATTTTATAATATTATCATTAGAAAGTGATTAACAAATTACAATATACGCAAATATCAATATTATTATAATGATACAGCATACACACAATCAATCCTTTGATAACTTTATATATTGTAATGTGGCATTGTAGTGTTCAAGTACAATAATTCAAGATTTAATTTGATGCTTGTAAACCAAACCGGTTACGATATGTGCACACCAAACGACGGAGCGCTAGAGTTTAAATCCGGCGAGGATAAGATAAACCTTCCTTATGGTGGTAGCTATTTTATCGGAACACGTAATCCTACTGACTGTTTTTCTGGTATGAAGCTGCAAGTCAATGGTTTGGCCCCATACTAAAGAACAAATCATCAACATCCTTCTTTTAATGTATCTCTCAAGAGCAATTTCTTAATGAAATAATGAATTTCTCTTCTTAATGTATCTGTCTAAAGCAAGTTTTAATAAAACATATTTTTCTTCTTCTTTATAAAGTTTTATGGAATACAGCTTCTTCTTCTTCTTTTTTTTTGTCGACTGCAAATATAGTTTTAATCGATCGTCTTTTTTTTTTGTTTCTTTCAAAATGTCGATTTTACTAAAGCTAACTTGACATATATTGTTGGGGATAATTTGTTTTTTGGACATGACCAATATACAAATTAAGAAAATCCATAATAATAAAGTTGAGGCGAATCGCAGAAAATGTATAAAATAGACAAGCTCAAACGCACTTAACAGTATATATAAGAACTAAGAAGTTAAAGGAAAAGCTTCAAATTCCACCAAAAAAAAAGGATTTAAAAAAGTCAGGTCTTACTACAACTACTAAGATTAGAACATTGGGATTTAAGAAATTTCTTTTCCGTACAAATAAAGAAGGAAAGAACTCGAAAAAACATTTGAAAACAATAGAGCAAAATTTGAAAAAAAGTTTATAATTCATACTAATTAGCAGCAATTCAAAACCCTATATCTCGGAAATTCTTGCTGCTTAAACTCTTTGCTATCGTGTACAATTACTTATTAATAATATCTTTGATTGTATAGCACTTCTCTCAAACATATATGAGAGATCCTAGCTATTGCTTGGTCTAAGTTGCCCGTCCTACCAGCTCTTCTGTCTTCCTTTTTATGATCATGATCGAAAGTACTTCTATTACACTGCCTCACATAAGAAAAGACAAAACAAGTGACGAGGAAAGCCGAAACCGGATCATTCTATAACTTGATCCACTTGTCACACATGCATAGATATATAGCCACAACATGGATAATTGTAAATACACATATACAATAGTGCCATTGTTGTATTTATAATTAAGGAACTGTCCAGATTGAGAGGATCAGGTAAGATCAAGGAATGGATAGACACGAACAGGATCCACGTGTTCAGCTTCAGACACTCTCATATCACATCTGTCTCCTGATTACTTCTACTTCGCTTCTTTTAAAATCTCTCTCTCTTTCAATTCTTCTTCTCTTGCCTTTTCTTCCTTTGTTGTTCTTTATCCATCATCAAGGTTTGATATCTAAATTAGGGTGTAAAAAATGGCAACATCTGCTAGAAGAGCATACGGATTCGGGAGAGCTGACGAGGCAACTCATCCGGACTCCATTAGAGCCACATTGGCTGAGTTTCTTTCCACTTTTGTCTTCGTCTTTGCTGGAGAAGGCTCCATCCTCGCTCTAGGTTCGTATTACTTTTGTAACATATACATAGGAAATATCTAAGGCACAAAAAAGGACATTTCCCGCCAAATATTTATTGCCATCTTACTCCAACAAGTATTAACCTCTACCCCCACAAACTTATTTATAAGATTTTTGGATTTACCTTGATTTTTGTTTTAGTAAGTAAAAAAGATTATAGAAACTAGGAAGAATTCTACTATAATTAATATATTTGTTCGAGCCATGCATATCATCATGCATTATATATGTTTGTTATTGGACAGACAAGTTGTATTGGGACACCGCGGCTCACACAGGGACAAACACGCCGGGAGGGTTAGTTCTGGTGGCGTTAGCTCATGCATTGGCCCTATTCGCAGCTGTTTCGGCGGCCATCAATGTCTCAGGTGGACACGTGAACCCGGCGGTCACTCTTGGTGCTCTGTTCGGAGGCAGGATTTCGGTGATCCGAGCAGTATACTATTGGATTGCTCAGCTTCTTGGTGCTATCCTCGCTTGTCTCTTGTTGAGGCTTGCAACTAATGGCTCGGTATATATATCACTTCTCATCAATCTCTTTATTAAGATTTTATATGATCGGTTTGATTTTAGTTTACTAAGTTTCATATGGTTGTAAAATTAATCATTCTTTCTACTGAGAGATACTTAAAAACTGTAGTTTAGTTTTATTTTCATTCGAGCTTGGTGTCTGTTACTTTTCAGTTGGTTTTGGATTCAACCGGGGCTATATGTTCATGATTAAAAGTGTGATTCTCTGTGATGCAGAGACCAATAGGTTACCATGTAGCGTCTGGAGTTGGTGAGCTTCATGGGCTACTGATGGAGATCATACTTACATTTGCCTTGGTTTATGTTGTCTACTCAACCTCAATCGATCCAAAGAGAGGGAGTATTGGGATCATAGCACCGCTAGCCATCGGGCTCATATTCGGGGCAAACATGTTGGTAGGAGGTCCATTCGATGGAGCATCAATGAATCCGGCTAGAACCTTTGGTCCAGCATTAGTGGGATGGAGATGGCATAACCATTGGATCTACTGGGTTGGGCCCTTCATTGGCGGTGCACTGGCCGCCCTTATCTATGAGTACATGGTCATCCCCAGCGTCAACGAGCCTCCTCACCACAGTACCCACCAACCATTGGCTCCGGAAGATTACTAGACCGGACTAAGCTTCATGTTGGAAGGTTCTCTCTTTGTATCAAGAATCTCTGCTTTGCTTGTGTTGTGTTTCTCTTTGGTTTTTCTAGCAACTTCCTATGTATAATTGAGTTCAGACGAGAAACTGTTTTCTTGTATTGTACTTATATAAACAATAAACATTTCGCCACAAATTGATCAATTATCCGATAAAAACCGGAGACATCCATGGCTTTCTCTCAAGGTGCTGTACATGTAACAATACCGAACTTCCTCGGCTTCTATAAATCAATTTTGTATCAGAAACCTGCAATGGCTTCTCCTCTCTCATGTTAAGAAGGTCCCCTCATTTTCTCAACAATTTGTCTACTCTTTTCTTCCATATGACGCCTCTTCTCCTCCAACTTCTCCCCCATTTTCTTCCCAAGATCAAACATCCTTGCTCTTCTTCCCAATTTCTTTCCCCTTGAATCATCTTCTTCACTTGAAAGTATCATCGACCTAGATGGTGACTGAACAACCGTCATCTCTCCGGTACTGCCTCTTGAGTTCGTCTCCTGCTTTTCACTGCTGCTTGGTAGCAGTAATGGAGTTTTCAGGTCTCCCAAGGATTTGTCACTCTCTACTGTTACAGTTGTGGAATTTGACACTGGCGTAGACATAGCCTCTGCTTCAGTATTCGGTTTCTGGACGGCATTGGCAGCTTCCTGCATTTGCTCAGTCTCAGCACAGGAGGAAGAAGACATAGTCCGTGCTTCAGAAATAATCAGCTTCTGGGTGGCGTTTGCATTTTTCTGCATTTGCTCAGACTGAACACAGGAGGAAGAAGGCGGTGGCTTGTCAGATTTAGATCTCGCATCTGTTGCCAGGTAGCTATTTTGATCGTTTTCTTGATTAAGCCACATGAATGGAGCGGCTTTGCGTTGAACCCAATCATCTTTTTCAGCAATCATCCAAGGAATCGTTAGGCTTTCACAGTTTGGAAGAACCACCGCTTCTCGTATTGCCGTCTGCAGAATCGTAATGTCATCTCACTGTCAGCTCAAAGTTCACTAGAGACCAAACATAAGACACCCCGAAGGAGAAAGTGTACCTTAAACCGGTTGATCAAGAACGTTGCAACATGGCTGTTGGTGATTTTGTGTTCCCCAACAGAAGATGCGAGATCGAATTCTATATCAGGCATGCTCGTGAATCCAAACCATAACTGATCAGAAGGAGGCGGCTTCATCTGTACCCGCAGTGTCCCTCGAAGAGAAGACACCCGTATTGACAAAGAGATAGGCACCTGCATTTGAGAAACAGAGACGTTCTAAGATACCATATTGAGACATGAAAGACTGGAAAACACAACATAAGAACCAATCAAAGGTTTTCAGGAGAATTGAGGAAAGGTTTATAGCAAATCCAATAAACAAAAAGTAGACATTTGAAAATGAAGAACCAACCTGAGAAACTTGTTCAGCAATGCTTTTAAGAATAGATTTCCACCTAGATACACCATTTGGAGCTGCCTTCGTTCCTTTTGAGCCCCTAGATTCATCTGCAACCAACAAAAAAAATGGTAAGAAAAATCAGTCGTAACTATCATCCTGTGCAGTATTTTTCAACAGGAATCAGGATAGCAAGATCTCTGTGTGTAAAACGAGAGATGACTGCATTAAATCATATTCAACAAACATCGAACTAGCCTGCTTTATTGGATCCACCAGTTTCCACATGCCCTGCATCAACAGTTTCCACAGGGATGGCTAATTGCTTTTCAAAATCTTCTTCAATGGGGTTTGACGGGACTTCCCCTGCAGAGCTTGGCGGCAACTTTGTGTCCGTAATGCCTTTTTGTAGATCCACCTCACGGATGTCAACCCGTGTTTCAACGTCAATCACCGCTTCACCAGAGTAGTCAATATCTAGTTCAAATGCCCACACACCGCTCATATCCATTGGAAGAACCCGAGTTCCATGTATATGAGGTGGGAGATTTCCAGTGTCAACATCGGAGCAGATCAGTTCGCCTATATAGCTCGGAGTCCTCATGTTGGATAACAACCGCTGTTTAAAATCACAGAGTTACGTCTTTGTTCGGTTAAGGAAATCAATTTATTAAGTGCTTGGTTCATCATGAAAGGTTTCAGAATCATGGAAAGTGCAGACCTGGATTCGTGCTTGCACCGAATTCTTCACTCCTGCTTTCCGTTTAAGATCGAAAAATAGCCTAGAAATTAGCAAGTTCCACGCCAATGTTCCTTCATCCATATCAAACTTATCTTCAGAGTCTCCATCCGAAACCCCAGAAAGATGACTGCTATGGCTAACAGAACGTGAAAATATAGGCACATCAGTTTCATCTGTGATATTGTCACCCATCTTCTTTCCTGAAATGCTCTTCCCTGAGCTACTTCCATGTTGTGAATCTTGATTAGAACGGACAGAAGTTTTCCTGTCTTCACGATTTGATCGCTTTCTTGAAAATCTCTTCAAGAACAAGCGCACCTTTGAGGAAGAACCATCCGTTCTATTCCCTTTGTCAAGTGTCTCAAAACTAAACCCAACAGATGGTTTCATAAATGAAGGATATGCAACACTGAGAGACGTCACATAACTACGGAACTCTTCTTGCAATTTGGTGGAGTACCAAATAAACCTTTCCTGATTTTCGCAAGCAGCAAGACGAAGGGCTTTACACCATGATTCCTTTTCCCAAGAAGTCTCGAGATAGATGTAAAACACCTGGCTTCCCTTGTACAAAGCTGAAGAAATCTTGCTTTCAACTTTTATAGGAAATCTTTTAGCCCTAAGAAACAAAAAAAAATTGGTGGAAGCTAAAGAACAATCAAACTTAATATATTCTCGTGTTAAAAGTCATCAAAATTTCCGGAACCTAATATGATCAAAATCAGGAAGTACAGCTATGTATAACGCTTCATTCAAGAACCTGATTCTACCAAAGTTTCACAGTTCAATTGCTTAGTTATATATCAAAACTGGGGGTCATAAGAAACTAAGAGTTGGTACCATTTTCTTGTAGGGAGATCAGACCCTGAAACAGCCTCAATAGAGCAACATTTCAAAGAAACAGTAGCCTGAGTGCCATCAGCATCAGACAAGATCAGCTCGTGATTTTTAATTCGAGCGAATTTTCGAAGGGGATGAATCTCCAAGAAGTCTCTCTTCCTCTTCTGTCCTTTTGGTAACTTTTCCTTCATCCAGTTCTTAAGACCTTCATTGCCCTCCAAAATCCAGATCACTCCCTGTAATTACAAACTCCCATTACAGATATCTGAAATTGTCTGGCTCGAACTTAGACTATAATCCAAACTCACACAATTCTGTCTTGATTTGAAATTGCTGACTTCAACAATCAACCATCCCTAAGAGCCACTATATATATAATGTCAAGTTCACATTTTTCAACCGAAATTTCCAATGTAAGGAACTCAATACTCGCAACTAAACCAACATGCAAGCAATCCGAAATTAGACCCAGAATTCAATTTTCAAACTTTCGAAACCGAACTTTCTTCTCTCTCTCTCTCGGAGAAGGAAAAAAAAAACGCCCTTAAAAAACCTCAACAGAGGAATTAAGATCGATCACCTGTTTATTGAGACAGAAATCCAAGGATTCGCCGGGATTATAATCCTTTGTAGATGGAGCAGAGCCGGGTTTTGACTCAAGCCGATCTCTCTTCCGATTCAATCGCTTCACGAGATACATCAATCCCGCAGCTTCGGCCGCCAGGATGGCGACAATTCCCAGGAAAAACCCAGATAGGAACACGAGACCCACAAACGAAAACATCTCCGGGAAGAGCCAAGCCCTTCAATGCGGTGAGGGTGTCTTGGGAAGGAATCTAGAGGAGAAGAAAGATTCGTTGTAGCGTTGAAGTTGTTCATGTCAGTATACAAGGAGAAAGGAAAAAGAGAGAAAGAGAAACTGTGGGATTAGCCATCTCTGGAATCGCAATTCCAACTTCCAACCAGATTATTTGCCGAAAGAGAAACAAGCTTAAACTAATAATTAAATGTTCATAGTCAAATTACCATAGATTTGAAAACACAATCAAAAATATCATTCTTTATTTTCTTACTCTAAACCATTCATTAATTCGAAATTGAATTGCAAAATCAATCATATACACATCAACAAATACAACATAATTAACCATAATGAACAAAAGTTTTTTTTTTTTTTGGTAAAAAAAGATTATAAAATATTAATACATATTGAATAGTATTTAATAATTTAAAGTTATATTAAGATTAATAATTATCATAATGAACAAAAGTTGAATTTACATAATGTTTTCAACACGAAAAATGTATTTGGTAATGGAATAAATATGTTATTTCCTTTCTTCGTAATTAATCTCAATCATCCATCTGAATTATCATCTTAGGTGAAAATTCATAATCGTCTAAATTTGTCAGTGATACTCAGACATCTTTTCTTTTAATGTTCGTTATTCTTTTGTAAAATTTGATTTTTCTTGAATGATATATATCTGCCTAAAACACCATATTACTCTTTGGATATGAAATCATTTCCCTCATTTGAACGGTATCGAGGATGTCATATATCATGGAAGTTAAAGATGTCCAAAAAAAGGATTTGTTATGTCTAGTAAAATTATTTTACAATGTTTAATGAACTGGATAATATCACTACAACTTCTTGTGGATGGTAAGAGATTGTGAAGTGTTATTAGTTGTTGTAATCATGTTCTATTAGACAAAAAGCAATTTAGACATCATATGATATGATTAGTTTTTTTTTTTTTTTTTGCAGGGTATCACATGAGTCATGACATAAAGAGGCCAATTTCATCCCAGACGTGGAAACCGCTCGAGGATCATGGCGAAAACACTCAACTAGATAGATGCTCAAAGGAAAAGAAGTTTGGCAATATGGATCTTATTTGTTCGTTTCTTCTTCGTCGGTAAACTAGGAACGAATTCACACCAAAAAAATAATATCTTCTGTAATATATATACAGACAAGAAAGTTATTTGGTCAGATATACATACGAACATAAAACAGATTCATAGAAAAGAAAAGAAAAAAAGAACAAGAGACAAGACAAAGGGAAACCAAAAAGCTTTTTACCTCATCACTGTAAACTCAGATTCTTTATTTTCCATCAACAGAAAGGAAACAAACCTCTACATTGGGGAGTTGCTATGTACCAGCGAAAACAACTAAAAACAGAGCAAAAAACAGAGTTTTGTCATTTACTGTTCTTAGAGAAGAAGCTATAGTCATGGTGATCATGAACATTAAGCTGTTTAAGCCATGAATCCGCTGCACTTCGAAGGTAAATCAACCGTTCTTGGTCACAAGATTCTCGATTCCCCCACAAACCTCCTTGCAATTTGTAAGTAACTAAACCAAAAGGAGCCAGAGGAAGTCTCTTGGTCACAGGTTCATTATCACTACACAATGTTTCTTCTTCCATGATTTTGTTATCGTCTCCCTCAACTAAATCACCTAATAAATTGAACATAAAAAACTAGATATTTCAACAGTTTGTATGTCAAGAAATTTATCACGATCTAAGTATATTACTCTGCAAGTTCTTGGCAAGAACATAAGTATATATACCTTGGAAGGCCGAAGATAGTGTATGATAACTCAAGAAACACGTTGATAAGTCTGTATCGGTCTTCCAAGATGGAATATGGTATATCGGATACCTAAACCGCAACAAAAGTTCAAGACTTTATCATCACAGAGGCCAAAAAAACACTTGCAGTCAAATCAAATAAGAAGACAATTTCTCTACTTACCAAGCAATGGCCATCCAACTTGCGGGAGACAAATCAACACTCCTTAGAGTAAAAAGTCCCGGATACTTCTCAGCCAATTCATTTACCTAAATCAAACCAATGCATTAGAGAAAATTTCTAAGTTATTCAGGTTCTTTAAATAAAGAAAATAGGATCACTGGAAATGAGATGAATGAAAACCTTGGCGGTAAGAGGAACCCTCAAGTGCGGTTTAACTGACTCAAAGTACTGAAACTCAATGTAACCGAGCTTATCTCGCATCAACGAAGGATTGCCATCGATTTCATAACCGGAATCATCAGAAACATAATCCCATATTTTGCTAGAACCACTGCTCATTGACCTTGACAACTTCTCAATCTCACTATCATCACTCCAACATTCACTCTCACAGTCAACCACCTCACTCTGGTTCCTGCAAGCACCATAAATTCACTCCTTACAACATAAAACACTCTTGTCCCCACCAATTACAAACTAGATTTACCACATTTTGTCAAAACTGGAAATGGCTGTCGATTTACTAGTATATATTTGAATGGCGGATAGATACGGGACGTAGTATTGCATAACGGATTCGCCATTGTTTAAATCGACTTTTGATCCAAGTCCATACGCGCTTAGCTCATCAAAACAGTCCCAAAGATCACTAAGCCTGTAAAACTCAATCTTGTCTCTGCTCGGTTGTATCCACAGACTATTCAAATTATTCTCGCAGCTCTGCAAATTGACAACAAAAGATCAGACTTTTAAACGCTAAAACCCTGTTTTTAACAACAAAATATTACACCCACTAAAAACCATTGTAATTCAACACAGATATTAAATATTACGACATGCTATTAAACACATATTTAATTACAATAATATCTGAAAGAGACAGTCATCTAATGTCTAATGATATAAAGATGAAGAAGACACGTTCAGAGGATATACCTAGCTAGTAATCTAGAATATTCAAACCAATTTCACTAAAATTATATAATTTTATTACTTTAATTTTAATATATTATTTTCCCTATTTTCAATACACAGTTTGCTGTCGCGAGTTTCCACGTGGGGAAAGATAACTTCACGAAATGTCATGAAATCCAAAACTAATTTGTCCTTATTTCTAAAATGATTAGCTTAAACCCTGAGAATATGCTTGACGCAGATTCTCCGAAAGTAAGAATTCACACCAACAGAGAATGAAAACAGAGATCTGTACCTGAGATAGAGAGAAAGAAGGAGGCTTTAAAGTTATTCCTCTGAGAAACCTCTCCAGATTTGATCGGACTTTCGTCGACGGTGATGACCACCACCACATTTTCTGTCTCGGCCTCTCTGTTTTAGGTTTCTTACATTGACAATTTAATTCTCTCAGAAAATCACAAAAAGTTAAGTAATTTGTAATCTTTCAGAATCAGAGAAAGTTAAGTAAATTTGTAATATTTCTTACAGAATTTTCCAATATGGTAACCTTTTCTCGACTGTATGATCCTCAACACCCAGAGATTTACTTGTTCTGGAAATTTTGAAAAAGCTAGATACAAGAACGACCTAGAAAGGACAAAAGAAAAACAGAGACTTGCTACAGAAACAGTGGATTTTGTGTTTTGGGTGAATTTCGGTTTTATAAAAAGAAAATGATCACTTGTAAAACTAAAGATAAATCATAAAGCGTATCTGAGTGTACTGAATTTTAGATGAAATCTATTGAGAATATTTTGGGGATAAAAAAGGAAGAAGAAGTTGCAGCAGAGTTTCAATGAGGATTTTGGAGTATGATTTGCTTCTATTTAATGGAAAATGAAAAAGAAAGAAAGAAAAAAAGAGATGCGAATACGACCAAAAGCATCGCTCTCGCTCTCGCTCTCGCTCTCTCATTCTTATCCTAAGGAGTATCTATTTTGTTGTAAAAACTTAGAAACTTTATTAATCACTGGAATGTATATATAGAGTACATAGGGAATCTAGATTAAGTACAATGCCCTGATGGGCCTAATGAGCCGGTATAAGAGTCCATATATGATATGTGTTATAACACTCCCCTTTGGACGAGTGAACCGGGTCAGCTACTCAATCGGGATCTCGATAATACGCTGGGGAATGTTGCCTCATTAAAACCTTACCAGAAAAAACCCAGTGGGACAAAACCATGGTGAAGGAAAAAGAGTACAACACGCATTACTCCCCCTGATTGTAGCATCACTGCAGATCTCTAAGTCTATACATTCCTATCTGTTTGACGAGCTTCCGGTGTGTTGAAGTAGGCAATGATTTGGTGAAGAGGTCAGCTGAATTCTCACTGGATCGGACCTGCTGAACGCTGAGAGTGCCGTCCTTCTGCCAGTCTGAGGTTGAGAAGAACTTCGGTAGAATGTGCTTCGTCCGATCTCCTTTGATATATCCTTCCTTGAGCTGAGCTATGCATGCCGCGTTGTCTTCATACATCACCGTGGGCTGTGTGTCTTCATCCATACCACAATCTCTGCGGATGTGCTGAGTCATGGAGCGCAGCCAGACGCATTCCCTACTAGCCTCATGAATGGCTAGGATTTCAGCATGGTTTGATGAAGTGGCAGTGAGTGTCTGCTTCATTGATCTCCAAGAGATGGCTGTTCCTCCATGCGTAAAAACGTAGCCAGTTTGAGACTTGGCAGTGTGCGGATCTGATAGATATCCTGCATCGGCGAAGCCGACTAACCCATCTTTATTTTGGTTAGTATAGAAGAGTCCTAAGTCTTGAGTACCTCGAAGGTATCTTAGGAGATGTTTTATACCGTTCCAGTGCCTCTGAGTTGGAGATGAACTATATCGAGCGAGGAGGTTCACGGCGAAACATATGTCTGGTCTAGTGTGACTAGCCAGGTATATTAACGCTCCTACAGCACTGAGGTATGGCTTTTCAGGACCAAGGATTTCTTCATCATCCTTTTTGGGACCAAGAGGGTCATCACTTAAGCTTCTAACTACCATTGGGCTGGTCAATGGGTGAGCTTGGTCCATATTAAATCGCTTGAGTACCTTTTCGATATAAGCCGATTGATGCACAAGGATTCCTCCTTTGATGTACTCAAGTTGTAATCCCAAACAGTACTTTGTTTTGCCTAGGTCTTTCATTTCGAATTCTGCTTTTAAGCAGTCGACTGTTTGGGAGATCTCACCAGATGTTCCGAGGATGTTTAGATCATCCACGTATACTGTTATGATTACAAATCCTTTGTTTGAGTACTTCTTGATGAAGATGCATGGACTGATGGGGTCATTTTGTAGCCTTCTTTGATGAGGTAATCGCTGAGGCGGTTGTACCACATACGCCCACTTAGTTTCAGTCCATACAAGGATTTGTTCAGCCTGATGCAGTATTGATCTCGAGATGCATTTTTGTCTTTTAGTTCAATGCCATCTGGGAGTCTCATATATATTTCGTTGTCCAGGGGCCCATAGAGATATGCGGTTACAACATCCATTAACTGCAGATCAAGATTTTCTCTTATGGCCAGACTTATGAGGAATCGGAATGTTGTTGCATCCACCACTGGAGAATAAGTCTCCTCATAATCGATTCCGGGTCTCTGTGAGAATCCTTGTGCTACAAGCCGTGCTTTGTATCGAACGACTTCACCGAGTTCGTTCTTTTTGCGCACAAAGACCCATTTGTGGCCCACTGGCTTGATGTGTGATGGGGTCCGGATGATCGGACCGAACACGTTTCTGAGTTTGAGACTCTTTAACTCCACGTTTATGCCTTCTTTCCATTTTAGCCAATCTGTTCGATGTGTACACTGTGTTATTGACGTGGGTTCTAGATCCTCTTGCGTGAGCGCAACATCAAGTGCTACTTTGTATGCAAAGAGTGCATTTAAGTCGACTTCTTTTCGATTCCATTGTATTCCGGACATATTGTAATTGATGGAGATCTCATTGTTATCTTCTGAACCTGGAGATTCGGCGTCCCGAACTTCCATTGAGGGTTCATTAGATTGAGTCTCAGCCGCGGCTATGTCTGATATTGCAGGAATCCCGGTTTCGGTTATTGCACCTTTCTTTGATTTCCGGGGATTCTTATCTTTGGAACCGAGAGGTCTGCTCCGTTTAAGACGTGGTGCAGACTCTGTAGCAACTTGGGTCTGTCCCGTTGGGACAGCTATTCGTACTGGTGCATTACAAGCTGGGATGTACGATTTGGTTACTTTGGTCGGGTCAGCAAAGGAATCTGGCAATTGATTAGCTAGCTTTTGATAATGAATAATCTTTTGGATCTCTGAATCACATTTTAGAGTCCGAGGATCTTGCCAATTTAATGATGTTTGATTCCATGAAAGATCTTTGACCAGCTTGTTTGTCTCACCACCTAAAGAGGGATATACCGATTCATCGAATTGGCAATCCGCATATCTGGCCTTGAAGAGATCTCCAGTGGTTGGCTCGAGATATCTTATGATGGTGGGAGAGTCAAAACCAAAATATATTCCCATCCTTCTTTGAGGTCCCATTTTGGTTCGATGTGGTGGAGCAATGGGTACATATACTGAACACCCAAATGTTTTGAGATCGGAGATGTCTGGCTCATGACCCGAGAGTAGTTGGGATGGGGAATATTTGTGTTCACTAGATGGCCGGATGCGTATGAGTTCAGCAGCATGTAATACTGCATGTCCCCATGCTGAGGCCGGGAGCTTTGATCTCATGAGTAATGGTCGGGCTATCCATTGAATGCGTTTAATGAATGATTCAGCCAATCCATTTTGAGTATGGACATGTGCTACAGGATGTTCCACGGTTACCCCCATGGCTATACAGTAGTCATTAAACGCTTGTGAGGTAAATTCACCAGCATTGTCAAGGCGGATAGTCTTTAGTGGGAAGTCAGGGAAATGGGCCCGCAATTTTATGATTTGGGCCAAGAACCTAGCGAAGGCTTGGTTTCGAGAGGACAAGAGACAAACATATGACCAACGGGTCGATGCATCTATAAGGACCATGAAGTACCGGAATGGTCCGGAAGATGGATGTATAGGTCCACAGATATCGCCCTGGATTCTTTCTAGGAAATGAAGTGTTTGTTTAGAGATTTTAACTGGTGAAGGCCGAGTGATCAATTTGCCTTGAGAACAAGCTGTGCATATGAGGTGTTGAGGATAAGCTCGGTTTTCTTTGAGGGTATGCCCTTGAGAGTTTTGAATTAGTTTACGCATCATATTTGCACCGGGATGACCGAGCCGGTCGTGCCAAATAGTATAATCAGTAAACCGGGCTTTGAGAGTGGTATTAGCTTCAATCATACTGACTTTAGCATGGTAAAGTCCAGTAGAGAGCGCGGGTATGGTTTCGAGGATTTGTTTATGGCCGTCTACGGTTTTAGTGACTAGGAGGGATTCTTTGTTCCCTTGACCTTGGGTTTCTATGTGGAAACCATTCTGTCTTATATCCTTGAAGCTCAGAAGATTTCTCTTCGAACTAGGAGAATATAGAGCATCTGGTATTTCAAGTTGTGTGCCATTTGATAGCAACACATAGGCATGGCCATATCCTTCGATAAGGTTTGAGGGACCCGCGATGGTGCTAATATTTGCGGTTTGATAGGTTAGGTTTATGAAGTAACTTTTGTTTCTTAAGATAGTGTGGCTGGATCCACTATCTACGACTATGGTTTCCATTTGCTGGTGTGCTTCATTATGAATAGAAGATAGAATTCAGTATTGAGGAATGGATCCACTATCTACGACTATGGTTTCCATTTGCTGGTGTGCTTCATTATGAATAGAAGATAGAATTCAGTATTGAGGAATTCAGAAAATGTGATAAATCATAAAGTAAAGCAGTGTCTGAGAATAAAGGCAAATGGATTGAATTAATCGTGGAGATCAGCTGTCTCATAGTCCATGGGGTCGGTCTGCTCGTTTGTGGTGTTCTCATCATCAAGGAGGTCGTCACCTTCCAGGTTAGCAGCATCGACTGGCTGAGTCATGTTGGCTTCAGCAGGAGCTTTTCCGTACTTCTGGTATAGATCGCAGTGGATCTTGGGGGTGCGACATTGCTTTGTTGGGTGGTTGAACATCCCACATCTGGTACAAGCAGAGTGATCGGGGTTGGTGTGGCGGGTCGGCTTGGTGATGCCTCGACCACGACCAGGACCATAACTGAGGTTAGGTCGGTTGCCGCGACCATGTCTGCGTCCACGTCTTCCACGTCCATGTCCTCGGCCATTACCACGTCCATTACCACGTCCACGGCGGTGATCTGAGGATCTATCGGGTTGAACATGGTAGGACTCTTGACGAGAAGCTGGGACAGGAGCCATCCCGGGGGCCTCATAGCGCTGTTCCTCATAAGCAGCTGGTTATTCTTCTCAGCGAGGAGAAGACAGGACAACAAGTCTTCGTACAATGTGTGTTTCATTGCACGGTATTGTTGTTGGAGCACAACATTCTCTGTGCTGAATGTGGATAATGTTTTCTCGAGGAGATCATTATCTGTCACATCCTCGCCACAGAGTTTCCGGATGGCAACAATACGAAAGAGTTCGTTGTTGTAATCATCTACGGATTTGTAGTCCTGGAACCGAAGGTTCTTCCAGTCGAAATCTGCCTGAGGCAATTGGACCATTTTCTGATGGTCATATCGCTTTTTCAGCGCTTGCCACAATTCAAGTGGATTCTCAAGAGTGAGATATTGCTGCTTAAGGCTCGGGGCCATATGATGGTGTATGTGACATATCGCCTGAGACTGTCCCTTACGGGATGCGGTGTTACCGTCGGTAATACACGCATCGAGTTTTTTCGATGCAAGGAACAAGCGCATGTCTAGGGCCCACTCGAGGTAGTTATCCCCGGAGACGTGAAGGGCCTCGAATTCACATTTCTGAATGTTTGACATCTGAAACATGAGATTGATTTTGTTAGGGATTGTTTTGAGAAAATTTTGAATGCTGATGATGAAACTTTCTATTTTGAGAATCTTTCTATTTTAGGAAAGTTTCTAAATTTGGAAAGTTTCTAATTTGGGTAATTTTCTAAATGAGGAAAGTTTCTATGTCGGGAAAATTTCTATATGAGGAAAGTTTTTATATGAGGAAACTTTCTATTAGAGGGAACTTTCTCGGAAATAGTAAATTTTAAAGGGTATGGTTTTAGTTACCCCGAACATGATGTCGGTTTAATAGCTGTGATTTAATCGGTTAAAGCCGAATATAATTTCGGTTAATGAGAACCAGGTTTAGCCGGTTTTAGGCGGTTTAGGAGGAACCCTAGGGGAGCCGAATATGATTAGGGTTTTATCTAGGGTTTTAACGGTTTGGAAAACATATTTTGGATGTGATTTCGAGATCTATAGGATCTGTGGTCGATGGTTTTAATAATTTCACAAGGACAACAAAGAAATCACGTGAAAAGGACTAGGGTTTAAGCATTATGACTTACGATTTTGAAGATTACAAAATCGTGAATCAAGCTTAGGATTTAGGGTTGATTTTCTTAGTTTATTCAATCAAGTGTTTCAAGCAAGAGAATCAACAATCAAAATAAGCTGCAACAAGCTTATTAAACATGAAGAAAATCGAATAGGTTTATGCCATAAACATGGCCAAAAACGGTTGTTAGGTTTTTGTAGATTAGGGTTTTATAAAACGAGTTTAAAACCTTTGAACATGCATAAACTTGTAATTTAAACAATCAATCAACAAGTTATCAATCAATCATCAGAGTATCAAACACTTTCAATCAATTAGAGATCGATTTTTTTTTTTTTTATAGGGTTTTGAAGTGTTTAAACAACAGGTTCTATGGCTCTCAGTTTTAGAAGATACCTTTTCCACCTTTGGATTTCTGACAGGCTAATGAAACTGGGAGCTAATAGACCTCAGTTAGCCGCTACAAATTCCAAGGATTGATCACCAAAACTGGAGAAGCTGCTGGTTGAAAAAGGAAAAACTCGGATCTGGTTTTTTTTTTTTTCGGTTGATCGTCGTGTACTGTAAATGTGCGTGAGGGCGCGTCCGACGTTGGATCGACAAACGGTTTTCACCAGTAGATTCGTCTCGTCGAGGGCTTCGATTTGATATGTAGATCGTCTTCTGGTTCCTCACGGTTTGGAAGATATGCGTCTTTTAAGTTTCAACTTGCTTTTAGGGTTTTGGTGATGGCCGGATTTATTAGGGTTTTTCGCTCAGAGAGTCTTATCATGCTGATAACGTGTTGTGAAAACTTAGAAACTTTATTAATCATTGGAATGTATATATAGAGTACATAGGGAATTTAGGTTAAGTACAATGCCCTGATGAGCCTAATGAACCGGTATAAAAGTCCATATATGATATGTGTTATAACATATTTTATTTTGTTAGGTAATTTTTGGTAATTTATCAAAAGCTTTTTTTGCTAAAATCTTATCGTTAAATGGTTTTTTCCTTTGTTAGTCTATTAATTTTCCATTGAATAACTCAAAGTGAAACATGTTTCGAAATAAAATCTAGGTGGATTATTCATCGAAATGCTGTTAGGAGATTAAATCTAGCAAAATGGTTAAACATAACTTTTCTTAGAAACATACATAATTTTTTAGAATATTTTTTTTGTTTGTATTGACAAAAAGAATACTTTTCGTTTATATATAATTCTTAAAATCTTAATGTTAGTTTATAATTTTAATTTTAGTCGCGTTTAATAGTGATGTTCTACAATTCTGAAGAACTGATAAATGCAAAAAAAAAAAAGGATTGCAAGTATATACTTTACTGTGTAGTGTAGTGGAACTGTGGAAGTGATGAGACAATGAAAGTCTATCTTATCGCCACGTGTCGGAGAAGCTGCGTCGATATATCGCGTTTTGCTTCTCTCTTTCTGCTCTGTTTTCTTCCTTATCTTGTCTTTTCTATTGTTTATTTTTCATAAATAAATAAATCAAAATTCTCTGAAACCAATTTACTCCGCAAATCAGATGTGTTGCATTTTTAATTATTTTTATAAATATTATTTTACTATGTTTTATTTTAAATCACAATATTTTCATTATCAGAAGTTATTAATAGTTAATTAAAATAAATCACTATATCTTAAAATCTTAATGATCACATAATATTAAATAAACTTTAAATTTGAATAAAAAGTTTCATATCTTATATTTTGAAATGAAAAATTTCTAAAACTTTGAAAACATAAGATCAATTTTGTTAACAAAACCTTCTTGATAAGGGGACTATGGGTTCCCTCTCAAAACTGTGCAACACCTCCAATGTTCCCCGAAGAAGGTTTATGATTTTAGATGAAATTCCCCTTAACAAGCCCTGATTCACTACGGGGTTCAATTTCGCCGAAAAAATAACGGATTTAGTTGTTGGGCTTAATATGTTAGGAGACCATTATCACCATTTACTACGTTCAATTTTATTGGGCCTAGCTATTTCGTCACACACTTGTTGACGCAATAGTTCTTATACATAGTAGTAGAGAAGATAACATCTAAGGGTGTTATTCAATCATGGTTTTTAATAGAATTTAAATCCAACCACAATCCACTATTATTCAACTAATGATTCTAAATAATGTTTTAAAATCAAGTGTTATTGGTTCTTTTGATTGTAAATCATATTTAAAAGGTTTTAAAGTTTGGTGTTATTCAATAAAGATTTCAAATCTTTCGTTAAAATCCAGTGTTATTCAAAACTAAATAATTTTTAAAATCTTTGTATATTAAGTCATTTCAAATCAATTCTAATAGAGTTTTATGAGTAAATTATTAGAATCAAAATCTAGTGTATATTGCAGAGATTTTAGAATCTAAACAAATGAATCCATCAAACTGATATCAATTTTTAAATCTAGAAGATTATAAAACATAGAAAATTCATTTCAAATTCATGATTGAATAACACCTCCTAATATTTTGAAACAATATTTTTTCTAAAACATCTATCATATTGAAACAGAGAGAGTATACAGTTTTGGGTTTATTATGAAATCCATGTGGCTGCATTTTAAATTATGAGACTATCATTGTAAGCTCTTCTTATATCAAAGTAAGAATTTGATTTCTTTTAGAAGTATTAATGATTTTAATGATTTAAACTTTTTATCAAAACTATCATATATCTCTATATTTTAACATAAATATTTTAAGGTTAGATTTTAACAAGTATCTATTTGCTAATTAATAAATGTTTTTCCCCTATGCATTACTCAATACTGTTGTATATTGTTTAATAAATTTCTGGCTCTTTGCCAATGAAATCCATGAAATTGTGGATGGATCGAAAGTCCAAAGTTTCCATGATTTATCAAAAACAAAGAAAAATCCATGAGAGTACATACGATTTCATTAAATTTAACACAAGTAATGTGCAATATATAAGTAACAAAATAGAAAACCTATCATTTATCATCCAAAAATAAAATTAGTCAGTTTTGTTATTTTAATGAATTTATCATCCAAGATTTACTTTGCTTTGTTATTCTGTTGAATTTATCATGAATGAAACGTTGACCTACATTACATAGAATGCCTCCAAGGGTCCTTTTATTAACAAAACAAGTACCAACAAATCAACAATAGGCTCTTACTCTTTTCTAATATTTCGGCACTTTTCCGTCAACAATAGTTCTGCATTTACTATATGTTTTATAAACCCGTCATTAAATGATATTTTTTTTTGTCAAAACTAAATACAAAATTTACATAAAATTGTGCTCCATCAAACTGACGTAAACGAGCATTTTGTGCTAATTTTTTTTTTTTTGAGTTGAGATTTTGTGCTAATTAAAAGACTTCTTCTTGGTTTCTTGCACTGGGATGGTTTTTCACACCAAAATGTATCGAAAAATAAAAACTGTGATATACATATATAGAAAAACAAATAGTATTTGACTACAAAAACTCTAAATTCAAAATAGCCACAGTCATTAAAACATACAGTATTTGTAAAATGCTTCCCAACTAATCTTTCTAATCATTTTCATTACCATTAAGTGTAAGACATAAATATCTATCATTCATCTATACAAAAAAAATAACAATCTTTCAAAGTTCGATCAAATATCTTTCATTATGAAAGAAAATGTGGAAGGAAAATAACAATTTTGGGCAGGTCTATTGATACTTAATGCAACCATCTATCGACTACCAGAAGACATTAAATGCTGCAAGAAAAAGAAAATTGGAAAATTCACCACATCAACAAAATTGGACCCCACTTCCTTCTTAATTTTCATTCAATTCTTCTCCCAACCATCTCTTTGCTGTCTTCATAACTATATCTCATTTCTTGTTCGGATCAAGAAATTGTTTCAAAGTTTTTTTTAAAAAACAAAAAATTAATAAAAACCCCCATTATCTCGAACATAAAAGAGAATAAACCAAAAAAAAAAAGAGAAGAAGAGGTGTTTGGTCTGTTTCAGTCATCGAAGAAGTTCATGAGAATAGAAACGAGTCCAAGTTTGTTGTTCATGCAAAATTCTCATGACTCTGTTACACTCAGCTCTTTTCTCCTGAATTTCTCCTACTTAATCTGATTCAATAATTTTTACTTTCATTTCAAAAGTTCACACCTTTTCCATTTCCTCGACAAACCCTTTTTTTTTCAGTTTTCTCGGATTCTGTTTTTTATTTTATTTTCTTTCTCCAAGCAAATCGTCCTCTGTTTTGGTTACTAAAATGGAGATAGAAGCAAGCAGACAACAAACAACCGTACCGGTTTCGGTCGGTGGAGGGAATTTTCCGGTGGGTGGGCTAAGTCCGTTGAGTGAAGCTATATGGAGAGAGAAAGCTCCAACGGAGTTCGTCGGAGACGTGTCGGCGAGGCTTACGTGGCAAGATCTGACGGTGATGGTAACTATGGGAGATGGTGAGACTCAGAATGTTCTAGAAGGTCTTACCGGTTACGCCGAACCGGGATCTCTCACGGCTCTCATGGGTCCCTCCGGTTCCGGAAAATCCACTATGCTCGACGCTCTCGCTAGCCGCCTCGCCGCAAACGCTTTCCTCTCCGGCACCGTTCTTCTTAACGGCCGCAAAACCAAACTCTCCTTTGGAACAGCTGTTAGTGTTTATACACAACCCTTAAGCTACAATCTTTCAGCTATAATGAAAAAATAACAAATTCTCAACTTTATGAAGAAACTTCCAAATTTTCAATTTACGTAAAAAAAAAAAAGTTACAATCTTCTATGCTTCTGCACAGGTTTCAGTAATAACTTGTCTTGATATGAAATATAAGAATGTTCTTGGATTTTGGATCTTAGCTATTCATAGTGTTGGAAAAGGGGAGGAAAACAAGCAATATATATAGTATTTTTTTGTATGGACTCATGTAATGGTTTTTTTGTTTCCTGGATCTGGTCATCATTTATTCCTTATTTATTTACAGGCTTATGTGACGCAAGACGATAACTTGATTGGTACGTTAACGGTGAGAGAGACCATTTGGTATTCAGCGAGAGTTCGTCTTCCGGACAAGATGTTACGGTCGGAGAAGCGTGCTTTAGTGGAGAGGACAATAATAGAGATGGGTCTTCAAGATTGTGCAGATACTGTTATAGGTAACTGGCATTTGCGTGGAATTAGTGGTGGAGAGAAGAGGAGAGTCAGTATTGCTCTTGAGATTCTCATGAGACCTCGTTTACTCTTTCTTGATGAGCCAACAAGTGGTCTTGATAGGTAAAGGTTTCAGACAAACTCTGTTTTAGGATGTACAGAACTAGTTAAGCCTAATTGCTTGTTTTTGTTTCTTCTTTTTCTCTTTGCAGTGCTTCTGCTTTCTTTGTGACTCAGACATTGCGTGCGCTATCACGAGATGGAAGGACGGTAATTGCATCGATTCATCAACCGAGTAGTGAGGTTTTCGAGCTGTTTGATCGGTTGTATCTGCTTTCTGGAGGCAAAACTGTTTACTTTGGTCAAGCTTCCGAAGCATATGAGGCAAGAATCTGACCAAAAGAAAACATCATTCTCATCAATAAATCTTGAAAACTAACTCGTTGGTTTTGCTTAACGATGCAGTTCTTCGCACAAGCTGGGTTTCCATGTCCTGCTTTAAGGAACCCTTCTGATCATTTCCTGAGATGCATAAACTCAGATTTTGACAAAGTTAGAGCCACTTTGAAAGGTTCTATGAAGCTTAGGGTAATACTGAAAGCCTTTTCTTTTTACTGCTTTTCAATTCTCTGCAAATCTCATCTGCTGATGAACTTGTTTTCCTATTCTTCAGTTTGAAGCAAGCGATGATCCATTGGAGAAGATTACCACAACCGAAGCTATTAGACTCTTGGTGGACCATTACCACACTTCTGACTACTATTACACTGCAAAGGCTAAGGTTGAAGAGATATCCCAATTTGTAAGTATTCTTTGTTCTTTTCCTTAGCTTTTGTCTGATGTTGGGACGAATCATTTCTCTCTTCTAACCCTCGTTTACATGCTACAGAAAGGGACTATTCTTGACTCTGGAGGCAGCCAGGCTAGTTTCCTTCTGCAGACCTACACTTTAACCAAGCGATCCTTCATCAACATGTCAAGGGACTTTGGATATTACTGGCTTAGACTTCTTATTTACATCTTGGTCACTGTCTGCATTGGAACCATCTATTGGAACGTTGGGACCAGCTACAGCGCCATTCTGGTATTTGCTAATATCATCTTTTGAAGAGAAACTCGAACTTTGAACTGAATTTTTTTGTCTTACCTCTCACCATGTCCGTCCTTTTGCTGTTTGTGAAATCAGGCACGGGGCTCATGTGCGTCTTTCGTCTTTGGATTTGTAACATTCATGTCAATTGGTGGATTTCCTTCGTTTGTTGAAGACATGAAGGTTAGTTAAGCCCCTCCCACAGTTTTCTTGCACAAACCGATGAACCAAACAGGTTTTGTTAAGATGAAAGTGTGATTGCAGGTCTTTCAAAGAGAGAGACTAAACGGGCACTATGGAGTAGCTGCGTTTGTGATAGCCAACACAGTAGCTGCAACGCCTTTCTTGATCATCATAACTTTCATCTCCGGGACAATCTGTTACTTCATGGTGGGTCTGCATCCAGGATTCACTCACTACCTCTTCTTTGTTCTCTGCCTCTATGCAAGTGTCACCGTTGTGGAGAGCTTGATGATGGCGATAGCTAGTATTGTTCCCAACTTCCTCATGGGTATCATTATCGGAGCTGGAATTCAGGTGCTTCCTCGTCCACTTTGATTATATATTTCTTTTTCTTCTTGTCCACATTATTTTAAAGGAGAATGTAATTTTGTTTCAGGGGATCTTCATGCTGGTTTCTGGATTCTTCAGGCTTCCTAATGACATTCCGAAAATTTTCTGGCGTTACCCGATGTCATATATCAGCTTCCACTTCTGGGCGCTACAAGTAATGACGTTGAAACAGCACAAGAAAACGTTTTAATATCAGCTCATCATCATGTGACCATAATATATTGGTTTGTTTTTGCTTCTTCTTCAGGGTCAATACCAGAATGATCTGAGAGGCTTGATGTTTGATAGCCAAGGGAGTGCCTTCAAGATTCCAGGTGAATACGTTCTGGAGAATGTCTTCCAGATCAACTTGCACCGATCAAAATGGATTAACCTCAGTGTGATTCTCAGCATGATTATCATCTACCGGATCATTTTCTTCATCATGATCAAGACCAACGAGGATGTAACTCCTTGGGTCAGAGGTTACATAGCACGAAGGAGGATGAAGCAGAAGAATGGAACTCAGAACACCACAGTTGCACCAGATGGTCTTACCCAGTCTCCTTCTCTGAGAAATTATATTGCTACACGAACTAATGGAGCTCGCAGATGGTAGAGTTTGAGCTTGTCCAGTGTTTGAAGACACTTTCAACAAAGTTAATCAAAGCAAAGCCACCATATTTCGCCAGGCCTGCAGTATCAAATCTCAATGTAATGTGAGAGTAGAGAAACTTGAGTGTGTTAGTTATAGAAATATTGAAACCAAGGATTTGTCTAAAATAACTACTACTACATTTATTTTTCTACTTTGCTAGTAACAAGCACCATCTTATTAAATCACAGTTTGCATTATGCCACAATTACAGCCGAGAGATTAAATTGTGAATTACTACAAGCTTTGTTTGTACATGTTGAAATGAAAATTGAGCTATGAAAAGTTTCACACCCGAAGAACCTCAAAAATTCATTAGTAGTTCCTCCTGGATGAGGCTTTTGATTAACTGCATTAGCTTCTGATTTAGCACTCTTTTGCTTTTGTTGCATTAGCTTCTGATATAGCACTCTGTTGCTCACATCTAATCACTAGCCCATGGTAGACCAGACGAAACAACGCGCGCAATCACAGGGGGATGCAGTGAACATAATTTAAAGTGACAAGGCATGAGGACCCTGCATGACTACTAGACTAGCCTCCAAAAATCTCTCACGTGAAGCCTCCATTTACACTTATGAGTCGCGATAGACATGCCATTTTTCATATCTCTTTAATCCATGCAAGACAGGTCTAAGTCTGGGAGCAGTAATGCAGTTTGAACAGCAACATCCCTTCAAGTCGATTACACATTCTGCACAGCATCTGAACCAAAGATAGAGGTAAGTTTAGGGTAACAACGGCAAAACACCAATTGTTGTCCATCAAAATCAAACTTTCGTAAGGGATACACTATTTGTTACTAGACATGAAAAGATGAAACAGAAACAAAAATGCAACTCACAAGAAAAGCCTATTGCAGTCAAGGTTAGCACAGTTCCGATGTCTTAGTTCCTGAACTTGTGAATCGCATATATAGCATCTTGCAAAACTTGTATCCACGGGCGTTTGTGGAGTTCTTCCGGCTTCATCTACGGCGTTGTTACCGTAGGCAGCTGGTGGGAGAGAGAGACGAGAGTCAAACACAAAAAGATTCCCAACCCAGTCAGCTGTGCCTTCTTCTTCAAGATAATGGGATACTCCACCCTTGAGTGTATACAGGTTCTTGAAACCCCGCTGTCTGAAAAGAAATTTGACTTATCACAAGAAAGTTATTTGGAAAACTTGTTTCGAGGAGATGATAGTGAGAGAATGAAAGATTAGAAGTTAGAGTGCTACCTCAAAACTGTTGAATATACATCGCAACGTATACCTCCAGTGCAGTACATCAGTATATCAGTCTTTTCCTTGTCAACATTTATCAAAGGGTCTGAAGGAGCTTCCTATAGTGTAGAAGCATAGTCAATATTCTTCACTGTTAAATATCTTTTTACCTTCAGGACTTAACAAAATGTAACCTGCAGAAGAGATTTTTCTGATCTACAGATTGTAAATGAGATTTTTTTAGCTGCCACAATTTATATTAGTTGTATTACCTTTTCATCAGCTAGCCCAAAAGAAGTGTTCCGAAAGCAATCAACTTCAGGTCTACGTGCCCCACGAAAATGACCAACATCCCACTCATAACCTGTTCAAATCAAATCTCCATCACCTCCAAATACCAATAGATTTAACCAGAACAATATGTAATGTCCTTTAAGAATCACAAATAATTACAGAAGTGCACAACGTGAAATAAAGTGGAAACCCGCAACACAATTGTCAGAAAAGAACGATCAGTCATGCAGAATAGATAGCAAGAGAAATCAATACTGTTCTGTTACAGTCGACAAATAGTAAGGAAAAAGAAATACCGTTTCTGACATCCAATAAGATGCAGCTTCTGCCACTACTTGAAGGTGATGTTTCATCGTCAGCCGTTAAGTCTTTCAGTTTCCTTTTCCATTCAGATGGTTCTAAGGGTTTTGCTCGCATCGGTGGATCAAGAAGGGGAAGGTGTGAAATTCCTCCTTCATACTTTAGGAAACAAAGAAAAGCAACAAATGTTTATCACGCATTATACGTAGGAAAATTTTAATCGGGAACCATATGTTTTTTAATCCAACAACACAAAATGTAGCTTGCCTGCACTAAGGAGGGTTTGTTCTGTAGCTTCAACTTAGGGAATGCATGCCCATTAATAGCAGGAGAAATCTGGACAAGCAAATCAGAGAATCTATCATCTCCTTTCAACCATTCAACATATGCAAGAGCGTCTTTAGATGGACCACTGTACTGCAGAAACAAGAATCACAGAAGTAAACACAACAAGAAGAGTTGCCGTAGCTTGATATAGTCACATCCTCAAAATAGTTTGTTAACAGAGTACTTCAAAGCTCAATATGTGATTACAAATGATAACAATACCTGCGCGTTAATTCCTTGTTCATTCAGATATATCCGACCACGTATATTCAAATCCTGCAAGGTGAGATAACAATCAGAAAAGCTTCCAAATTATGAATCAAGACAATGCTCACAAGTTCTTGATTGTTTCAGAATCTACAATCTGTAAAGAAAAGGTTGGAAAAACATCTATGAAATTGGTACACGATGACGATTCCCATTCCAAACTGAACCAACCTTTAAGAAAGAGAGGTGCTTGGCAATCTCAGCAGCGGGATCTTCAATTGATACAAACCGATAGAAGTTTAACACAATGAAATCTTCTCCTTCATTAAGAGCTTCCGATTTCGCGTAACCATTTCCTTGTCTATGTCGGCATTTGCAGCAGAAGGTCCATCTCCGGCCAGGTTTCTCAAAGACGAGACCTCCTGGTCGCGATAAACTCCGATTATGCGAAACATATTGTCTGAATCGAATAGGATCGCCGGAGAAACGAGTATTGGTGGAAGCAAGAGGTAATAGTGGAAGAGTTAAGGAGACTGAGAGTATTGCTGATACCGGAGAAGCTCTCATTATCTTCTCGCGGGTTGGAGAAAGAGTCAGCAAATCATTCTTTACTGTGTAAAATAAAACTCTGTTTCAAACTTTGGGTCTACTCTAAAGAATATTTTTCTGATATAAGGCTTAAGCCCAACTCAAGCCCATATTCATATCATATTTAAATATAATATAAAAAAAGTCCGGTTTATTTTGGGTTCGTTTCGGTTTCATTTTCATTTCTAATAACGATTTGTCGGTGATAAGACAACCTTATCTAATTTACATTTGACAAATGATAGTTATCCATCATCATTATGGCAACGAATTACGTCAGGGGTGATCGAAATATGACGTCGTGAAGCTTTGACCGTAATGTAAACGAAATAAATATCTCTCACGTCAACGAAATTATAGCTTAATACAGCGGATTTGTCCAAAATCAGATGCGGTTTGACTTGGACTTTATCAAATATACGTGCGGGTTTATATAAATAACAACTTTTCTTCTCTCATTTTCAATTCATAATAAAAAGGTTTCCATAAAAAGAAAGAAAGCATCCTACACAATGTCATCACTTCTCTACATCTTCCTCTTCTTAACGGTGTTCATCAGCCACCTTGGAGCCACCACCGAAGCCACCGTCGAACCAGTAATCGACACAACAGGCAAACGTCTCCGATCGGGCATCAACTATAAGTACTACATCTTGCCTGTAGCTCGCGGCGGCGGCGGCGGAGGACTAACCATATCCAAATCCGAAAACACAACCTGTAAGAAAAGTGTTATCCAAGAAAATTATGAAGTCTCTCAAGGCCTACCGTTGAGTTTCTCACCAGCAGAAAAATCAAATACCATCGGTGTCTCAGCTGATCTGAACTTCAAATTCTCTGCAACTTCGATCTGGAAATTAGACTATTTCGACGAGGCGACTAACCAGTGGTACGTTTCAGCTTGCGGGGTTGCAGGGAATCCGGGTCAGAAAACGGTTAGTAACTGGTTCAAGATCGACAAATTTGAAGATGCTTACAAGATCGTGTTTTGTCCATCTGTCTGCAATATCTGCAAAGTCATGTGCAGAGACATCGGAGTGTTCGTCCAAGATGGAAAGAGAAAACTTGTTCTAAGCGATGTTCCACTAAAAGTTGTGTTCAAAAGAGCATAAACTTCCACAAAATTCACAATGTTTTGTTTTCTTTTTACAGCACCACTAATAATAACAAAATAAGGTTGGTTTTTCAATGCTTGTTTTCTGCGTCTTAAGCTATAAATCTTTTAGATACCATCACCACGGAAGAAAGGTCCATTGAAGAAGGAAGTGGAGAAAGTGCCTCCACTGTTGGGAAAGAGAGTGAGGAAACAAATGAGTCCCAAGATTAAACCCCAAGCGAACCTATCGTCTCCCAAAGGTGTAATCTCATCTTTCGCGGGAGTTTCTTCACCACCGCGGAAGAAAGTAGCGAAAAGACCCCAAGCCAAACACAAGACGCTTCCGCTGAGACCTCCAATACCAAGAAGGAGAGACGTTGCAAATGAGAGTATTGCAGCTGTGCTTCTTCCAAACATGGCTTGAGCGATTCGACCTCCTTCTAGTCTTCCACATGGTAACAAGTTCAGTGAAGTAACTACCATACCTGAGAAAACAAAAAATTTCCGATTTAGAAAAATCGTATAAGAAGATACTAACAACTAAAAACGAACAAAAGCTATGAAATTTACCCAAAAGACCAGCGAAAGCAAGCGGATCAACGGGAACTCCGACTCCTTCAACCGCGTTAGGCAACACATTGCCAAGATCATCCGCGTAAGGACCAATAACGAATTGGATAAAAGAAAGCAACGGGTTATTATCGAAGAACTGTGGTCTTATATACCTATATAGATTGTTTGAAAAAATAAAAAACCCATCAGAGACAAAAGTGCATAGAACAGTAACAAAGAAAAGAATCTTACTAAACGAATCCTTACAAAGCATTGTCTCCTCCATTGAAGCTACCATCAGATATAAACGCAGCAGCTGCAAGAAGAAGTGAAGTCAGGTACGCACTAGCAGTACGCGCCACTGGGATATCGAATAACGCCTTTTTATTAGGAAGCAATGACTCGTAGTTGTTCATAACTCCTAAACAACCAGTCCAATTCGATGGCACCAAAAACGATGGACTTAACTTGACCCCGTGTCGTGCAGCTGTTACTCTGGTTGCTATCTGAAAACAAACAACTAAGGTTTAGTTTACACTTAAACATCACAGCAAAAATGTAGACATAACACTATTGATATGCTTCAGAGTTTACCTCTGAGACGCCTAAAATGGAAAGGAACCCACCAAAGAGAGGAACTACATTAGCAATGTAGTCATCAATGGTGGCGTCCGGTTTGAGAAAGAAACCACTCATAAGAGCTATGGTTCCAAAGGTTGTAACACATAAACTGATTGCGGTAATATATCCCCAAGGAGTGCTTAATCTAATCGATTCATATTGAAGATCTATTTCCGCTTTTGGTTGCACCATACACACCTTTACAATCACAAAGAACAAAACAATTAAACAAATTTTTAGCCTTAATCCTGCGAACAAGAACATCAAAGTTGGAGACTTTTTTTGTGGCCTTGGTTTACCTGTTTTGTGATCTCATTGGACTTTTCTTCCATGAACCAGATGACAACATCACGCCCTGCCGCTTCGGATAGCTTAGCTTCAAGCTTAGGTGTGACCTCATCAATGGGTTTTCTCAGATTCCCAATGAAGATTCCTCCATCTCCAAACCGACGAACGTCCGTAGCGAAAAACGTATCGAAACCAAAACAGCTCTTTAACTGGTATACATCACAAACATTTTCAAGGCAATGCAATGTAACCAAACACACAGAAGAATCATGGCGTAAGATAAATGATATCAGTTACCTTGTTGAGATCAAGAGCTTTGAAAGTCTCTTCTGCTCTCTCAAGCCTTTCTTTCTCTCTAGTCAAACTATCACGAGCCAAGCTGTTGAATATTCCGATGATCGGATTCTCATTGTTGCTCTCTCTGTTCAGTTCTTTGAGCTTACGATCAGTTCTCGTCTTCTCAAGCTTTATCGCAGCTTCGATTGATGGATTCCCCATAAATTTCTTGAACTCCTCGTCCGTCTTCCAATCCATTTCTTGCTGCGCCGATTTCTTTTCATCTTCTTCACTGATTTCCGGAGAAGGCGGCGCATCGTTGTTCGCGTGGTCCTCCTTTTGCTCCTCCGCTATCGCCACCGGAGACGAAGCATCGTTCACAGATTCCCGAACTCGATCATCTTCCGATGAAAATCTCAACGGATTAATGCGTCTTGTAGTCTGATTCACCCCTGTTTTAGAAAATTTAGGAGATATGGGTTTGTAATGTCGACGAAGACGCGAATTGTGACAGGAATGGAGAGTAAAGGAAGACGAAGAGGGAGTTGAAGCAAAGAGGGAAGCCATGGATTACAAAATTTAAAAAGGATTGAGGTATGACGAAGAAGAGACATCTCTCAGGAGACGATATGTAAAGGAGAAAAAGGAAATGTCTGGAAATTTTGAGAAGAAACTCAAACAATACAGGTGGATTAGTTTTAAGAAGTAAAGTGCCAAAGATGCTTTGGAACAAGACAAATTGTGTCACATCAAATCCAATCCACAGTGAAGTAGAAGCAAAGAGAACCTGATTCAAAGATCGATTGGATAAAACCTTAAATAATTATCTGGGAAAACAAGAATCTGGTCGGAAACACTACAAAAAGATCGAGCGAACAGCTTTTTTATAAAGATATGTAAAAATTCAAGTGCGGTTTTGTTGTTGTTGTTGTGGTCTCTCGCTCTTTTCTCTCTAAGAAGAAGCAGCTACTTTCTCTTCCGCAGCAGCTTCGAATGTCTCTCCAACTACAAGATCTGGGACATCATCGTCATCATCTTCCTCTTGTATGGTTGCTGAGGCATTACCTTCACCAGGAGCTTGCTTCTGGAACTGCTCTGCAAGCTTCTTCAGGTTGTCCATGCTGTCTGGTCCTGAAACAGATCAAAGTAACATCATTTAAAGATCTTTGATTTGGGAAAGAATATAGAAGAGGTACCCAGTTATATGGTACATACCGAGTTGGCTGATAATCTGAGGAAGAATATCTTGCAATTCTACAGAAAAGAATCAAGTTTTACATTAATCAGAAAAATGCAATAAAGAAGAAATACATACGAGAATCGAGATGAAAAGATGCATACTTTTTGTCTGAGGCGAACCGCTAACCACCCATGTGTTTGCAGCAATTGAAGCTTGAACTGTTATATCAGAAAAAAGGAATCAAAAACTTAAATAAAAAAAAAGATTCCGAGTATGTATATAAGAAGAAAAAGAGGGTAAAACTCAGAACTTTACCCTTGGGGCTGATGAACTGAATAACAACATCATCCTTGAAGATGTTAACTTCTTCAATTGCTGGAATGGAATTAACTCCAATTCTTTTGAGGGTGCTTTGGAGCCTCTTGTCATCGGTTGTATTGGTCTTGTGCACAGCCTTCTTCTTTCTGCATTGAGAGATCAAATGGCATTCATACAACAAAAAACAAAAGAAAGTAAATGCTAAGGATCGAAAGAAAGCAGAATATTTACCTTCTGACTGTACCCTTTCCGCCAGTGCGGACAGTGTTAGCCATCTTCATCAACTTCTCCCGATTCATCTGTTTATAAAAATCCAAATCCAATAAGCCCACATATGCACTCATGAGATTCAATTAAAGCTCTTAAATTGCGAATATAACACTCACAAAAACTTTCCTTTTATACAAAAAATCAATGAGAAAAGAGTAGTGAATGAATCTTCTCTTGCATCACCGGAAAAATAATTACACAAGAAGTAGGGCAGAAAGCAAGAACAAATTTTGAACTCAGATGTGTTTGAAGACGAGCTAAAGGTGCTATGAGCTTAACCTAAGAATCGATTAGGCAGTACCTTTTCAATCAAACACACACAGAATTTGAAAAAGAATAAACATCGTCTTTAAAAATTCCAAAACCGACAAAACTGAGCTCAAATCCATAAAGAAGTGAAACAATTCGTTAAAAAATGGGATACTGTATCCCAAACCATTCCCAAAAACAAGAAAAGTCAGAGAACCCTTTAATACCGGAACAAGGAGCCACAGGAGAGAAAGGGACAGTGCAAGATATGGATTTACCTTGAGATTTGATAATTAGGGTTCTAATTTCTTCCGAGAGTGAAAAGCGATAAGAAGAAATCAAGAGAGAAGAAGAAGTGAGACGCGGGCGGCGCAGGAGGGTTTTGCCTCTTTAACTATATGCTATTCGGAGCCAACCTCGTCTGTTAATCCAACGGTTAATATCAATCATCAGCTCCATAAAAACAAGTCTCAATCTCTACCGTTAAATCGTGTATTCGAAAATAATGGCCCAATTTGTTTCCTTATTTTTAAAGCCCAATTCAATATAGCGAATTTATTGCGAAAATTGTCAACCAAAAAAAAAAAATTTAAATATTTGATATTCGACAGCTAAATTTTATCACACAATATCGCCCTTAACTCCATTTAATCATGCTGCTAAGCAATTTAACAACATGACTAATTTGGTCTAGTCAACAAATTATGTTATTTAAATAAAAAATCAACATAAATACAAGATTTAATTTATCTATAAACAGTAAGTATCGTTTTTAATGGCCAAAATTTGAACATTAATATTTTTTTTTGACAATTTTCCCTCATTTAATTCTTATCATTTCTCTTAGATTATCAGCTAACCAATTTTTTTACCATCGATAAACTTATCATGTTGATTACCCATTACCGCCTTCTATCACACTACATTTTGTATACGCCATCTTATAAACTTATGCAAAAACGATTTGTATTCAATTGATAAAATATTCTATTACAATGTATGTAGTGTATGCAGTGTATGTCACTTTAAATAAATGCACGATCTACCGTTATATCGTGCATTCATTGTCGGAATCAATGGCCCAATCAATTTTTCAAATTCTTAAAGCCTAAACTAAGATGGCAAAATTCAATTTTTTTTTGGCCTCGACTTCAACTTTATATTAACCCATAAATGAGAGAACATCATGTTTATCCTCATTGAAATAATACTGAACACAAACTGACATAATAGAATATAATTAAGGAACATAATTCAAAAAAGAAAGAGTTTCATTTGCTATTCTGTCATCTATTTATTGGCAAATTTCATATTTATCATTTTTCAGCTAACCAATGATCAAAATCGATAAATTTATTATGTTGATTACCATGCGGTGCATTTTGCGTACGCCATATTCTAAACTTAGGTCCATTGGAACTATTATGTTCAATTGGTAAAACATTCTAACGCCCATAGACTTATTATGTTCAATTGGTAAAACATTTTATCACAGGGAGTTTTGTGTATGTCACTTTAAATACGCTGATCCACTGTAAAGATTTGTTTAATTGATAAAGTCTAAGAGACTATTCCATTATTGATGATTTCAACATTAGTTATTACAATATAGTTTGCTTAACTTAATCGGTAGAAACATTTCTAAAAAAATTTGCTTGGTGTATGAATTTATGAATATAAAGTTATATTTGATAGATATATAGAAGACGAATTTAAAAACGCTGGTCCAGTGGAAATAGTTGTTTTATTGATAAAGTCGAAGAGGCTATTCAATTATTGATAATTCCAGCATTAGTTAGTTATTACAATATAGTTTGCCTAACTTGCGGGGTAAACACATTTATTAAAAAAAAAAAAAATACTTGCTCCGTGAATGAATTCAGGAAAACAAATAAAGTTACATTACATAGAAACATGAAACCAAAACCAAAATATAATTCGCGGTTAAATAACCGCAATTACCTGTATTATATTTATTTTACTGTTTCTTCTGCACAACATTCTCCAAATACCAATCATAAGTTTGGCGAAGACCATCTTTAATAGAGATCTTCGGTGTCCATCCCAGAGACGCGAGCTTCGAGCTATCCATCAGTTTCCTCGGTGTACCGTCTGGTTTAGTGCAATCCCAAACAAGCTTCCCTTTAAACCCAACGACTTCCTTCACCAACTCAGCCAACTCTTTGATCGTCACTTCCACACCACTCCCTACGTTAACATGCTCGAATCCGCTGTACTGATCCATCAAGAAAACGCAAGCATCAGCCAAATCATCGACGTGCAAGAACTCCCTCAACGGGCTTCCGCTTCCCCAGACCACAACTTCTTCAGAATCGTTGGCTTTAGCTTCATGGAACCTCCTCATGAGAGCAGGAAGCACATGAGAATTCTCCGGGTGGAAATTGTCGTTTGGACCGTAAAGATTCGTAGGCATACCGGAGATTGCATCCCACTTGTATTGAAGCCGGTAAGCTTGACACATCTTAACCCCTGCGATCTTAGCGATCGCGTACCATTCGTTTGTCGGTTCGAGCGGACCGGTGAGAAGAGCAGATTCGGGTATTGGCTGAGGTGCGAATTTGGGGTAGATGCAAGAGGAGCCGAGGAAGAGGAGTTTCTTCACGCCGTGTGTGTAAGCAGAGTGGATCACATTGGTTTGGATTTGGAGATTGACACCAATAAAATCAGCTGGGTATGTGTTGTTGGCATGAATCCCACCCACTTTAGCTGCAGCGAGGATTACGTAAACCGGTTTCTCTGTAGCAAAGAAGGATTCGACATCGGATTGGCTAGTGAGGTCAAGCTCCGAATGCGTTCTAAGGACGAGATTGGCGAAACCCGATTCCTGGAGCTTGCGGACAATGGCGGATCCGACCAATCCCCTGTGGCCAGCGACAAAGATCTTGGCGGATTTCTCTGACATAAAGGAACCTGACTTCATCTCTGCATAGAGTGTTACGAGAAAGTAAAGACCAAAAATTTTAAATTTCCACGAAAATCTCTAAATGAATCCACAATCATGTTCTCTAGCAGCTTCCGAACGAAAAATGTATACATCTGAAACCTCATCTTTAGATAAACTTAGATATAAAATTCGGAGATTGACGTACCAGATCCTGTGGCGTCCGCCATTTTCGAATCTGATTGTTCAGAAATTTTTCAGGAGCATAAAAGGTCTCTGCAACAAGGTGAGAGATATAGAGAAAAGGGATTTTGACTTATATCTATCAGTTTTCGAAGTCAACGAACATAAGCGTAGAATTGTAGCTAAATGTTACTTTCCTCGGAGAACGTAAGGTGGATGAGATCTGAAACTCCGCCGGCGATCTGAATCGGTGTCGGCCACTTTTTTTTTTTGGTTCAGTTGATCGAATGTATCAATCCTAGCCCATGGGCCTTAAACAAGTCATTCTACGGTATTGCACTGTGAACCAGGACCAAATCCCCGGTTGGTAGCTATTCATTTGATTCAATCAAATTGTTATGAAGGGTGAAAGGGAGTGTCCTAAGAAATAAACAAAGGAAATGGAAAACTTTTTTCAGGTTTGGCTTTGACATAAGTCACATCAAAAAAAAAAATAATAAGAAAAAGGCAACAAATTGTCACGAAGCTCCACTAACCCGGGATCATGGTTTAATTTTGGTGTATTAATTGGTCATATAACAGAACATAGTCCTCAAAGCCATGGATTTTAAATATCGGCGGCGGGGAAATGACTAATTAACCTGCTTTGGTCCCTGGTCTGAGAAGCTTAACCTTCCTCTTTGAGTCCACACTCAACTAAAATCACAATTATCTTGCATTTACATTATAAAAAAAAAAAAAATCATATGTTGCATCATCTGCTTGTTCTTCAATCTAGTAAATATATATCAAATCAACAAACATAATATATCGAGAGCAATAGCAATAATAGAAAATTTTAGGACTAAGGATTAATTAGCGATGAGTATGATGGAGACTGCAATGGTATTAGATTTCATAAAGTTTATGAACTGAACGCCAATAAATGCATCCAAGAACAATAGCATTTGTATCTAATGAGTAAGCTTTGTGTTGTATATTAACTAGAGGTGTCAAATTGGGCTTTGACCTGCGAGTTCGGCCCAAGTAAAACCGTAGCGGTGCGGGCTTGGACACCATAAAATTTGTCTAAATAAAAAGCGGGTTTTGCGGTCCAAACCCGCGTGGACGTTGGGCTTTTGCGGGTCGGGTCAAAGCGGATCCGCGGGTTTGCGGGCCAACCCGCAAAATTTGATGTTTTCTTGTAAACTTCGAAAAGTGAAGTATTTTGTCATTTTTGATTAATAGATTTCGAAGTAGTAGTTTCATAGAGTGAATCGAAGCCTAGTGGAATCATACTTCAGCTATTGGACTTTGTGATAGCTTCATTTCAATGAGATCAAAAAATCATTAAACTAGTATATGTTTTATATTCGATTCGATTCAGATTCTGTGATTGGATTTTTGAATTTGAGAGAAAATCTGGTCATTGTCTTCAGCTAAAAACAAGTAATTTTTTTAGAGTTTTAATTAATTTCAGTTTAGTGTCATAAGTTTGCTTGTTTTTTGTTGGTTTTGCTCATCGACTATATCACGGACGTGGTTTTATTTTGTCTGCAGCGATGCAAAGGTAATTTAGAATCGCTTAAATCTTGAATTGACAATAAATAGTTTTGCTTGAAAATCACATTTGTTTGTACGCTAGACTAACAAATAAGCTTTGTTCATATTTTTTATTATTTATTTTATATGTGAATGTCTTGTTGCTTGTATCTTGATGGTTATTTAGCTTAAATTACCAATTTTTATGTGTATCATTATTTGTAATTCATTTATTTGCTTTTCAAAACTAAGTGTCTATTTTTACCGTTAAATTGATTTTTCAAATCTTATGGTATCCTAGGGTTAGGAGTTTTGTATAAGAGGTTTATCGAATTCATTTGTTTGTTCATCGAATTTACTTAGACAAGAATTTTCTTTAGTTTTGTTTCTTATGCATATTGTAATTCAGTTACGAGGAAAATTTTATTCTCCTCTAGCAAATTTTCTGGTACTATAAATCTAAATGTCATAAAAACTTTAAGATGAAGAAGAAAGTATGAATCCGCAGGCCAGCCCGCAAAACCGCAGAATATAGGCGGGTCGGGCTTAGACACATCAATATGGGACCGCAGCTTATGATGGGCCAATCCGCCAGACCCGGAAAAAAATTAAACCCGCATCAGATCGGGCTATTTGGACGCGGGTTGGCCCGTTTGACATCTCTAATATTAACAATGCCGATCCATATGATATGATCGATTCAATTTAATCTAGATCTAACATTCATAATTAGAACAAAACCCTGAAAATATATTGACTTAAAAAATATGGAAGAAGTTCAGTGCTAAAAAAAGAGATTAACGGCGATAGAATGACAATATATGGAAGAAATTTAGCCAAGAAAAGAGTAACATTACAGCTGTAATAATAAAAATATAGAAACAAAACAGAAGTCAATGCCCGAACCATACATGAAGAGCATTTGTTGCATGGTGCGCTCTTGACTCCCACTAAATAAATGTTACCTTTCGAAAAACAAAAAAAAAAAAAAAAAAAAAACAGCAAAAAGATAGAGTGAAGAGAGGAGACAGATACACAGAAGAATAATGACTCCTTACACTCTTTGCAGGCATTGAAGGCAAAAATAAGTACTACCTAAAATAACTTTTCACTTCCCTGATCATTGAAGACAACCCCAGAAATCAGATGGGAAAAATGAGCTAATTAATGGCGTCTTCAAGCAGTTGAAGGACAGTTCAAGGTGGTTTTAATTTGCTGGACAGTGGTGCTGATGAGATTATTAACTGTTTCCATTGACTCCACATTCAATTTCGCTGACTGCAAACTACTCACCATTATCTGAAAACCAACCGTTATCAATGAACCTCCTCCTCCTTCAACTTTGTGCTCTGCGAGCTGGTTATTCCTGGTTCCGTCTGGTGAAACGGCGAAACCCGAGGGTAGAATGGGAACATAAGATGTGTCTTGACCGCTCATTGCCATGTTCAGTGCTGGTAGATCCACCGGAGTGTAGACCACAAGCGAGCCTGATGAGTCTACGCAGCTTTCTTGTAGAATCAGCATGTTGTTTTGTGATGAAGATGCATTGAATCCCTAATGAGAAAAAAAAAGTGAAAAACATCAAACAGAAGAATCAAGAATCAAATAATCTGTATAAGTTTAGTAGCTTACGCGGAGAACCGAAATGCAGTTTCCAGGGTGTGAGCCGTTTGCGATATGAGCAACTTCTTGAACAGAATTTCCATTCGAAAGAACGTCCCACTATAAAACCAAAATGTAAAGAAACATTTTTTAAAAAAAAAACAAGAAAAATATTACACAAAGATGATGTCAAGTACCTGTGGCCGAGTTCTTTCATCTTTGAGGAAATTGAAGACGTTTTGTGGAGAAATTGGGAGCCAGAAACTAGTGGCTGCACATAGAACCATTCCATTTGGTTCATGCTGACTCTTATACGAGGTCACACGGATTCCAAACTCGTCCAACCCGGAAATAACCGTTGAGCGATTGTTGTTAGATGTGCCAACGCTCAAGCAAAAGTTGCTTACCATTCTTTGAGATAGTCTCATTATACTTCTCTTCCCTTCCAGAGATGGAATCACTGAAATTGTTTTTTTGTTCTTTTCAAATGGGTTACTTGAAAGCTTATTAAGCTGGTTGATTAAGATTTTAAAACCTTTATAATTTTACCTCCTTTGAGATCGCGGGAAGATGTTGCGGGTTCTAGTAGAGTCTTGAATCTCTCGCACATTCTTTGGAGAGTAGCGATCCAACGTTCAGCTCCAAAAGCTAATCCTTGACGGACATTATCTTTAAACATCTCGTGAACCGGTTCTTGCTCCTCCGTATCAACATGTTCGACCCAAATAACCTGTATATTTGTATATTCAAAGATAATCAGTCAAATGATTCCAGATGCTGATAAAGTGAAACAAACAGAACAACAGTTACACACCTTGGAATAGCCATTGGACATGTCTTGAATCAAGCAACCAGAAGGATACCGATACGACCGAGAATGAGATATAAACTGAGGGAACTCATAGGAGACATTTACAATTGCCCAAGTTCCATGTTGTATTTGCTGACAATATCTTAGCCCGCAGAACTCACGCGTCGGTACCAATGGGGAAAGCACTTGAAGCTCTTCAAGCATCTATCACAAGCCAAAACAGAGTCAATCACAAGTTTCACACACACACACACACACACAAAGATATAAACTTTAGTGTTTTTGTTTTTACCAAATGCAATGCATCTGCACGGTTTCCGCGCAAGCTGGATGAAATCACTGCAAGGGTTTTAGATGTTGCAACAATTGAGGGAAAAAGCTCTGCAGATTTGACCTGCAAATTAATGAAAACCCCACACACATGAGAAAAACCACAAACCCAAATAGTGTAAGAAACTTATATTTGGGCTAGTTACTCACCGAGTCCATGAGCATATCAACAAGGGTCATAGCATTAGTGAAAACAACGCCAGAAAATCTAGATGCTTCCTTTCGAAGGTTATGGTTCTTTCCTCCACGGCTACTTGATCTTGAGAATATATTCTCATAGCTTTCGAGATTGAGAATTTCTCTGCATCCATCGGTTTTGATCCATAGAGGCTCATTTGTTTGTGTGAGCCTAAGCAATTCTTCCATAGCGGTCACAGCGATGCTGGTCATAAGAGACTTATCTATGTCTGATAAAACCAAGTTTGGCTGAGATGGTAAATTAGGAACAGTAGCCATTGAAGAACAACTTCCTGGAAGAAGATCAAAATCAAGCGAAGGACCACTATGGAATAACTCTGATGGCGAAATGTGCATCGGATTTAGTATTGGTGGGAGATGAGCAAGAGGTCCTATGAATTTAGCTGCAATGCTTGAAACCCTTTCAAGCTGCCAAAAACAAACATCAAAATGTTAATGAAAGTTTAAACTCTAAAAATCACCAACAATGCCATCAAAAGGGGAAAAAAGAAAGAATGTAAAACCTCTTGTCTTAGCTGTGCATTTTCGATTCGAAGCTTCTGTTCATCAAAGTAAGAGTCTTCATTAACAGGAGAATCACCACAGTTAGGGCAAATGGCGTGTTTTATAGCTTCTCTAATCGCAATGTTTTCGCAACGAATCTTATCATTCTCTTCCTTGAGTGCACAGTTATCAGCTCTCTCGTGTTGTGCCTACAACAAGAAACCATAGAGACGCAAAATAAGAGATCTTTTGATGGGAGACGAAACGAGAAAGAGAGAAAGTTAAAAGTTAAAAACCTTCTTTTGTGTTCTTCTGTTCTGAAACCAAAACTTGATCTGTCTTGGAGCTAAACCCAATTCTCTGCTAAGTTGCAACCTCTGTTTCTCATCTGGATGTTGACACTCATTGAAAGTTCTGCCAACAAAAACCAAAACACATCAGAGAACAGAACACAACAGAACATAAAAAAAAAGCGAGAAAACAATGAGCAAAAAAGGATTATACGATTCGAGGCGTTGGATCTGGTGAGGTGTGTGGCGGTGAAATCGCTTCTTCTTCTTCCTCTTGTCCATTTCAGAACTGTCGTGATTTTGGCTGTCGCCGAGAAACTCCATCTTCATTCAAAGTAATGTGTAGACAAAGAAACAGTAACAAAACCTTTTTTCCTCTACCCTTTTAACCAAACCACAAAACTTGCTCACTCTGGACCATCACACAACTGTCGCCATTAACGCACCCCAGAAAGAAAAAAAAAAAGTTACCAACTTTGAAAAAAAAAAGGATCAAAAGATCTCTATCTCTAGAGCATAGTCGTGAGAGAGAGAGAGAGAGAGAGAGAGAGGGATAAAAGAGAAGAAAAGAAATGAAACGGCAGAGAATCAGGTGAAAGATAATGAAAGGGAGGAGAAAAGGCTAGATTTGGGATACGATACAGTTTTAAAGCAAAGAAGAATCTCACGCAATAAGCCAATAAAATCCCCAAAAAATTCAAATCAAATTCATAGCCCGTAATTATGTCTCTTCTCGCTCTACAGTAAATTGATCTCTCGGCCTTTCATCTCAAACCTATCATAAGCCGCCATTAGTGCGCCTTTTACATTCATTACAACAGATTCCAAAATTACTCTCTCTCTCTCTCTCTCTCTCTCTCTCTTCTTACCTGTCTCCCTAGAGAAATCGCGTAGCTGATACTGATGGGTTTTTAATGGCGTTTGACAGAGGCAGAAGAGAGAGAGGTTATGGGTTTTAAATTCTCTTGCTTCTTTCTGCATTACTGCCAAGTACTCTCTCTCACCATCTTCGAGGGAGAGAGAGATGCCTGAAACCAACCTTCCCCTCTTTCTCTCTACACTTTCATTTAAATGTGCCGGAGAGAATAGTTCCGATAAACTTTTATGGTTGAAAAGTCGTCGGCGAATTTAAAAAACTGGAGACTTTATCCACTTTCTCAGTGTCGTGTAATGACAAAATCTAACTTTTCTTTTGGACTTTGCTGACCTCATCTTCTCCTCCTTTTCTTCCTTTCCTTTTTTAAAAATTTTTTTAGTCAAACACAGTTAAAAATATCAAACCCATGAGTGAAAAACTCGAAGACAAGTAGACAACTAAAAAAACTTGAGGGAATATTCTTTATTACTGTCATACATTGGGCATAGTGAATAAACTTGCTTAATGTTAGCAATAGGGATTAGCAATAATATACATCTTCTTTCTTCTTCAATTGAATGCCTGAAGCGATCTGATCAACCAGAAAAACAAAAGAAAGGATCTCTTTTTTTTTAATCTGTTTTCATTCGCTCCATTCCGTTAGTTCCTCTCTTCGTTTGCGTTTAGTTGTTGTTGGAGCCTCATACCAATCTCCTACTCTCAAGGCATTTGACATAGCCATCACTGCTTCTTCAATTGCTTCTCTCTCCTCTGGATGTAGATCCTCCAGTGACAACGTCGAAGCCACCTCGTCAAATTGGAGTATTGCAGCTTGCTACAAAATAAACAACAAATGGTATAAAAGGTGCAACTCGAGGTGATTTTTTAATGCATTAAATTAACCAAAGACGATCCATTTTACCACGTTCATTATATCAGCTTCGAGGCTTGTATCTCTGTGAAGCTTTGGGACAGTAATGCTATTGAACCACTGCATATATTCATTCTCATCACCATTGCCTCCTTCACTCTCCACTATGTTTTCCCTTCGTCTCATCCATTCGTCGTCTGCTGTGTTCATGTCTTCCGCTAAGTCATCGTCGTGGGTTTTCTCATTTTTTCTGGGAGGAACTTCTCCGGGGATTACTTGGCACAGACCAAACTGCTTCATGCATCTATCTGGGAAGTGCCATTCTACTACTTTTGGACCAATCAATTTTGTTCTTGACCTACCTAGTAGTAGATTATCTTTGAAACTTTGTGGCACAATGTCAAGATCTCCTTCGAAGGGGCACCAACTAACCTAAAGAGAGTTCGGGTAGTAACAAAATTTCATTAGGGATTCAAAACCAAGGAACGTTTTTAAGAATGCAATGATATAAACTCTTACATTTGATGGATCTAGATCGTCAAGTGCCTTGCGATACTTAAATAAGTCATTCTTTGATCGACTCTGTTGCCTTCCTTTCCACAAAAGTGCAAGGGGAAATTGACGGGTGCTTCTCTTTGGCCGGTCAATGTTGAGGTGGAAGTAACTCCAACACTGAAGAAGATAGTAGCCACAATTAGTTTTTTTCTAAAAAAACTTCTCAAGCGTAAAGAAACAACAGAGAACATGAAGCTCTTAATAAAGATAATTAAAAAGAATTGCAGACAAAGGGAAACAAACCTGCAAGAGTGTCAAGCATCCACCAATGATACTCTGAGACCGTTGAGAGGCATTACCAATTTGCCTATACAAGAAAGCTAGCGCCGCAGCACCCCAAGCGTGTTCTCCAGCTTTCTCAAAATCCTCAAAGAGAATAAGGAAATCGACGGATATCTTACTTGGATCCGTAGTTGCAAAAATTGTGCTCCCAATAAGGTATATAAGATAAGCACGCGTGTGATACTCTATCTCCTTCGCCTTAGCTCCCTTTGGACACTCTGCAAAATTCTCCTTCAGCCATTTCGCAGTGACTCTGTTACCGCTCAATTCACCTTTTGGTAGTTTCCCCAAAAGTCTCTGGCATACTTGAGAAGGGTCTTCATCTTTTTCCTTCACACCAACCACAGGCTTCCCATCAACAGGAAGACCAAGAATCAACGATACCTCATCGAGAGTGATTGTCATTTCGCCGCAGGGGAAGTGAAACGTGTTGGTTTCTCTTCTCCATCTCTCGACGAGTGCAGAGATGAGAGAATTGTTCAAACTGATTGATCCTATTAGCCTAAACCAGCCAAAACCTGCTTTGTCTACCAATTCTATCTGCTCCTTTGTGAGCTTCCAGTGATGAAGCAATGACGTTCGTTCTTGGCATCTAAGCACACCTCTCTCCTGCAAAGACAAACCAATTCCCGAGTTGTTCGATTAAGACAAAGACAATCCAGATGGAGAATGGAACAGCGATTATTACTACCTGTCCGGTCAAAATAGCAGAAGACACGTGCTTATCTTGCTCGTAAAGGACGGGCATGGTCAGCAATATATGTGGTTTCACCTGTATCATCAGTGATAATGGCATTCAAATTAAGGTTTCTTTGTCAAGTGCGATCAAATCGACACAATGATTCCATAAATGGGTTCCATTTATCTAAACATCAATCACTTTTAGGTTTCCTCATCTAAGACTTCACGAGATTATATCGAGATTAATCTAGGTATAGCGATACATAACAGTAGAAAGAGGGAACAATTAGGGTTCGTCAATCTCTTTAAACTTAAAAATTGGCACAAACCAGAACTACCAGTAGAACAAAGAATATATATAATCAACAACACGAAAAGCTTACGATTCAGAAACGAAAACAGACGAGAAAGATAGATGTAGGTTGCTTCGGAGTAATTTGAGACGGTGAGATATCGCAGCGCAGAGTGTGAAGAATCTGCTGGATTGGGCAAAAATTAAATCTTCAAAATCGTCACTTTATTTTAACATTTTTTACAAATTCATTAATTTTTTTTTTTTAAGAAAACTCATTTTAACTTAAAATTAATACTAGTTTGGTTAAACAGAATTGGTAACGATATTTTAACGGAAAATTCACATTGCAACAAAATGACATTTTTTATACTTTAAAATAACATTTTTTATGATGAAATGGAGAGGGTAAAAGTTATGAATTGCAAAATTTACAGCCAAAAACAGCCAAAAGTGGAAGATATCTGCATCATCTTCTCCATATTCTGCTTTATTCCAGAACTTTCTTTTCAGTTTCTCTGATGCTTCAGCTCCAAGTTTAAGGGTTTTAACACCCTTCTCTTACAATTTGCTTTTGCATACACTTTAGGTACTCTTGAAGTATTGACAATATTGGAAATGGCAGAAATGATACTTTATTGCAGAAATATTTTGTTACATTAACATACAAAGATCTCTTCCTTGTAAATTGACCCAAACCCAATTTGTTAAGTGTTTTTTTTCTTTCTCACAAACAACAGAGATCAGATCATAGAAACCGGTCGCGTAAATTCTATAACCATACCACAATTTTGCAGGCAGCCATTGGAAACCACTGATTCTTTTGCTCTATAAGGTTAACGCATCTCTATCTTCGATTGCTGGTTTGAAGCGTTTTGAGCATCTTCAGACTACGGAAGCTTCAACGAGAGGAAGTTGATACTCATCCGGTTTCAATGCCAAAGCGAAATCAGGAAGTGTTGGTGCCGTCTCCATGATTCTGTTAATCAGAAAGCATTCACAGATCAAGAAAAACAAATTCAGCATTATATGTTGTTGCAAAAAGAAAAGAAACACTCACTTTTCATAAGAGTATAGATCACGGTTTATCCTGACTTTACTCGAAGTATCTTTCGGGATTTTCTCTGTTAGATACTTCATTGTCCCAAAAAGCGGTGGTGTCCTGCAGAAAGAAAAATGAAATCTTTAAACAACTTCTTATCTGTGACCAAATTAGCTCAGAATAAAACCGACTACAATATAAAGAAATTTACCTTGAAGTAGGTGAAGAGGCGTTGAATGCTTCGGATGCTTTCTTACTTTCTTTGAAACATTCATCTGCAGCTTGTAAAGCAGCAACTGCCATGCCATGTGATTTCTCTGTGTTTCCTTCATCAAGAATCAAACCGTGATAGTAGTAAGCCGCAGCCTGATCCAAAAGATTCCAGAATATGACAAGACATTAGACAAGTGGACCTTAATTGCCTATCGCATTTAAGCTCATGTCTCCTTTAAAAGCTTCATTGTTCTTAATAATGATGGGTTTATATAAGCGAAATCCGAAGCTACGTATCTCATAGAGACGGAGAATCTTTACAAGGAAAGGCAGACCAAAATGCAGCCATAGCTCAGGACAATAATTGAAAAGGACCAGACCAATCTACATATGATAGGAGTAAAGAGAGGAAAAGAGCAAGAAAATTCAGCGCCAAACAGTACCTTAGCTTCAACATACTTCCACTTAACAAAGAGTCTATGCTTTTCTCCCCAACCATTTGCTAATGGAAGATTCATTAAATTATCTTGTGCCTGTTACAGTGGACCACCGGCAACAAAATGGAAGCATTAACAAAAACTTTCAGATGTTTCCAAACAAGTGAGAGTCACTAATTAATCTATAAACCAGTCTCAATGACAAACAAATTGAATATACCTGCTGCCAATATTTCACCATTTCACATGAAAGTCTTCGTTTTACTGCAAGAGTGGCCTTTGAGCTATCAATCGCCATGCCAAGTTGGATATCAACACCCTAAAATTAGCACTTGTAAGATGTTAAATCCTAGAAGAGAGAACGAAACCACATGAATCCATCAACATACTCAGAGCTATAGAAAAATGCCATGGGATAACTTAACCATATCCATTCAAAGAGAGTTTTAACCTGGCCTAGTGCTTGCAAGCAAAGAGCTCGTAGAACTCCTTCCGCTAGGTCGACCGGTAAACTTCTCCTGCAGAAAAAGAAAGCAATGATTGTGCCATTAGGCTCACTTCAGGATTATCAACACGTAGAGTGAACGACATAAAAAACTTTGCCATCTAAAAACCTTTGCTCAGCAGAAAACTGAGGGAGAACATGCTTAACGGCACAGTCAAGATATCCAGCTGCCTTTAAGAAGATATCAATCGAAGCTCGTCTGTTTTCTATAATGAAAAGAGACAACCAAATTGTTAAGTTTGAGGGACCTTACCATCACATAGTAATGTATGCGTATTCTCCTCTCAAGCAACTGAAATAGATGAGTCTCGAAGAAGCCTAACCTTCTGATACTTTTGGATGGTTGTGGCCATCAGTAGAACCTCTAGGAAGAAGCAGTAAATTGGCTTGTGACATTTGTAGCATTGCCATTAGATGCAAAACAGACAAAACTTCATACCAAACGTTTGACATTGCTGTTTCCTGGTTAGAAGTAAATATGTAAGAGTCAGTATACATTTTAATTGGGTAAACCTGAAGACAAATTGCTCTGATTGCTACTGCACCTCTTCCTCATCCTCTTGATTTACCCAATTAAAATGTACTTTAAACTGTAGATGGCTACCTAAGGAACAATACAAATACTGCAGGGTCAGAATAAATCTCCGAAATTAAGCAGATCTTTTTCTATAAAACACATAACGGATTATTACCATCTTTAGTTAATCCCAAAAGAACAGGTAGATAGTCTACCAAGGCTTGATGGAGATCTGAGAGCGTTGAACCTCCTGCCAAGAAAAAAGAAAAATCCTTCACGAGTTCTAAACAGTAGAAAGCAGAGAAGAGATAGAAACACACAAAGATCTTCTCAGACATATATACCATGTTGTGTCTTTCTCCTAGTTCTCGTTATTGTCGGTCCTTCTTGATTAGCCATCACTACTATACGCGTTCTTAAAGCTGTCAAGCGTTCCACTAGAGTCTTTGGCAATTGATCACCAAGTGACTGCGAAAACTCCACGGGCCTCGGTATCCTTAAACCGGGTACATATACTGAAACCTCACCGATGCTTGTTGGCTTTCTTCTGTTCCCACCAGAATCTTTCGGCGTCGATGCAAAGCATCCCATTTTTAACAGAGCTTAAAAGAAATCTACAAACCCAAAAGACAATTCTAGACTGTAAGGTAAGTGCCAAATTTTGATAAAGGTTTCACAAGGAATCTTATGAGAAACAATCTATGACGATCGTTTGATCAAAGCTAGAAGAAGAGAGGAGAATGATTCCACAACAAAGATGCAATAAGGAGAAACTTGGTAAAAATTAATGTCCAACCGAAAACAGCTCAAGTCCTTCCTCCTCCACTAGATTCATAAGGATAAAGTTAAAACCAGCTCACGAGCTATCTGCCATTACTGTACCATCTTCATTATTCATCGTGAATAGAAATCTACACGAATCTTCACAATAATCTACTTTAAGACCAAGGTCCAAGCAGAAAAAAACAAGCAAATGACGCAAGTAAGAGGTTGAATTTCTCACCTTGACCTTTATCAGATTATTGACTATTAGCTATCTAACACAATTGGTTTCTGCAAGAGGAGCAAAAAAAAAAAAGCATGGAAGTCACGGATAAAGCATGAAACTTGAAGCATTTCGTATTACATAATTTCTCCACTATGAAGGATTCTGAAAACAAAACGAAATCCCGGAAACTGGTAAGAAAAAACATATACCCATTAGAAAAACGAGGATTTTTCAATGCTGCGAAGAAGCAACTTGACTTGAAAAGAGAAGACTTTGAGTAAAGGGTCACCAAGAATTATGCTAAAAAAAGAAATTGTAAGGAGGAATAATGGAAAGGGATGCCTTATCGAAGCCCAAAAGTAAAAAGGAAAAACCTTAAGCGACATTTTCGCCAGACGGAAAGAAAAAGAAAAAAAAAAAGACAGTAGACTACCGAATCGGACTGACAGGATTTCTGATTTTTGAATTCGAATTAAACCATCAACTATTAAGATAGAACCCTACTTTAGGATTGAATCGTTCGAAAGTCGGCAAAAAATGGAAACAAACTGAATCAACAATGAATCTCAAAAAAAACATTTTAATTAGTAAATTTTACCAACGAACCGAAGAACCGCTCCTTTATATTGCTGAACTGAAAGGAGAGAGATTTTCACTGATTCTTAATTTTAAGAATCCCATGAGAGTTTTTTTTATTGTTGAAGTCGAAGAGAATGTTTCTTTTAAAAGAATGATACAGAGAAGGAAGATGAAGAAGAAGCAGAGGAAAATTATTAGAAGGGATAAATTTCAACGCGAGGAGAAAATAATGCTCTCGCTAGTACCTCACTAGTCAGTATATCTAACTACCAACTAACAAACAAAATAGAAATATGTATATATATAAGAAAATTTCTCGTTTCTCTACATTTTTTGTTAATGGAAAAATTTTCGTGACTTCAAAATATATTATCTACACATTCGTCCAATAATTAATTTGAATTTGAATTTGAATTTATTTATTTATTCGAGTTATAGTAACTAACATGAACAATTTACAGTAATTTGTCCATCATGTATAATGAGTTAACCATATGCTAAAATTATATATGAGTTCAATCATGATGCAACAAATTAATTCGTTTCATTGGTAGCATGCTTCTTTGGTGTTAAATATGATAATGGATATGCTTAAACTGACATTACGGATAACTTATACCATATCTTAAATCTTAAAGCAAAATTATGATTAGTATTAATCCGTTTTACATGTAAATATTAAAATGTAAATGACATATGTATAATGCCTAGTGGATGGGGTAATGATAAATGATATGAAATATTTGACGTGCTCGCATCATTAGCTGGCCATTGGCCTCATTCTCGTCTTGATGTAGATTTGCTCTCAAAGACAGCTTTACATTCTATTTTTCTACATTACAAAACATCGATCTCTTGTGCTATTCATATTTCAAAGACATTTCTAATATAATACTTACAATTTTATATTATTATATCAGATACAAATTTATAGTACTAATTCAGTAAATTGATCATGACATAAACCATATAAAATGTTGTTAGATATTTAAGTAGCGCGTTAGATTGAAATATCTAAGTATACAATGATTATGCTGAATAGTTCACCCAACATTAATTTTCTTAGCATCCATGGCATTACTGAATTTCGTCCACAATCATTCATTTTAACTTTACAAAAATATCTAAAATGCATGTCGTTGTTAACATTTCTTAAGAAAAAATATTGGATTTGAATCTAATAACGTGGATGGTTGTAGTAATTAGTAAAACACTAGTATATGTTATGAAAGGGCTAAAAGACAATCATCGTAGATCTTTGTTGTTGTTACAAAATAGAATAATAATTAATTAGCGAGGGACAAAATCCTCACCGGCCTTAAAAACGTTATAAGGTGCATAGCGAGTCCACACGTCCTTTCACACTTGTTCGTCTCTATGTACCATAAAGGCACCGGTGGCTTCGCTTCTGCTAAATAAGGAAACTGCCAGAGATGTCATTGTCCACGTCGCAGCCTCGTTGGACACGTGACATTACTGTTTCATTTCTTCTTTTTTTGGGCGGGCTCAACACAAAGGTACTAAAACAATTGAATTATTATTGTTTGTGGAGACCACCGGACAGGTGTCGAGGCTACGGTTGCTAAACATCGCGGCTGTCTTTCACCGTCACCGTCCAACAACGGTCCGAATACTTTATAAGGCTGGTAAGGTGGTTGGTGACGACACGTGTCCTCAATCATTCCGTTAAGTCCAAGATATCTTCTGCTTTTTTTTTTTTCTTTCTTTTCGTTTTTTGTCTTTGGCTCTTTCCTTTTATAGAACAGTCTTATTTTTCAGTGATTTATAAGTTTATAACCAACAAACATCACTAGAGAACTTTGTGTACAAAAAATCATTACTAGAGAACTAAATTACTAAATTAGTATTATTATTAAAAAAAAAATAATGGCCTGACGCACTCGGTGTATGGCTTCAGTCTCTAACTTCCACATGAGCTTTTATTTTGCATGCATTGAGAAGACTGATACATGCCATAGGACGTCGAAACAGTTTTTTAACCGACCCGGTTCGTCCCTCAAAACTCCACCCGCCAAAAACTCCTCAACCAATCCAAACGTCAGCGTTTTTGTACGTAGTTAAGTCCAGAAGACTACAGTATATATCTGCCCCGTGCTCATTGCTCAGTCCGTCTTTTATCAAGACTTATCATGGCCGAATTCGTAATCCTGCGGGGTTTTGGCCATATTAAGTTATTAACATCCATGGAATATTAAGATCTGACAGTTAAGAATTGTGATTGTAATGCCTTCTTTCATCAAGACGAGGGAAGAATAAGACAACTTTTTCCGAAAAGTTAATGACCCATGTTTTGAAATTTATTGGAGGAAGTGTGGGTTTGATCATGAACTCATGGATGCTCTAATTAAGTTGTGTCACTGTGGTATGGTCATGGAGGCGTAAGAGTTGTTGAAAAATACGAAGAGCAGAGTTTGGACACACTTAATAGCCGCTGAATCCGGTCGAAGAGATGGTCCAAGATTTGTCATTTCTAAAAGGGTCTTTTTGATTAGAGTACAATGATGCTACATTGTGGATATATTTCATTGATGAAACTGGCAAGAAGCTCATCAATTATCTCCAGGACTCAAAGCATATATCCTTGTTTTAGCTTTTGTTTTCTGAGATAAACAATTTGTTAAAAGACATAGACCGGTTTAACGTAATCAGTATCCGGTTTGCTTGTGAGTATTAGAAGATATCTGTATAAGATTTAGTTATGAATATGATCTATTGTATTGACTTCCTTCCCAACAAACTCTACCTATTTTCCTACTAAACTTCACCAGTAATTAATTTTGGTTTTGTTCATATACACACGTGCAAGTGAGTTCTAACACAATTTAATTATGACTTACCTAGGATTCAATTGATTGGATTTTAAGCTATATGTATTTCAATAAATCCTTAAAAACAATCTATAAACAGTTTTGTAAGCAATCCCAAGGAAGGTTTAAAGTACAATATATCACTTTTTCAGGTATTCAACTTTTTCAGTTATTCTATTTTAGAGCGCTGAGACACGAGAGAAAGTTATAAGTGATGTGCTTCGAGACCAAATGTTTGAGCAATTAAGATGCGACGAATTGTCAAATTCATTCATTTTTATAAAGTATAAAGCCACTGATATATATCAATCAATTAACAAATTAATCAATCAAGACACATAGTCTTATTAGGGTTTCCACGTTAGCAAAAGGAACATTTGGTTAGGTCTGAAAGGTTAACAAAACATATCCATAGATAGTTTCTTAATTTTCTTTATTATACGTGACCAGCAATTAAATCACAGGTCCCCAACATCTTTACCAAACTCTCTCCTTCTCCACCAGTTTTCATTCTTAACAAATGTATTGATACATTATTTACGAATTAAGTTATAAAAGCAGTTAAGAACTTGTACTAATATATCGTCCATTAGTTATACCAAAGGCAATACGGTATTACGGTTGGAATCTATTCATCAACTTGATATCCACAAATACTGGAATAACAAACGTCTCATTGTCCCTTTTTTGGACCTACTATAGTATTTCTTTTTTTCTATAATATAGATTTATGATAATGTAAGATTATTTCCATAAAACTGCAAAATTCTCCACAAAATATATATGTTTTTCATATGTGAAAAACGTTAACACATTTAAGCTTTTTACCAAACATCTTTTACAAACTAAAATCATAATAAATAAAGTTTGTTGGGTTTTTTATATTTCTCAAAATGAAATATCTTTAACATTATGTAAACACAATATTTTAACATATGAAAACAAACATAGTTTTTAACGTCTGCAACGTAAAAGTACATTCATTCGTTGTACCATAGATTATATTATATATACATCCCATCTTGAACCATGTTCTAGAAGTTGTCCATATCTATACAAGGCTGCTGGCTATAAAATATTGCATAATTAAATATGGTTACATGATTATACATATGTGTGTATCTTGCAGAAGAGTCGTATGCAAACGTAGATGAAGTATTGGTGGCTGAAGTAGAGGGTTTAGGTTAGAAAAAAAAAATTTAAGAGTAGACGTTGAAAGTTTAACGAAATTCACCCCACCAAGCAATCCCTCCCCTCTTTGTGTAATTTCCTTTTCTTTCCTTTTATTATTCATCAAAAAAAAAAAAAAGTCGCACAGAAACAGAAGAAATCTATAATGGAAAACTCTGATAAGAAGTGAAAAGAAAGAAATAGACGATGTGGAAAATAAAATAAAAAAAGGTAGATTACTTAAAAGGAGTGTGTTTGGTTAGGGAAGACGTTGGCATCAATCGCCGGTGAAAACGTCCCTCCAAACTCTCCCTCACTCTCTAACGAATCTTATAATATTCATTAAAGAAAGATCAATTATATATATATATTTGTATGTATGGTGCTGTTGCTCTTCAGCTTTCTTCTTGTTCCTACATACCCATCTTCCCTCACCTACATCAAACCTAGGGTTTCTTATATATATACACATACATCTATATTTATTTATGTATTAATTTGCACAAACAGGAAAATAGAAGAATTAGAAAATGATGTGCAGTCGAGGCCATTGGAGACCTGCAGAGGACGATAAGTTAAGAGAACTCGTCGAACAATTTGGTCCTCATAATTGGAACGCCATAGCTCAAAAGCTCTCTGGTCGATCTGGTAAAAAAAAATCAACTTAAGAATCAGCACATACTATATATATGTTTATTTGGTTTGGTTTTTTATTTTCTTATATTTGACTTCAGGTAAGAGTTGTAGATTGAGATGGTTTAATCAACTGGATCCTAGAATCAACAGAAACCCTTTCACGGAGGAAGAAGAAGAAAGGCTTTTAGCGTCTCATCGGATCCATGGGAACAGATGGTCAGTGATCGCTAGATTTTTCCCTGGTCGCACTGATAACGCCGTTAAAAACCATTGGCACGTCATCATGGCTCGTCGTGGCCGAGAACGGTCCAAGATGCGTCCACGTAGCCTTGGCCCCGATGGTACAGCGGCTGCGACTGCGACTGCGATGATGAATTATAACGACTACGATAAGAAAAGAAGACCAGCAACCGCAACCGCTATTAATTATCCTTATCAGTTCTCTCATGTTAATCATTTTCAGTTCCTCAAAGAGTTCTTGACCGGAAAGATCGGGTTTCGGAATAATAATACTCCAATCAATGAAGGTAATTAATTACATCAAAGTGGCTTAATTAAACTTGTGTCTTTTTGTAGCTAGATAGATGCATAAACATAAAATTGTGTATATTTACGTATATTATGAGTGGATACATATAGAAATCTACAAAATACAAGCTCATAACCAATAACCATATAAGATAATCAACATGTAAATTCGTCTTTTATACCTGATTTTAGAAACGGATAAGAGTTCATGCTTTTTTCCGAAAACTTATTACATTTTCCTATAGAATCTTCAACGAACATGATTTTCATGGTTACATGCATATGTGCATTCACTTGCTTTGCTTGTGGGCACGATTATATAATTGTTAAACTTCTTACAAACTAAACTTTTGGACATCGATAATTTGGACAGGAGCAATAGACCAAACCGAAAGACCGATGGAGTTCTACAATTTTCTCCAAATAAAGATGGATTCAAAGAAATCCGAACTGATAGACAGTTCAAAAAAAGACCAAGACGAGGATGTCGATCAACGCAACCGCAACTGTGTTCCCTTTTTCGACTTTTTGTCTGTTGGAAACTCTGCTTCTCAGGGTTTATGTTAATTAGTACTCCGTACCACATGTACTAAAGGTGGATCATATATGTTAATTACATGTAACATACTAATCAGTTAGAGGTCTTGTTTGAGCCAAATGTGAAAATTAATTGAGGAAGCCCAACTTTTTCTTGTATCCCAAAAAAACTAAGAATATTGTATGTTTATGTAGGTCTAATTTTCTATATTTCATTTTAAGGATGCTTAATTCAGAGAAACAGACTTAACCTCAAACAATTATTCGGTAAATGGTTTTCTTGTTCTTATGTTTAAAGATAGCTAAATCAAACCAGTCGATAAAAGTTTGAGCGGAATCTTAGTTTAATTTTAAAAAAGTTTAGTTATTGTTAAGGAACAAAAAACTTAATCTGAACCAAAACCAATATGATCATACCAAAAATGCTCTAGTTTAAATTATAGTTTACTACTCCTTTAGCTACGTATTGTCTATACTTGCAAGATCTGCATTGAGGCATTACTTTTTCCTCATCCATCTAACAAATTTCGTGTTTGAAGGATATAAGACCAATATATCTATAATTCGTGGAAATCGCAGTGGTCGTATACATTTTTGTTGTAGCGGTCTGTTTATTGGTTAACCTAATAAAATATGTTATTGATGCCGAAATATAAGCATCACCAAAAGAATTTCCTTAATGCATTTATAATTTTATATGCAGACTATTTTGACTATTTAACTTTTGATGATGAACCTCTAACCTTTTTGTTAAGTAGATGCCAACAAAAAAAACTTTATTTAGTAACTACTAACTAATGGTTTTGTGCACCTTTAGGCTTTAAATTTTACAATGAAGTTTAGTTTAGTTTCTTTAATCGTGAAGTATAATAAGTTAATAACGGAAAAACGAAATCGAGGTTGGAGTATAGATATGATTAAGTTGGGAGTAGTTATCAGCCACCAAGAAAAATAATCCAAAGTAGCAAATCTACCCTTGTCTTAAGAAAAACACGAATTAAATAATTCGTTTTATTTAGGAGGAGATGAAGAACACACATCTTGACACGACTTATAACCATACTTCTCGTTTCGAAATTATCAAAAATATATATATTAAATTAGACATTGTTTGTTTATTTTGTTTTTCCAAAATTGATGTCATTTTGATTGCTAGGGTTTTCTCGTTGGGTTAATTATGTATGTCACCTTTTTATTTAAGACAATACGAAAGAACAACCCAAAAAGCTACGTAACTGTATAAAACTATTAGTATGAAAAGATAATTAAGCGAAACGTTGATTATTGTACATAGATGTTGAAAAATAATCAAATTTGGATAAGATTAAGACACCCGCTAGGACAATGGATAAGTTTCTGATTAAATGTGTATATTATTATCTCACATGATATGAATTTTACTATATATTTTATATAAAAAAGGCCGAAAAAGATGACATGAATTTTCCAAGTTCAACTTTTGTTTACTATAGAGTTTTGGGGTGAAGAGTGAAAAAGTTTTTAGATATTAACATGAAGGCAAGTACAGTTTGTAGTCTAGTAGTTTCTAATAATGTTGTATTTGTGTTATGTATATTGATCAGTTTAAAGTCTGATTGGTAACTTAATCAGCGTACTACTTGGGCATTCGAAGGGGGAGAGTCGAACAGGTTTCGAGCTCCAGTACCGACGATGAAAAAACAGGATTATTAGTAAATAATTAAAAGTCTATTATGTTGCAACACATAAAATAAACATATATTGTTGAAAAAACGCCCTTTCTATGACTATCACGAAAATTTTTTTTTTTGGTATATGGAAATAAAGAGGCAAATTAATTAAGATAATAATTTCAAAATCCAGTCAAAATATTCCTCATTATACCTACGGTTGCATGTTAAAACAAAAATTAATTTAAAAAAATTACTTTACAGAGCAGACAGAGTTTAACAAATAATGAAGCGAAACGTTGAATATTTTTCTTTCCAGTGATGAATCGTTGATAATTGCCCAAAACGGTTGAAATTTGTATATTTTATTGTGTAAAAAATTTTAATTTTATATGAAAAAAGGACAGGTAAAGTAAAACAGAAGATCAGAAAAACGCCTAAAAAGACTTGCGGGTCAAGCTTTAAAGTTTTCTGGACCGGGTATAAACAACAAATCTTTGTGACGCCAAAAAGAAAAGAAACAAAAAAAACCAAATTTGGGCTTATTATATGTCTAGTTTTGGGCTCCCAACAGGTGCAGGTTATAGTCAGTTTCAAGTAATCATAGTGAATCTGTGGTAGCGAATAAGTCTTCCTTGTAGTATAATAAGTCCCCCCAATATTATACTATTTGAAAAAATAAAAGATCTGACAAAAAGGAAAAGTGACATGAGACCTTTCCCAATTTTACAAGCAAGCATTAGTTTTAATTTTCTTAAAGTTTTTTTTGAAATTTAAGAGAAAAAGAATCCAAAACATTAAACTAAAATAAATTCCCCCAAAATAGTTAAAACCAGTTGATATTTTTTTCTGATACAAGACAACCTCATATAATTTTCACAAGATCAGCATGAGCTAATTTTGTTTGGACTCAGACTAAAAACAGTTGCATGTAAAGACAATATGTTTTTAAAAAAAAATCCCGTGAATATTATATAAGAAAAATTGTAATCATCTTTTTTAAAAATCACGTGAATATTATATAGGAAAAAAATTGTAATCATCATACGAAATATATAGGAGTATATTTTTGTATCATCATCATCATCATCACTCATCAGCTTGAAATCACTCTCTCTCATCTTTCTTCCCCGCGCAGAGTCTCTTCTCACATTTCCATTATCTCCTTCTTCTCTCTCTCTCTCTCTCTGAGAATGACTCCGATAAATATCGGCGAGCACATCAGGCTCCGACGACGAGTCATGAACCAAACAACCCGTCATCTCGACGCCGACGATGATCCGCCGCTGAGCCACGTCGTCCTTCCAGTCTCCCAACCTAATCGATTCTGTAACTCCGCAATGTCTTCCTTCTTTCTCCTCCCGACTTCCTCCAACGAAACCACGAGGAAGAAACCGCTCGGTTTCCCTCAGAAAACGGCGTCGTTTCGAGGGATGGGTTGCACTGCCGCAGCTGCCCAGGAGGTCTCCGTTCCCTCCGTGATTCGCTCCTCCGCGGATTGGGATGCGAGAATTAGAAAGGACAAGAAGAAGAAGAGGAACAAGATGAAGACTAAGGAAAGCTACGACGACGATTCGATTAGCTTCTTAAGTGAGGCTAGAGACGCGATTCCGGATGTTTGGTGCGGTCCAGGCTTAGGATTCTCGACGGACGCGGTGGTTGGTCGATCCTTGGATGCTCCGAGAAGGAGTCTTCCGTCGTCGCGTCGCAAAGTTGATGTGGATAAGAGCAATTCCAGTCAGAGAGAGGTAAATGTCGTAAATTTATTTATGTTCAGGATATGTTCAATCTAGACTTAAGAGTACTACTATATGATCTAATCGCCAGTGAATTTCTGAGTATTTTTGGTGGTGTTCTTAGTCGTATATTATTGGGATTTGTTTAAGCAAAATGGTATAGTTTAGGCAGAAACTATTTGGAGTGGTTGGAGCTATAGTCGTTGTAGCAGCCCTATGCTATTGCTGGGGCCATCTTTGTTTTATTAAATTGTGTGTTCTTCTGGTTTAAACAATCGCAAGAGTCTATCTACTTTGGTAGAGATTCTCTATTATTAGTTTTTGTTTGATGTGTGGATAATTATTAATAATATGTTTTGTTAGATGTGTGGTCCTCTTGGTTTTATATGCAATAAAACTAATCAGAATTGATAACTCTAGCTCGGGTTAGGGAATGAAGTATTAGCATACTTTTGTCTTCGCATGGTTTAGCTTATGGTTGGATAAACATTAGTTAAAGGGGAGTTCTTGAATCATGTTCATTCAGTTTTTTTTTTAATTGATTCTTTTGATCGAGAAGCCACATTGCTTCAGAGGACCTGAGACTTTGGTAACTATCGTCTTCCGTATGTTTGAGCAGTGATGACACAATGTTACAACTGTCCGCAGGGTTCTTCTGTTCTTACAAGGCGGTTTCCCTTTCCCAATCAAGAATCTCATTCTCACGGTTTCTTGAACTCTTCTGATTCGACGTTATTGACATCATCACGCGCTGAACCAACCTTGGTCTCAAGTAGATATCATGGCTATCTTCGACGCCCTTACCCTGATGATCTTACCGAGGTAGAATGTTCATCCCAAATAGTTGCCCTATCTTTCTTTTATCTGCTAAATATAATAGATTTGATATCTGGCTCTATCAAGTGATCAAATTCACACTGATTGAAGATTTGACTTGTTACTTGGCTGGCTTCATACCAACCAAGAGATTCTTCTAGATTGCCCCGTTGTCTCTTGCGTATTCTAGTGGCTGATAAAGGAGAAGAAATATACTGTAATCCTTTTTTTTCGGTCAACTGTTTTGGACGGCTAATATCAGATCAGTGACTAGTAGGCTGAAGAACTAAATCATGCAGCCAGGTAGTCATGTTAAACACCAAAAATGCTGTTCACTGCAGATGATGATGCTCCGGAATGGTTTTGTAATGGGAAGGATAACAGATTCGCGCGATCACTTCCACAACTTGAGGCTTGATGTTGATAGTATGTCATACGAGGTATGATGTTTCCCAAAATTTCATGAGAAAAAAGATTACAATATCATCTTCTTAACTTTATTGGGTGTGTGTTGCTTGGACCTACACAGCAACTTCTAGAGCTTGGTGATAGAATTGGTTATGTGAATACTGGACTAAAAGAAAGCGAGATACATCGTTGTCTTCGAGAAATCAATCCCTCCGTATCACATACTCTTGCTGGTAGAAAATGCAGCATCTGTCAGGTAGAGCCCAGATTGAGTCAATCCATAATATGTCAAAGCTTTAGAAAGAACTTGTAGGATCGTGAGTTTCATATTGATATTAATGTTCATGTTTGGTGGTGACAGGAAGAGTATGAGAGAGAGGGTCAGGTTGGGAAATTAGACTGTGGACACAGCTTCCATGTCCAATGCGTGAAACAGTGGCTATCGAGGAAGAATGCTTGTCCTGTCTGTAAGAAGACAGCTCATGTCAAGCCTTAAGAGAGTAGTGTGTGTCTTGTCTTGTCTGGTTTCTGATATCTCAATATCTTTCAGTTAATCCCTCTTGCTGTATAGATCCGAATCATCTGTTACTTGATTCATATTTGTTGTTTTGTATTTTCTTGATCTTATTTTCCTTTGTTGGGGTGTATTTATTTGATTTTAATACTATTTCCATTGCACTTGTAAGAACAAGAGTTTGTGATCTTACGGATTCTCCTGCAACTTCTACTATTTCTATGGTTTTCTGTTTTCTTGAAATGTCTATTGATATATTGGAATACCCCTATTATCATCATATAACAAAATGAACAAAATTAAAGATAGGGTATAAAAAACAAGTGAACAGAACTTGTCTATTATAAAAATCTTGATAATAGATCAAAGGTTTGCTGTTTTACAAAAAGAAAATGATATCATGGGCTTTTTTCATCAAATTTTTGCCGGGACTGCTTGCCAACGTAGGGAAACACCATTATTATATTATTTGCCGTTGGTTTTGCCTAGAGACGTGAAGCTTAATCTGCAAAGAACAGACAACAAAAAAACAAGCAACCGTTGTCAAATCCGATATGCAGATTCAACTGAAGTATTATAAAACACAAACCGCTTACTTGATTATCGGTTTACGCTGTTGCACTGAAGCTCTATGTGTCACCTCGGGCTGTCGCATTGGAAGAACCTTCAAGAAAAGAAAAATCAGAGAAGAACAAGATCAAGAGACCATTTTTAAGTATTGAAATTGATTAACTAAAAAAACCTCGAGTTCTTCAACTGCTACATTGGAGCATGGTGAGCCATTTAAAGTAGTGGCCTCGAATGGAGGTATAGCTGCAGTAGCCCCCGAGAGTGCATCCTTATTTGAAATCTGCTCAATCACTTGGTTTCCAAAATCAAAACTGTCTTCAAGCTCCTCAGTTTCTTGACTAGGAGCTTGAGGAGTGGCTATCTTCTCTATTGGATGACTCTCTGGTGCATCCTTACTGAAAACAACAACATTCTCTGATGGATCTTTACTGATGGGATCCGATCTACCGTTTGTACAATAATCTTTCATAGGACTTGAACAAATGGATCCAACAGATGGATTCGGGCTCCCGCCCTCACAATTCTCTACAGGCACAGAAACTGCAACGTGTTTAGAGTTCCTTAACTGATCGGTGAGTGTCTCATCATCACCCCATTTTCTCTTCTTCCCATCTACTGGACTATTAGAACTAACTTTACTTTCAGAACTCGCTTCATTAGTAGTAGTAGTAGCTGCACTTGCCGTAGAAGAAATTCTATGCTCTGAACGGCGTTTGCTGTCCCATGTTCCTTTAGAGGTATGTGAAGGTCTAATCCCACCCGGAAACACAAAGCTCGGTATGCTTCTTCGCTTGGTATGGCTGACACTAATCTCCATCCCGGGAATCCAAAACATATAATTGTTAACAGTCTGTTTAAACTCATCAACGGTTCTTCTGATATCGAACTGCTCGCCTTCTGCTGCTGGAACTCCTTGTTTACGTTGCAGACCCATGAAGTAAGAACAATGGAGTGGTCGGGATGCGTCTTGAAAATCATGTGGATGAGGGTGGCATTGAAGCGTGTCAAAATGTCTCTCAATCTAAGAAGAGTACAATGTAAAATATCCACGTCAAATAATCAGTGACTATATACAGATTTTTGTTTTTTATATCAACTGAGAATACACAAAGAGTTTCACCTTCAGTGTGAGCTGTCTGAGACGTGACTCAACCCAGCCTTTCCATTTTCTTAGATCATCAACATTTGCAGCAGAGATGTCGATCTGAAGATAGTTTTTATACGCTTCAAAGAATGCAAATGGCTCAAAAAGGGTATCCCAGTCAGCTTTGTTTGCTTCCATAGCCTGCAAGACATCAAACGACTGTATTAGGTCATTCATTCTGCATAGAAGCCAAAACTATTAGGACTATACTAATCTTACCTCACATATATCTTTGCCTCTCTGAAACTCTCCTGTCATAATCCGCAATGTACTCGCGGAGACATTATAGCTGGAGTTCATACAAGGATAAGCGGGAGTAATGATGGGCATCATGTGCAATCGGTCCTTTGGGTTTCTTCTAGGATCCCAAACTTGAAGACCGAGGGATCCTTCATCCATAGAACAAAGAAGGACGGGATTTGGCCAACGCCATTGAGTGTAGACCCTAAAGAACCGAGACGCTAACATATTTGGGAGGGCGTTAGGATAAAGTTGACATATCCGAGCAACAAGCAACGCCCAGTTTATTCCACCAAGAAAGCCAGACACCTAGTAATTGTTGGAAAGATACCTGACATTAGCAACTTGATAGTCACATAAACAAAATCGAGTAAAAGAGCTCTAGAGAAGAATTCCACAAACATTTGAGTATACTCCACGCCGCTTGGCCCAAAACCGCATGCATCTTAATGTTGTCCTGAAATTCTGCTCATAAATAAAACAGAGATTCAGACTAAGGAATCATACGGATGAATTACAAAAGTTTTAAACAAAATTAAGAGATGTATCATCATCAGTGAGCACAAAACCTGAATGTTCGGAACCAAACGCAAGATCTGGTCAGTAACTCTACACCCGTTGAGGCTTCGAACAGTTTGCTCATCAGCATTCTGTAGAATGGAATCCTGTGATATATCTAAGTCCTGCACCATTAACATCAGGCAGGGAACATAATTAAGAATCTTCCAAGAGATCCACTCTAACATTCAGTCAAAATCATGAACATATGGAATGTAAAACTTAGCGTGAAACTATTTGATTATAATTAGTCGAAATGGGTACGTTAAAAGCAAAATAATCTGCGGGATGGAATCTGAGACATAAAATTCTCAACAGTCAATCAGTCACTTCACTGTAAACCCAGAAATTACCTCAGGTATAACCCAGAGTGGAAGTTGTGCATAGAGGAGATCTATAGAAACTCCATTAAGTTTAAATCCCATCAAGGGAACATGAGCATCAGGCACAGGGTGCAGCTCAGTTACTTCAGGCATTTCGGACAGCATTCTTTGTAGCTCACCAAAGAAATCACCCTGTTGGCAATATAAAGAAGAAGACTGAACTTAATAAATTGATAGAATACATATTCAGGCTGGCGTATAGATGCAAGAGGTTGATCGTACGTCTCTAGTTGCATGTCTAGGTCCCACACATAAAGTGTCTATATCAGCACCAGGTCCATGTACCTATTTGAGGAAGTAAAACAAACTGTTATAGGAACACTAGATATGCTAGAAAATGGATGTTAGTCATGTTATTAAGAACAATCACAATTGCAAGGGAATTCTTTAGGACACTGACTGTTTATTAACAGAATTTTCTCTCCAAAAAACCAATTGTAACCATAATTATCACCCTATAGTGTCCGAGATTTACCAACAATTGAAATGCCTGAAAAGCTCATACAGAGACGATACGAGTGACATATAAAATTGATCTCAATATGTTTGAATGACACAAAAGAGCATGCGAAGACAAGTGATGCCCCTTCCTACACAGGAACATCTAAAGACAATAGAAGAAAAAAAAAACCCCAGCTTTCACCAATTCACTATACTACACCAAAAGTTAACAGTGAAAAATGAATGTGGAAAACAAAGTCAATCTTCTATATATATTTATGGTTACCCCTAGCCGATAAGAACCGAAAGTAAATATCTTTGCATTGGCCTCATTAAACAGCTGATCATTCAACCCTTTGGCGCGGCTGACTGTTTTAATCCATTCTTTTACAATCTGGACACGTAAACAACATGGATTTGTTACGAACATCAATGAAAAATCCATAAGCAAAAGTTGTTAAGATTCGAAAAACAGTAAAAACCTGATCTAGTCTCCCCAGAACATCCTCCCTTCTTTCAGCTTCTTCCTCACTCTCGTACAATCCAACATCTTGCAAGTACTGGTCAACCAAGTAACACAAACATCAATCAGTACAAGCCTAAAAAACAAGTAGTTCAACAAGAAACTTTAGCATAACAAGACACAAGCATTAAGATATCAGCAAAACCTTCTCGAGCTCTCTTGTCTTAATCACATCAAGCTCCGTTGGTCCTCCCAAAGAGATAGGATCTGTAATACCATACCTTTGCCCATTTTGCTGGACACTAGCCATCGATCTTACTTTGTTCTTATCCTCTCTTTTTTTTTTCTGAACGTTTTTTTTTTCCTCAATGTTTCAATCAGATTCTACGAGTATAAAAAATGTTCATACTTTTTTTTTTCTCAACGATTCTTTGCCTGAATATTTCGAATAATGTAAAGCTAAAAACCGAAAACTCGGGGAAGATTACTATCGAGAAATTGTTGAACGTACAGAATACAAAAGGGAAGGCTTTGCTAAATTAAAAAGAAAGCAAAAACAAAAGCGCAACACTTTGGAATCATACAACAGTATCCAACGAGTCGGAGAGCTCTTCTCGGGAACAACCCTTAAAACCCTAATCCGAGCGACTGGTCATACAACGAATGGAATCGAGAGAGCAGCAGAAAGTCTCGGCCTTTAAATACCCGGTGATCGATAAATACTGCAGACGGAGTTGATCTCAGGCAATAATACACGACGATTTGAATCTCCGGCGAAGAGTACAATTTCCTCCTCTAAACGGAAATTTTGGGGGACGACGAAATCTCGAGGGAATCTGTAATCGAATAATCTGAGGGGGTTTCTAGGTTTTGGTCGCAACGAATGTCACCCTTCTCGCGTTGGATTGAGACAAAAAGCTCTCGGGCCACACACACTTGTATATATATATCTATAAGGATTTTACAAAGCTATATAAAAATTCCCACGAGAAAGAAACCGTGTCCTAAACCTGACCCGACTTTAGATCCGACTCCGGAGATTGAAACCCGTCCCGGTATTTTAACCTTACTTTTGTCTTTTTCTTTTTTTTTGGTCAACGTCAAGAATTCGTTACTTTGCTAAAAATATTATATAGTTTTATTTTTCGTCGTTGAAATGTCTAACAACAACGTACGTAACTATAATTAATCCTCATGTTCTTTTCGCTGGAGTTATTATTACAGTTAGATACTAGGATCAGATTTAAGCATTAGAGCCGTATCAATCTATTTCGGAAACATTAATTAATTTAATAATTTCCGAATATTCATCTTCCCGTGAGATCTCCGCCATTAAAGGAAGAATCGAAACAAAAAATCACCATCAAAGATCCGTGCTTTGAGTTAGTTAGGAGAGAAAATTCCTTATCTTCAACGTTTTCCGACCATGAGTGTAAGAGACGAAGATAAGACTCCGGCGGATAATAACACCGGAGGAGAGGAGAACAAGCCGCCGGAGATAAGAAGAAGAAGAAGATGGCGATTCAATTCTCCTCTAGCTCAAGTGAGCCTAATGGGTTTCGTCTGTTTCTGTTGTCCAGGAATGTTCAACGCTCTCTCCGGCATGGGAGGCGGTGGTCAAGTCGATCCCACCGCCGCTAACAACGCTAACACCGCCGTTTACACCGCTTTCACCGTTTTCGGCGTTCTAGGCGGCGCGTTTTACAACGTCCTCGGTCCACGGCTCACGTTAGCCGCAGGCTGCTCGACTTACGTTCTCTACGCCGGATCTTTCCTCTACTACAACCATCACCACCACCAAGCCTTCGCCATCGTCGCCGGAGCTCTCCTCGGTTGCGGCGCCGGACTTCTCTGGGCCGGAGAAGGAGCGGTGATGACGTCATACCCTCCGCCGCATCGTAAAGGCACTTACATCGCTTTGTTCTGGAGTATCTTCAACCTCGGCGGCGTAATCGGCGGATTAATCCCGTTTATCCTCAACTACCACCGTAGCTCCGCCGCATCGGTCAACGACGCGACGTACATCGCGTTCATGTGTTTCATGTTCGCCGGCGTTCTCCTCTCTTTAGGAATCCTCCCGGCGAACTCTGTTATCCGTAACGACGGATCTAAATGCTCCGCCGTGAAATACTCCAGTCCGTCGACAGAGTTCGCCGCCGTTCTCCGTCTCTTCCTTGATCGGAAAATGCTCCTCATTTTCCCGGCGGCTTGGGCTAGCAACTTCTTCTACAGCTATCAATTCAACAACGTGAATGGACTTCTCTTTAACCTGAGAACCAGAGGATTCAACAATGTCTTCTATTGGGGAGCTCAAATGGCCGGATCGATTACAATCGGATACATAATGGATTTCAGCTTCAAGAGCCGGAGATCAAGAGGATTCGCCGGAATATCTTTAGTCGCGGTGATCGGAACAGTGATTTGGGCAGGAGGTCTAGCGAATCAGCACGGTTACTCGTTTGAGAATCTGCCGGAGAAGAAACTTGATTTCAAAGACTCCGGCAGAGAATTCGCCGGGCCGTTCGTGTTGTATATGAGCTATGGATTGTTAGATGCCATGTATCAGAGTATGGTGTATTGGTTGATCGGAGCACTCGCTGATGATTCGCAGACTTTGAGTAGATACAGTGGATTCTACAAAGGAGTGCAGAGTGCAGGAGCTGCAGTGGCTTGGCAAGTGGATACACGTAAGGTTCCTTTAATGTCACAGCTTATTGTAAACTGGTCACTCACTACAGTAAGTTATCCTTTACTGGTTCTTCTTGTCTTCTTGTTTGTTAAAGACGAAGATGATGCTGATGATGTTAGTGGTAATAATAAGGTTTAGAGTTTAGTATACAGCAGAAATTTTGTTTGTTTGTAACTTGTCTTGTTTCGAGTACAAATCTTAAATGTTTGCCTTGAAGTACACATATGACTGACAATCAATAGTTAATGGATCTAACAGTAACAGAGAGAAACAAAGATTTGAAGGCAGTGACATGTCTCTATTTCTTTATGGTTCTTATAAAGTAAAGACCTTTGTGGAGTCTTTGATTAGTAGATGAACTTAACAGAACAGAGCATACAAGTTGGCTTCAGGGTTTCCATAACTTCATGGTGCAATCTTCAGTATTGTAAGTGGTGAGCAGGGTTCCTGTGAGGATAATGTGTTGCGCCAATCAGATCCTTCTCATGGACCTGCAGTTACTAGTAGTATATGGACAAAGGATAAGGGATGCACTGTTCAAAGTAGATCTGCTGGGAAAATGTGGGCCTTTGGTCTAATAATTGTTCACAGAAGACGACGAGTTTGATTAAAATGAAGGGCCAATCAACACACGCCACCAGATCTCTATCATCCGTATAGAAATATATTATCAAACCACACTTGTCGTAACAAATTCGAATCTCAGGATCACATAGACAGTACACGGTTTTGCTTTGTCATCAGATTTCATGGAGACCAAACAGAGTATCCCTCTCCTCACACCTTATAAGATGGGACCTTTCAATCTTTCTCACAGGTACCCCCTTCAAAGTCTCTCAGTATCTGTGATATTTCCCCTGAATCTGTATGATTGTAAGCAACTATTTTGGGAATTGCCAAGGGAAGGTACGAACTAGGAAGCTTGACTGTTCTCTTTGAGTTGTAATAGATGGTTCTGAAATCAGGGTTGTTCTAGCGCCATTGACGAGACAGAGAGCGTATGGATACATTCCTCAGCCTCACGCCAAGTTATATTACACGCAAAGAACAACACCTGGTGGTTTTCTTATTTCCGAAGCTTGTCTAGTGTCCGAGACAACAAAGGGGTATTACTATCACATAACTATACTGCTCTAGATCAATCCTCATATGAACCACACTAATAGCTTTGCTCTGTTTGTGAAGCTTAACGGATGCACCTGGAATATGGACTAGAGAGCAAGTGGAGGCGTGGAAGCCCATTGTGGATGCGGTTCATTTGAAAGGCGGCATCTTCTTCTGCCAGATTTGGCATGGTGGCAGGGTGTTTCATTTAGGTTTGCCAAAAACCCGCTTTTTCTCCTTCTTGTATATATACAGTACCAAGGAAATAAAAATTGATGTTTTTTCGCTTCTTTGCTTTGTATATTACTATATTGCTCAATTCTTTAGACCAGCCAAATGGGGAAGCTCCTATCTCCTCTACAGACAAGCCGTTGACTTGCAATAACATCTATGGAGGTAAGTTTACGCCTCCAAGGCGGTTAAGGTCAGACGAGATCCCTGCCATTGTCAATGACTTTAGAGTTGCTGCAAGAAATGCAATGGAAGCTGGTAAGCAAAAGTCTTTTCCCTCCCCTTTTAAATGTATGATATGATGTAATGTAACGAAATGAAAGCTGATCAAGACACTTATAGGCTTTGATGGAGTGGAGGTTCACGGTGCACATGGCTACCTGATCGATCAGTTCTTAAAAGACAAAGTGAATGACAGAAGTGACGAATATGGTGGGTCACTAGAGAACCGATGCAGATTCGCTGTGGAAGTAATCGAAGCAGTTGTGAAGGAGATCGGTTCAGACCGCGTGGGAATCAGGCTCTCGCCATTCGCAGATTACATGGAGTCTGGAGACTCGAACCCAGAGGCGTTAGGACTGTACATGGTGCAAGCTATGAACAAGCATGGGATCCTCTACTGTCACTTGGTTGAACCTAGAATGAAAACCCTTGAGGGAATTCTTGAATGCACGGAATCACTTACGCCCATGAGAAATGCGTTCAAAGGAACGTTCATAGTAGCTGGAGGTTATTCTAGAGAAGACGGAAACAAGGCAGTGGAAGAGGCAAGAACTGATCTTGTGGGTTATGGACGTACGTTCTTGGCAAATCCGGATCTTCCCAGGAGATTCCAACTCAATGCACCGTTGAACAAGTATGATAGATCGACGTTCTACACCTCTGATCCTGTCGTGGGCTACACAGACTATCCATTTCTCGAGAATACAGACACAGCTGCTTAATGTTGGTGCCACTTTAATAAAACCTTTTGAGTACATATATAGTAGGTAAAGAGGATAAGCACACTCACAATCACTAAAGTTGAAATATTTCTATGTGAACTGATAAAAGCTTTCGAAAAAACAGAAAAAAAAGGCTAAACAACAAATTAATGGGAAAGACAGTTTGAGGACATCACTCTGTTTAATAAAGTTCTCTGAGAAACAACAAATTAGAGAAATGCTAAACCGGAAACTGGAAAATAATATGTGGAGGGGCTAAATTGAAAAATACAGATACTATGGGTGCTAAAAGTATAAAAAAATATTTTTGCACAAACGGAGACCTTGGCGCGACGGCGATTGCGGCAAGATTATTGTCGGGAAACAACAAATTGAGGGAAACTCAGCGAAAGAAGCTGGCTTGGTTGCAATGGAGAAACCGAACCACAAACACGCGTCTGACTCGTTTTCCAGCGAGGATTTGATCTCGCCGGTGAAGAAGGCCAAGAAGTCAGAGGAGACCGTATGTGATACTAAAGATCCGAAAATCCTCAGTGGTGCAGAAGACGAGAAGCAGGAGATTGCCGGCGGAGAAGAAGCCATAGCCGCCGTTGATAATAGAGCGGCGGAAGAAGATAGCTCGAGCTGTGTAAGTCAAGAGAAGAAGGGGTTTCTAGTTGAAGCTGGTGTTGCTGAAGACAAAGGAGCCAGGCATACAATGGAAGACGTTTGGGTTCTTTTGCCCGACGCTTCTTTGGATTTCCCAGGGAAACTAAGGTAAATAAAGAAACTTTCAATTGGAACTCGTATGAATCTAGTTTGATAAGGACAAATCAAGCTGCTTCTTTCAGGGAATTTAAACTTTTCAGAGAAAAATCTAGTCTTGGTGTGCTGTAAAGTTAAAGGGCTTGATTTGGGAAAATCTCTTGTTTTTAAAACGCTGCTACCTCTTCCTTTCCGTGCTTCGTTTCAAAAGTCGGGCTCCTCTGTATTGATGTAGGTGTGCTCATTTTGCCATTTATGATGGGCATGGTGGTCGTTTAGCTGCAGAGTTTGCTAAGAAGCATCTTCACCTTAACGTTCTTTCAGCTGGGTTACCACGTGAGTTGGTCTGTTTAACTTGGTTCTGATTAAGAATGTCTTTGTCGCAAATCAAGACTGTTTTGCTGTCACTCATTATGTCTCACTTCACCTTCTTTCTCGTGCTTTTCTTGGTCCAAATGTTCGATTGCTACCTCAGCTGGACGTTAAAGTTGCTAAAAAGGCCATACTCGAAGGTATAATCAGTCCACTCCATACGTCAGATTTATTATTTAATCAATTTATCGCTATTCAGATCCACAGATTCTCAAATTGTTAACACAATTTCGTTATCAGGTTTTCGGAAAACTGATGAGTTGCTCCTGCAAGAAAGTGTTTCAGGTAGATTTGTGTTTCAATGTGACACTTTTTTTATCTCAGCTGTATTGTGCTACGCGGCTAATCTCTGCGCTTTCCTCACAGCTTTTAATTATTTTGCTAATATTTTCTCTATAGAAGTTCTGAGTTTATTCAAATTTTTTGTTCTCTCTGAACTTTGTGTCGGGTTCAGGGGGATGGCAAGATGGCGCCACAGCAGTGTGTGTCTGGATAATTGATCAAAAGGTATGACCATGGGGATGACAAGTGGTGGGGTGCTTGTGACACTTTTTTCTACTTGGAGTTCACAAAATTTGCTCAACCTTTTCTCCACTATTCACACCCATAAACCCTCATGCATTTTAGGTTTTTATTGCCAATATTGGTGATGCTAAAGCTGTTTTAGCACGATCCTCTACCGCCAACGAATTGGAGAACCATACAGAAGCATGTAATCCACTCAAAGCAATTCTTCTGACAAGAGAGCACAAAGCAATATATCCGCAGGAGCGTTCTCGCATTCAAAAGGTTAGTCTTTATGAGCCAGACAGTGATTTCTCAATAGATTTGAGAGTACACCATGCTCTCTTAATAACTTGGTATGAATTTCGCAGTCAGGTGGTGTTGTAAGCTCAAATGGACGGTTACAAGGGCGTCTTGAGGTTTCTAGGGCTTTTGGTGATCGCCAATTCAAGAAGGTAATGATCCTTTCGACATGTTCTTGAACCTAGCTTCATATCATTGGCAACTCCAAACATTAACTTGAATTTAGTTATTCATTCTGAAATCTTGTGAGATATTCGCATCTAACACAAGTTATTGGATCCAGTTTGGTGTTACTGCAACTCCAGACATTCATGCATTTGAATTAACTGAGAGAGAAAACTTCATGATTCTTGGTTGCGATGGATTGTGGGAAGTAAGTAAACTCTTCGTTTCTTGTCAGGCAGTAATAATAACATCCCATTCGTCTTTTAAATTCAAAGTTTGCTCATATAATCTACACATTGCATCCGTTTTTCAGGTGTTTGGAACAAGTGATGCTGTTGGGTTTGTTCAGAAACTCTTGAAAGTACGAAACTCCACTTGTCAAATCGCTTTGTCCTCCCTTTCACATACTTTAGCTAGACTGAAAGAAATAAAGAGCAGAGGGTTTACTAAGATTCTGTGATTTTGCAGGAGGGCTTGCCTGTAAGCACAATAAGTCGTCGTCTTGTTAAGGAAGCTGTGAAAGAACGTAGTTGCAAGGACAATTGCACAGCCATCGTGATTGTCTTCAAACGCGGATGACAAAAAGAAAACCTTGTGCCATCTGTTGTTCTTTTTTTTGTGTCTTGTGTGAGAATTTTAGACCTTTTGTTGGGTAAAGCTGTCAATGATTTTGCATTCAATTAAACAATTATACACTCGGGGCCGCCACTGAAAGAAAAAAATGAGTTTGAAGATTGAAAAAAGCTAACTTTGTAGTGCAATTGATTCCCAGAAGCAAAAATAGAAAACTTTATAATCATAGTACAAGATGAACAGTTTACAATGAAAAAAGCAGATTGGACAACGAAGTATTATCATTGTGAATTTAGGGTCCCTTCTCCAGTTTGTAATTGAAGGGAAAAAGAAGAATAAATCGCCAGTTTACATCAGCAGCAGTAAAAAATGACAATTTAACATTGTTGTTGTCTCACCGGCACCAAAGCTCACCAGCACCAAAGCATGCAAATGAAGGTAAGACAATGACGAAGAACATTATTATTGGAAATCGAGGTCGAGTTTCCTCTTCAGATGAGATCTATCGGCACTACAAAATGAGAAAGAAGAAGAAGCCATCAGAACATATTTAATCTTGAGGCTGCAAAAGCATCTCAGACTACCAATCGAGTATAGTACACACAGTGGGGGCAAATTACCTGGTGATGGTAGGTCGATTTGGAGGCCGCTCAGCTAGGATGGTAAAATCTAACGACATGGGTGCTTGTTGGTCCTTATCAACGTGAGACTTCAAACAATCAGGTATCCCACGCTGAGGCATCAATCTTCTAAGCTTACGTGGTGGTGATAACACTTTAATTGCCTCATGTTTACCGTAAGAGGCCTTAGATTCTTGCTTGCGAACTGGCTTTGGTAGCTTTATCGGATGAGTAGGAGCCGGTGTAGAAGTGAAGTACCTAAAAACATGAAAACAAAGATGTGAAAACAGAGCTAGACATACTTTGTCTATAAATAGGTGATGAGCTTTAGGCACCTGTGTTCTAGAGCCTGCTTAACGGTAATTCTAGCCTTTGGGTCATAAGTAAACATTTTGGACAAAAGGTCGAGGGCATCTTCACTAACTGCTGGGAATAAAGAACGTAGAGACGGTGCAGGGACAAATTGATACTCTACATAATCAGGAAGGTTTTTCATGTCAGGCCACTGATCAGCTTTTGGTGTCCCAAAGGCAGCAAATATTTTGCTTAATTGATCGATATCACTGTTTCCCTGCGACGAAGGAAAACAGAATATGTAAGCATACAAAACAAATAATACTAAGAAGTATTTACGTAGTCTGACTGAGAGTATAAGATCCAAACATATGAAGATTGGACTATAAGATCCAAACAGATGAAGATTGGACTAAGTTAAATGTAAACCATGATGAGTTGAGTAAAGATTATTTAACCTGAAGAAATGGTCTGCGTAGTAGAAGTTCGGCGAAAATGCAGCCAGCAGCCCAAACATCAACTGCAGCACCATACTGTTTTGCACCAAACAAAAGTTCTGGTGCTCTGTACCATCTAGCAAACACCTGTGCATCATCCGATTTATCAAGATATGAAGATAATGAAACATGTAAACAACCGAAGATAAGGTGCGTAGCGCATCAACTGTAATCATGGACAGATATAGCTCAGATCAGAGTTTTGGCTAACAGCACAATCTATAATACAGAAATGAGATAGCAACTGCTCCATCAAGTAATTTGAGTTGAGACTGTTTAATACATGTTGTATTATCAATAGGTGATAGCAGAAATCCATTACAAGCGATGACAGGAAATTTCATCATTTTGGAGATTAGTATACAACAAGAGAAATTAAAAGAGTTTCCAAGACTTAAAAACTACAGGTAAAAACTACTTATGAGATTAGTTTCCTACAAGTTAATTTAATACCGATCAATTTCGTTATACTTATACAACAAGCAAAAGATAGATGGCAATGCGCAGAAGCCATACCTGGTGAGTAAATTTACGACCTGGACTACCAAATATACGAGCTAACCCAAAATCTGCAAGTTTCAACTGTCCATCAGGTCCTATCAACAAGTTATTTGGCTTCATATCCCTGAATTCAAACGATACATAATCAGTGGTAACCAAGAAGCATTACAGAGACAAAAAAAAAAGTTCTTTAAATAAAAAAAAAAGTACCTGTGCAAGACCCATCTCTCGTGGCAATAAGCAAGTCCTTCTAGTGTCATTAGGAGGTAAGATTTGATGTCGGCAGGTGAGAGGAATATATTTGAATCGCGAATGACTCCTTCGAGGTCAGTCTCCATGAATTCAAATACAAGATGCAAGTTTTCTTTGTGAGGAAATGCATCAATTAACAGAATTATATGGGGGTGCTTTAGTTCTTTGAGCATTTTGATTTCCCTGAGAGCCGTAATATTTACACCTTCTTTTTGTTTTCCAAGCCTTATCTTCTTGATTGCTACAGTTTCTCCCGTCTGCAAACACCCCAATGGAAAGAAAAAAACAATTACTTCCCAACATCCAGAGGAACTAAAACTTCAAAATCCATTCAAAGAAGAGAGGAAACGCAGTGTCTGTGTGATGGAGAAATATTGAAAATCAAAATCATATGAAAAAAATTAATAATTTGGAGGTCTAATTAACACCCAAAACAGTGACGATTCTCAAAAACAGGAGACCCAGCAAAATCCCCCAAAGACGCAGGAAAATGCGGAACCAGAAGACGAGAAATTAGTATTACCGACAGACCCAAAACCCTAATTTTCATGAGCTCGCCACGAATATGAAGATAACAGCAAAGAAAATGACCTTAGTATCAGTGGCCTTGAAGACGACTCCATAGGTACCTTGCCCAAGAACCTCTCGCTTGAGATACCTATCAGCAACTTTCTTTGGCTGCTCCATTTCCGGCATTCGCGGTACTACTAACCCACCAAATTACAAACAATAATCTCCTCTCCTTGTTTACGCTGGCTTTCAGAAATTCCTTCTCTACAACTCGATGGCTTTCTAAATCCAAAATTTTGACAATGATGAAAGTTTCAACGTTGGTAGCTCCGGCTCCGGAGAAAACGTAGCCGTTGGTTTGCAGTCGCAATCGGCAAATCGAGGGAAATAAAGGAAAAACATAAAAAAAATCAAAATTGAAAAGAACAAAGGAAAGAAAACTCTCTCTAGCTGGAAATGTGGGTGAGTGCGCTTGAACAGTAGATGAAAATGCACTCGAAACGTCATCGTTTTGGTGGAAATAAACAAACCCAGTTTCTACTAAAACAGGTTTAATCAAACCGTAAACCGATACATTTTAGTACCAAACCATGAAACCATCTGTTTTTTACATATATCTATCAGAGTTACTACACAGTCGAGATAGATACAGAGAAATCTTTCTGAGAAGAAGAAGAAGAAGAGAACTATCACGGAGCAATGCGACGACAACGACACCAGAAAGCTGTACCGCCGCTTCTTCCTCGAGCAACTGCTATTTCTTCATCGACATAAAACCAAATGAAGAAAGGGTCTTTGTTACTCGGCTCTACTTCTGCTTCTTTCTTCCCCAAACCAATCTCTAGAGGATCTAAAGGTCCGATCTTGATACGGATCCGTTCGAAGATGAAAGCTAGGATCCGATTCTTCCATGAAAACCTTCCTTCGAATGTCAAAGCTCCTATTGGACCAAGATACACCCCATTCTCTATTCTTTTCCCCTGATTCAACATTCAAATAGAAAACAACTGTTTTGTTACTCCCAAAAATGTCCGACTCTCAGGACTTAAGGTGCCTGAAACCACATGTCACTAAGGCTCTAGCCTTTAAGGCTTTTGATTAGTGACCTACAGAAATTGTAGAATGATTGTGTCTTAGTATCCGGTGTTACCATTTTAGAAGGGACTTACCGCAGCATCAAATCTCTGAACAGCGGTTAGAGGGAAATAACGACCTTTCTTCAGTTTCTTCTGTATGGTATAATGTAAGATCCCAATGTCAGTGATTCGAATGAATCAAGACTACAACATTTTAAGACATGAAGGATTTCTAATTGAATTCTAATAGACCTCGGCAGTGAAGATGAGCATCCATGTACGTCCAGGTGACTCGGATCCACCTAGTGTTTCAAGGAATGTGGATGGATCAACCTTAGCCTTTTCAATAGCAGAAAAAGCAGCTAAAATCTCATCTGCTGCAACTTTCCGAGTTTTTGCAGCGGTTTTCAATAGACTCACGCTCTCCGTTACTTCCTACGATTCCAAGGTGAATAGAATACCCAAAGAAAAAAAAAAAACCATTAGAGAGTCTTAGCATTTGAAATAAGTTGTAGCTCATAGTATGTTTTTTAAATTTCCGTGGTTTATGTTTGCAATTCACCCAACATTTTACAACTCGTTTGGTTCCATGAATAAATTATATGGTCCTAAAGACTGCCTAAATGTAAAGTCATGTAATAAGATCAACGGAAGCGCAAAACAACAGAAGTTTTTTTTGGTGTTAAAGAAAACAACAGAAATTTATCGAAATTTCTAAGAGAAAACACAGTTCTTTACAACGATTCTTCATCTACATATAAATTCCTAAACCAATCAAGCAATCAAAACGAAGAAAGAGCGTACTTTGTTAGGGGTTTGGTGGTTTTGTGCCGATGGAACAATCTGGTTCCTACCATCGACAGTGGCTTTCACCGAATGTACTCTCACGCAACGATTAAAGATGAGAGAAGAAGATGGGGATGAAACCCATGAAGCTCCTAGTGAGACCATCATCGCCTCTAAAAAGCTCTTTTTTCGTTCTTCTTCATCCTTCTTTTCTCTTCCACATCAAATTTTTTTTTTTCACAGAGACTAACCAAAAAACACTATCGCTGGTCGTTCTATTGTAGTCCACCAGTTTTAGTTGGCTGAGGAATGCTTTCAACTAAATTATTTTTCTCGACTGTTATTATCTCAATATCACCGGACCAATTTAATGACATTCAATTTTGTGAATTGTTTTGCGTAGTCCAACCAAAAGACTCAAAACTTTAGTTCCTTGGTTTACGAAAATAGATTCAATACAATGTGATTTGATAAGTATCTCATGAGGGAGGTAATTCCTCTACATAAACGGAAAATACTCAAAACGACAACAAATGTTAATAAAGATTGCATCACTCTCTTAGCATCGGCCCTCTCTCTCTCTCTCTCTAGCCAAAACATAACAGTTGGACCTCGCCGCTCCCGCCATGTGTTAGAGCCGGGACTTGCCGTCACCTTCTTGTCTTTCTCACAAAAATTTGGATCAAGCGCTTGAGGAAGCACCTGAGAGCGCAGTCACCTTTCCAACAGCAACTGTTTTCCCTGTATTGCCCCCAAATACAATTTGTAAACCATGCACATTAGTAAATATGAGAGTGATCATATTCTGCATTGCATTTGATACAAGTCTCGGAAAATCTTTACCTTCAGTTCGTAGAGTGAATCTTCCAAGTTGAGGGAAATCTGTGAATTTTTCAACACAGATTGAATTGGTAACCTGCAAAGAGACAGCAACGGATTAGCAGAGATAAGGATTACAAACACTTGATAATATTTGAATGGAAATCTCGTAGGATGATCTCAATGTTTCGAGTAAGCCTTGTAGCAATAATATCACTTACAAGCCATCTACCGGGAAACAGACTGGAAATTTTTTATCACTCTTTTTACATCCAAAACAAGTTTGAACACCAATACTCATCACCAAAAGATTGTACCAAGTTCGAAATAATTCAGCTCTTTCTTTGATTGGAATAGAAAATTAAACCATAACTTGCAGGCTTTGAATTAAAGTTTTGAGGAAAGAAAAGGTAATCAGAAGGAACCAAACCTGTATACGGCACACAACAGCAGCACCATTCTTCACAAACAGAATTTTCTTTTTCATGGGTTTCCTCGTCTTCATATCAATTTGGCTTATCAATTCGATTATCTCACATTCCTCCACTACCGCATGAATGTGCAGTATAGCTTTGTAACCAGCTGTAAAAATAGCCTAAGCAGCAAAATAATGAAAGACTCGAAGCATTAGATTTTTGAATATACTGTAAGAAAGCAAGACTATCCAGAAGAATGATGTGCTTACGTTGTCAAGCAGCTCAAGGATTTGTAGTTGGGCAACGAACTCAGTAACAGCAGGGACAGGCGTTACTGCAACAGAAGACAAATAACTCACAAATTAATACAACTATGAAAAGGAGAAGATTAAGATTCCAGATATCAACAAAATTTAGGTAAATATACTCACCCGTGCTGGATAAAACAAAACCTGAGAGGATGTCCTCGTCTTCAATGCCAGTTATACGTACTCTCAAGTTTTCACCGGGTCCTGCACGCTTAACTTTATCTTCATCGCAATATATAGCAACAACTTTCACGTGTTCCTACAGTAACACATGAAAGCCATCAGGAACACAATAAGCTGGCAATTCAATATGAAGTGTGAGAAAAGACATCTGGAAAGTACCTTGTTTGGCATAATAAGCAAGGAGTCACCCTCCCGAATGCTGCCAGATTCTACTTTTCCCATCACAACTGTTCCCATGTCTTTGAATTTATCAATAATGGGCATCCTACATTTCAAAAGATCAATTCGGGTTAACAAAGTCTGCAACAAAATGAAAAGACCGGGATGAAAAGAAAAAACAAAAAAATGAGAAAAAGGGACACAGTGAAGGTTCACCTGAATGGACCATTAGGATCCCGTGGGGGAACTTCAATAGAATCAAGGACTTCAAAAAAGCTAGGGCCACTGAACCAAGGACAAACGTTTGGATCCATCTTCTTGTCTATATTTACCCCCATTAGACCAGATATAGGCAAGAATATGACATCTTCACAACAAAAGAGTAAAAACAAATTAAACATGCAATTAGACCATAGCTATTCTGTAACGCCTATAGTTCACTGCATACCTTTCTTTGTGTTGTAGCCAGAGGATTTCAGAAATGGTACCATTTTTTGTTCTATTTCATCGTATCTGCATAGGAGAACATAAATACGAGGATGAACGGAAACAGATGTGAAAATTAACAGTGACAGGGATAAGAAAGGTTAATGTAAATACCTCACTTTCGACCAGTTCACAGTTGGATCATCCATCTTGTTCACAACAACGACCAGCTTTGACACGCCCAATGTTTTTGCGAGTTGAACATGTTCACGTGTCTGCCCACCCCTCTCATATCCAGTTTCAAATTCACCTTTTCGAGCCGATATCACCTACAACAGAGAGCCACGGGCAAATTAAAGGCTACCTACCAAAGACGGATGTTACAGTAAAGAATCAGAAACACATTAACATGTTAGTGACTAACCAGTACACCAATGTCCGCCTGAGATGCTCCACTAATCATATTTGGTACATAACTTTTGTGACCCTACAAGTCCAAAAAAGCGCAAGAGAATTAGAACCCAAAACTCCACATCAAAGACAAATGAACAAAAAACAATAGTTTCAGGTTAAGCCTAACCGGAGCATCCAAAATGGTAAATCTAGTACTCGCAGTTTCAAAATGAGCCCTTCCAACTTCAACTGTTTTACCCTGTCAAACGTAGCAAGTTAGCCATACCACTTTTAGGTAAGTTAAATTCAACCATAAACATTGCTGGGAATTCTTTAGACATGTAAATTATATCTTCTAGGACAAATATTTTTAGCTAACGAAGAAACACAAATCAAAACACAGGAAATACCTTGGCCCTCTCTTCTTCATTTGTATCCATTATATATGCCATATACCTAGTATACAGAGCAATAACAAGTTTACGAATCAATTACAACAGAAGCATTACTTTTCAGTGTGAATTCATCGGATACACTCACCAGCTTTCTCTACTTTTTTCTTTTGCTTCCTTCTCGTACTTCTGGATTTGTCGGTCATCCACCTGGCCACTTAGGAAGAGAATTTGTCCTCCAATTGTAGATTTTCCTGCATCTGTAATTGAAAATGGCCGTGTAAAGATTATAGCAAGATTCAGAGTTACATAAGCTTTGAAATCCTGCGACTACAGAAGGAAATTTTCTTACAATATAAGCTGTAGCATAAGCTTGCCCGAAATTATTTTAGAAAATACGCAAGATTTATTTATTATGAAGGTAGAACTGATGAAAAGAAATAAACAAGCCGATAGCCATACCAACATGCCCAATGAAAACCACATTCAAGTGTCTCTTTTTGTTTGCTTCTGCCTCTTCTTCAGCTTCCTCTTTCGCAGCCTTCTCTTGAGCTGCCTTCTCTTTAGCTAAATTGATTAAATATAAAAGAAAGATAAACAAATCTTCAACAAGAAAACACGATCGCAGAAAGATGAGACATGAGTAGTGTGAGAAAATCAAAGAACCTTTCGCTGGGTTATGCACTGGATGGAGCAATTCTTGATCATGATCCTCGGAAGCTGCAACCACCAAAGTCCAGCAAAAAAAAATCACCAAGGTGGCAAACCTTATATAAATTAAACTAATTTTTAGAAAAATAAAATGGAAAGAGATAGAACATAAAAGATCTAGAAACCTTGTTGCTCATCAGGAACTGGCGCTGATTCTCGCACCTTATCTGTCAGGTCTGTGAAGCAAAGATAAATAAAGTGTTAGAATTAGTATTCGATCTCATCACAGCACAAACCTTGGACCCTCCCTCAACCACAAGTTAATATTGTACGTAGTAATGCTAAAGTTTACCTTCTTCTGCTTTATCCAATTTCTCAACTCTATCTGAGTTCTGATCTTCCGAAATGATAACTCCATTGTTTTCTTCTGCATATATCAACCAACTTTTAGTACAATTGAAAATAAGAAAGAGATTGTTAAGCTTGTTATATTCAGGAATTACCTGCCGAATCAAGCTGTAATGCGCGGATCTCAGCCTCAAGATCTACATAGTTAATCAAAAGAAATAAGATACAATACAAAGGACAGAATAACTAACAAGACCCACATATTACCAAGGCACATCAGAATCAAAACGGACTAATGCCTATTAAGATGAACATGTTGCACGTTTGTGAAACAAAATCAACAATTAATCAGACATTCAGCTTTCGCATAAAATGAAGACTACTGTGACTCTATGTCAGACGAAGTTTGTACAAAACAACCCTAAATTTCTGGGAAAGACAAAATTAGTGAGGATGAGAAGTTTCGGATAAGCGAAAAGGGGGAATTTTTTCAGGTCACATAAGATTCATATAAGCTTTTACAACCCATCTGCTACTTCACTATAGATAACCATAACATAATCCGAATTATCATGATTCAGAACTAGATGGTTCTGATTGCAATTACGACCTCCGAAACGTAGATCCAGGCACTTTTACAATCAAAACGTACAGATAATTGCCGAAGAATTCCGCAAAATAACCAATAAATCCCTAACTATCTGAGAGATTGAATTTCACTAAAATTGTAGATAGGAGATAAATTACCAGGGTCAGTTCTAAATAAGTCATGAAAGCTAAAACAAATCAGCTAAACCCTAAATCCGATTACTAATTCTCACGCCGATAATTCTACCTCCGGTTTCAGGTTAACTATCAACCAGCTCCATAATCGATGCCAGTTAACACAGTAAGACATACATACACCCGATATATACAGGATATCAGATCGAGCGACGAAAGCAGGCATCGCGCATAAAAGACGAGAAATCGGACAGGAAAAAGACAAAGAGGAAAATGAAGAGAGAGAAATCGGAAACTTTACCCATGGCGGATGCTGCTGGATTGGATTGAACGAAAGGAAAGCGTTCTAGGTTTTATCGCGAAAAGAAGAAGCTCGTTAAGGGATCCACCAAACGAAACCACGGCCACTTCTAAGAAGCTGTAATTTTTCCCCAGGTGTATAACTTATATATTCCCTCCTTATTTTTTTCGGTTTTTTTTTTAAGTCAAAGTAAAATGCCTTACGTAATGAAAATTACTCGCATCCGAAACTTTTAGTTTTTAACTTGAGAAGACGTCGTTAAATAAAATAAGCCCGTTTTGTATGGCCCAAATAATAATTACTTAAGATACATCTTGTGAAGTAACAAAGTTATCCCTCTAATGTTATAGATCGATACACTTGAAAAGAAAAGACAAATTAGTAGGACCATGCTTTGCTATTAATGTATGAGCTACTTGATTTAACATTAGTGAACTAACATCCTTATAACTCTACTACCTACAACTTGAATAACCTTTCATATATTTTCCATTACAGAATCTCTTGATAAGCCATTTAGATTGGTGTGGAAGGCCTTGCAATCTCAGTCAAAAGCTACCGAAGTAAAGCCTACGAATCTCACGTTTGGTTTGATGATTCAAGTGCTTAAGCTTTTGGTTTGTAAACGGTAAAGGCGAAGAAGATTCTCCACAAGTGACAGAATACAGATATCTAGCAGTTCCATATTGATCTCTAACAATCCAAATAAGTCAAACTTATTTTTTTATTCAGACCGTAAGCCTCATCAAAATTACAATTGAAACCAATCATGTGGAGGGCGAATCCAAGCTTATTTTTTTATCATGTGTTAGAGGTTGAGAAGAGGACTGACCATTTAACATATCGACTTTACAGAGACCATTACTTGGAAACTTAATACTAAGTCACCCGACAATAACATTTGTATTACCGTATGTTATGTCTCGTTTTGGTGATACTTGCTCATTTTTTTAAAAAATCAGGTATAAAACAAAAAATGTTTAATGTTTATTCACCGAAGACTAAAGGAAACTTGTAAGTACATCTGTGTGCCGTTCATTTCAGTTATATATCGTTTCTGCGATAAGATTTTTGAATCCAAGTAAATCGGAATATTGAAAATGTTATCGCAAGCACAAATTCGAAGACGATTCTACATCTTTCACATGTATGGTATGGAGTTGCCACCAAAACATAGACTGAGAACAGAGAAGCCCATTTACTAATAAACCTGATCATATAGGGCCCAACAAAATTAACCCTAATCCAGTTTTTGTTTCCCTCATATAAATTGCTTCTTCCGTTTTCACGCCTTCTCGTTTGCATCTCCGCCTCCCCCGAGAAAGCGAAAAACCCTAGTTTCAGAGGCTTCTCCAGAGACCGACAATGGCGGAAGGACTCATTTTGAAGGGTACCATGCGTGCACACACTGACATGGTGACGGCAATCGCCACGCCTATTGATAACGCAGACATCATCGTCTCAGCATCACGCGACAAATCGATCATCCTATGGAAACTCACCAAGGACGATAAGGCCTACGGTGTTGCTCAGAGGCGTCTCACTGGCCACTCCCACTTCGTCGAGGATGTCGTTCTATCCTCAGATGGACAATTCGCGCTTTCCGGAAGCTGGGACGGCGAGCTCCGCCTTTGGGATCTCGCCGCCGGTATCTCCACTCGCAGATTCGTCGGACACAACAAGGACGTGCTCTCCGTCGCATTCTCCCTTGACAATCGTCAGATCGTCTCGGCGTCGCGTGACCGTACGATCAAGCTGTGGAACACTCTAGGTGAGTGCAAGTACACGATCTCCGAAGGAGGCAGTGAGGGACACAATGATTGGGTTAGCTGCGTCAGATTCAGCCCAAACACGCTCCAGCCGACAATTGTGTCAGCCTCGTGGGACAAAACTGTGAAAGTGTGGAACCTCTCGAACTGTAAGCTGAGGTCGACTCTTGCTGGTCACACCGGATACGTGAGCACGGTGGCTGTATCACCCGATGGTTCTCTCTGTGCGAGCGGAGGCAAAGACGGTGTGGTTTTGCTGTGGGATTTGGCCGAGGGGAAGAAGCTTTACTCTCTCGAAGCTAACTCTGTGATCCATGCTCTCTGCTTCAGCCCCAATAGGTACTGGCTATGTGCTGCAACCGAGCAGGGTATTAAGATTTGGGATCTAGAGAGCAAGAGCATTGTTGAGGACTTGAAGGTTGATCTCAAAGCCGAGGCCGAGAAGTCAGACGGAAGTGGTACTGCAGCCACCAAAAAGAAGGTACACTCATAGTAGTTCATGACTCGATTATATGTTTGCGGTCGATTACAAGTTTTCTGATTTTGTGTAGATAGATGTTTCTGTAGTTGTCTCTGATGGTAGGTAAAACTGGTGATCGATTATTAACATTATTAACATCGACATCTGTTATAGTAAATGGAGACGTGTTATTGGAATGGTTCTTATGGATTGATCTATTGAAATGCAAGAAATGTTGCATGTATGCGGTTTTCTATCCTTGTTTCAATCTCAAATTGTGTAAACCTATTTGTGGGTGTTTCCCTTCCATGTAAATACCCTTCTTCTTTCGTCTGAATTTATCTTCAGTCATACATTGGCTTTGCCATAGCTTGCAGTATCTTGCTGACGAATCTTTATCAACTTGTGAAAGTGAAACCTGTGTAGCAAACTAGCAATTGTGTTTTGGTCTATATATAGATTCTATCTCGTTGCAATTTATGACTACCTTGTCAACTAAGTTCAGTGTTTGAATGGTTTCCAAGTCTCCATACACATTTGTAATTACCTGAGATTTCTTGCTTGTAACCAATTGTAATTGGTTTTGTTTATTGGTGTGGACAGGTTATTTACTGCACTAGCCTGAACTGGAGTGCGGATGGAAGCACCTTGTTCAGTGGTTATACCGATGGAGTTATTAGAGTTTGGGGCATTGGCCGTTACTAGTTAACTCATCACTGTGCTCTATATCCATCTCTCCTTGGTTGTTTCTATCTATCACTTTTTGTTTTATCAACAAACTCATAAAGTACCCTGAGATTTTGGAAGGATGTTTGGTTTTGTGTCAATTATAGGTTTGAAGGATGTTTGGTTCTATGTCAATTTTAGGTCTGTTTCTTTATCTTCTTTTGAGATTTTGCGATTTTAAGCTACTTCCAATTTGAGGCCATATGATTATTATTAATAATCAAAGCAAAATGGTTAAATCGAATTTAGTATTTTTCCTATCAAGGATACATTTGAATGTGTAAAACAACCGAGTTATGAGTAACAAAGTCCAGTGAATAAATTTTTTTTTAATTACAAGAAAGAGACAAGAATGACACTCTAATTTGACTCGTTTCTGTCCTTGCAATCCAACATTAACATATTTGTGCACAAGATTTTTTAGATTTTTTTTTCAGTTGCTGTTTTCGACCATTTAAAATTCGCCACGTAGACTGATACAGTCGAACAGCCTCTTATACTGCTGATGTGGAGTCTGTCGTATTTTAATTAGCTCCCGCCATTCCTTTTCGCGCCATGGTCTTGTCTTAAAAACTTTATCATTTCCCCATTATTTTTTTACTCAGATCTCTCTCTCTCTCGGAAGCGAGACGGAAAAAAACAAAAGCTTTAAAAAAAAAAAAAAGGAAAAAAAGACAAATCGGAAAGAACCCTAATAAGGAGAGGAAGAGCAAAAAGATAAGACAGCAGAAAGAAATGGGCATCAAGGACCTTCTCAAATTCATGAAACCTTACATTCTTCCAATTCACATCCAGAAATACGCCGGCAAACGGGTAACTTCTACCATTTCTTTTTGTTCTTAATGTTTTTGTTTCGATTTTAATTTCCGTTAATCGTTCTGGTGGTAAATTCTCTAAAAATCAAACCTTTAAATAATGCGCTTACAAATTTTTGTATTCCCAGGTGGGAATCGATGCATATTCATGGCTACACAAAGGAGGTAAGCTTCATGCTCTCTTAAATCTCCTCCATTGCGTTTTACTCATTTCTCCAATACGGAAAATACTTTGTTTTGTTAGTAAACCGTGAGAATGCAATTGAGGGAAAAAAAAAACGTGAAAATGCAATTAAACCAAGAAAACCTTATTCTCGGAATTCCCTCCCTAATGGATTCATTTTAAGTTGAAGAATGAAATAGAAAATTAATCGAAGCACTTTCGAGCTGATACTGTATTTGCTGAGTAGACTTGACTTGATGGGAAACTTTTTCCACAGCATACTCCTGCAGTATGGAGCTGTGTTTAGACATTGATGGGAAGAAGAAGCTGAGGTACATTGATTACTTCATGCACAGAATCAATCTTCTCCAACACTATGAGATTATCCCAATTGTTGTCCTTGATGGTGGTAATATGCCCTGCAAGGCTGCCACTGGAGATGAACGTCAAAGGCAAGTCTCCGTACACATCTTCTATGTTTCTTTTTCCTTTGCTCCTAATAAACTTCTTTTTTCATTTAACGAACTAAGCGTTTGTGTTTTATTGCGATTATATATCAGGAAGCGAAAAGCAAACTTTGAAGCTGCAATGGCGAAGCTTAAAGAAGGGAATGTCAGAGCAGCTACTGAGCTCTTTCAGGTGCCTATTTCTTTTCATTTCCAATGGCTTAGGACTGTTTGCCCTTAGAAGGTACTATAACTGCTAATTAGCCTCTGAAAGCTCTGGGACTTGTCTGTGTTAACTAGGAAGACATATTATTACAACGCAGTTTTTTCTTTATCTGTCTTTCGTGTCTGAATTTGAACCAGTTTCCCCAAAATCCTTCCAACATAACTTGTTCTTCTTGAATCTTAAGTCTAGCATTCTTGCTGTTTTTGGTTTGATGTATTTGGTCAGTAATCTATTCTATACTTCGCTAATAAATTTTGGTCGAGACTAGGATATTGTGTGAGCTCATGCCTATTGTCATCAATATTTGCAGAGAGCAGTTAGTGTAACATCATCCATGGCTCATCAATTGATTCAGGTATATATTGTTTATAAATTGAGTATATTTTCTGTGTGTGAAATTTGAAATCTTCTCTAGGCCCTAACAACTTCTCAGGTTCTGAAATCAGAAAACGTCGAATTTATTGTAGCTCCATATGAGGCTGATGCTCAGCTAGCATATCTATCCAGCCTCGAACTGGAACAAGGTGGGATTGCTGCTGTTATAACAGAAGACAGCGATTTACTTGCATATGGCTGCAAAGCTGTAAGATTTTTTCGTACAATAAAGCTAACTGTTTTAAGATCATTCTTTGATATGTTTCCTCAACTTCTGTATGGTAAAAGGTTATCTTTAAGATGGACCGGTATGGTAAAGGGGAGGAACTGGTTCTAGGTAATGTTTTTCAAGCCGTTGACAAAAAGCCTTCCTTCCACAATTTTGATCAAGAGCTTTTTACTGGTTAGTGACTATCCCATTTTCTTAACCTTTGATGTGACTATTCTTCCCAATGTACATTTATACATTGTTGTTGATGACTATTCTTGGTTTGGCCTTTTTCCAGCAATGTGTGTATTAGCCGGATGTGACTTTCTCCCCTCGGTTCCTGGTGTTGGCATTTCGAGAGCCCATGCATTCATCTCCAAGTACCAGAGTGTAGAACGCGTAAGCATTTACTTTCTTCGGCGATTGATTGATGCTTTCTTCCTTGATAAGGCAAAAGCTTCAGATGTGAGATCATATTGTAGGTTTTGTCTTTTCTCAAGACAAAAAAGGGCAACCTAGTTCCTGATGATTACTCCAGCTCTTTTATGGAAGCAGTTTCAGTTTTTCAGCATGCTCGAGTGTAAGTAGCTCTTGACTCAGTCATGTGTTGCTGGTATGATGGTATCTATTATTTTACGGTTCTTATCTTATTCAAATCTGTTTCAGATACGACTTTGATGCTAAGAAGCTCAAGCACTTGAAACCCTTGTCTCAGAACCTCCAGAATTTACCAGCTGAACAACTTGAGTTCCTGGGACCGTATCCTTGTTCATATTCCCTCCCGAATATTTTAAACTGTTTATAACATTCATCTCTGACAGTTTTTGTTCACCTTGACACCTAAAACTTATTAGAGATCTGTCTCCATCTGTTGCTGCTGCAGTTGCTGAAGGGAATGTTAATCCCATAACTATGGAGGCTTTTAACCGCTTCACAGTTTCTAGGAGACAGTTGAAGACGCCTGATCGATCATTCAAGGAGAAGAAAAGCTCCTTTTTGGTATGTTCTTTGTCCGAAAGTGAGGAAAGGATAGAGCTCAAAAGGACTGCAGATGAAGCTATGATCGCTTCAGAAACTGTTCTGAAGGATCCAAAGTACTTCAAACAAGATTCAGATCTACACAAACTAGCTTTGCAGCCTAACAAGGATCAGATGACAATCCGGACCATCAATCCCTCACTGATTCCGGATAACAACCCGTTCAAGATAAGAAAAAGAGATGAAATCAATATGGAATTCGCAGAGTATGGTTCGCAAGAACTGGAGGTTTCCTTTGGGACCACAACCGAAGGAATGGATGTTTCTGCTTCTTCAGCAAACTCTGACGAACACGATTGTTCAGACAATCAAAAAGAGGTTACAGTCGACTTATCCGAGCTTGATGATTATAGAACCATTCCAGACTCTGAGAAAAATAGAGAGAAGGAAATAACCAAGCCCACAGAAGAAGAGATAGTTGAAATTCAAGATCATGTGAACATTACGACAAAGAGAGTGCGTGGAGCTAAACCTAGAACCGAGAGTTTCAAAGTGAAAACAAGCTGTAGAGGTTCAGAGAACAGGAAGGCTAAGAACAACAAGAAAAGCAGTATATTAGATTTCTTTCATCGATTGTAGTAAGTATATTCATCTTTTTGGTTAATTTTATTATGTGTAATCTCTTCTTCGCGTCTTTGTAACTCTTTAACCCTATATTATATAAACCTTTTTTAAGTTAATTTATGAAGTTACTCAAAGATCACAGAAACGAAATGGGTCATATATCATACTCAAACAACAACATTTAACACAAAAACACAAACATATTTGTATACCCTTGTATATATGCAACTATACATATATATAGTATAGGCATATAGCGATAACTGGACTAATACAATATATGGTTTGACATATAAAACCCACATTTTTGTTTATTTTTGTCTTCTTGGAATCATCAACGTCTGCGTGAAGCTGGCTCTTTTTGGGCGTTGAAGTAAACTGTTGCCACAGGTAAACCAAGATTGAGATGACCAGCGAACATTCGGGTGCTGAAATTGGCTCGCGAGGGAGGCTGCTGCACCATCAGACCCACCGGTGAGTTTTGCCGGAAGAGTACCAATATGTAACGGTGAATTCCCACCGGTGGTCTCGGTTCCATATATGGCAGTATCTCCTTTCCTGCAAAATTTTTACAAAAAGTTATATGAACATGCAAATGCAAGTCTGTATATCCCTTGTTTTTAACCTTTTTCGTGACTCGAACTGAAGATAATAATCAAACAATTGTTTCACTAGAGAACAAGTTTATATGTTTGTTTCGTATTGTACAAATATTTATGGCGTTTTTTATTCATTGTGTTTTGTCGTGTTTAAGGTTTTTATAAGATGACATGTGTGGGTTGTTTAGTTGATATACATCAATGTACACGTACGGACATTCACGAGGTGTTGGTTTTACAAGACACCACACGTCGTTATCGTGTGGCATAACTTGAAACCGGGGAAAAATTAAATAGTGACTCTTAACTTCAAAAACCAGCGGAAATTTCTCTGGAAATGTTAATGCAGGAAAGTGGTATTTGGCTATTGCCAAAATATAATATAAACAGAAGCAACCTATGAGAGAGTCATGCATATTTAGTTTTTTGGACCAATCAGTATCGTAATACGGGAACCATTTCATATCAAACTGAAAGCAACACGTTGCAAAGATAATATGTTTAAATGAACAAAAGAGGTTAGTGTACCGGGTTTTTCAATTAGATCTAAACACGTCATCCTGAACAGAATTAACCACTAATATATTTTTCTTAATGGCTTTCACACTAACGTCAACTACTCTCTCCGTTTTAGAATAACTAACATTTTAGAAAAAAAAAATATTATTGGTTGAGTTGTATGTAGTTTTTGTTGTTAACCTTTAATTGTTACAAAAAAATGTAATTTTTTATTTAAAAAACACTTTTTAAATATTTGTATACATTTAACATCAAATATTTTGAAACGAAATAAGTAATAAACGAGCAAAATTCTTTCCCTTTGTAGGGAAAAAACATAGCAAAGAATACTGAATACTGACTTAATTAAACAGAATCCTAAGAAATAGAGCCAAACAAGTAAATTCAAAAGTCGGAAACTAAGTTTTGAACTATATTCCTTTTTCTTACCTCTTGAGGGGATGGTGCCTCCGGGGATATCCACGACAATCCTGAAACATAAGAAAAAATTGTATTATATTTATACGTTTCTTCTTGTACATAAAAAATTTATAATTATTAGAAGAATAGGAAAAAATTTGATGTACGCAAGTTCAAAAACAAAACAAAAAAAAGGAGTGCATCACGCGTACGCACCAATGGACCCATTCTCTCATATTCGGCTCGCTCGGGCTAGGTGCGTCCGGGTCAGTCATCACCTGCATGCATCCAATATTTACAATCTACAATAATTTTTCAACTCATCTAACATCTCACCAATCGATCGAACACATCTAGCTCAAATAAGCAAACGATATTATTAATCTCAGCTAAACCGTGAGTAACTCATATTATTAATTATGCATTGAAAACACAGTGAAATTTATCTATGTATATTGAATACATCAACATCTATGTGAATGTATCAGCAAATTATGTATAAAGTAATGTATGCATGCATGTTCCTATAATAATCATCATGATCATGAAGAAGCATGTGAGCGTAATAGCGTATATGTATCCACAAAGATATGTTTGCAAGTGAGAGTTGACAAAAATAAAATGTTTGCAACTGAGATTGCACATAAGTGGATATAGAAGTGAGAAGATGAATATATAAAAACATACGAGAGTGTAAAGCTCATCGGCGTGGCCGGAGATGTTGACTTTAGGAGGGTTGACTGCAGCGGAGGGTTTGATCTCGCAGCCGTTAGTGATGTGTTTGGGGCCAAAGTAGACAGACATATTTGCGGTGGGGATAAACATGTCCAATACATCTCCGATCACTCTTCCTACCACCAAAGGATCAACCGAAGCTGCCATCGTTCCACGGAGAGAGAGAGAGAAGCGGAAAGAGAGAGAGAAAGAGAGAGATACTTTTATATTTTAAATAGAATCGTTGTCTTGTTTAGCGCATGTCCGAAATCTGATGGACATCTATGTAATCGTTTATATAGATTTTTTTGTTTTGTTTTTTACAAAAAGAAATATTTTAATAATTCCATCGACAAATACAATGAATTTGAACCATGATGCAGTCCATTTTATTTGTGATTTTTTACGCCGTCGAACTATTTTACACTTTAGATTGTTTTCTTCTTTTGCGTGTTTGCGTTTTATATGTAAAAATTCTTGTATTTATTTTCAGTTCTTACAAAATATCTGTTGAAAGCTGTCTGAATACATATTATATAATATAATATAATATATTGTTTTAAACAACGTGATATATGTCAAAACAAAACACAAATGTGATCGAATTAACTATAGAACATCCACCACCAAAAAAATATTAATAGCTTATCATAGTTATAGAATTTAAGAAATATTATATTCGGATTGCATTTCGTATATTTTCTTTGGTAACGTCTTAGTATTCTTATATTAATACTACTAATAATTATATGATAGAATATTTTGAACAACATGATGCGTTATTTTGGCTTTGATCGATACTTTTGCGGAATCGCGGAACGACGGGAAAGAATTTTGCAAAATGAAATAATCTATTTATTATTTGATTTGATTTTCTACAAAATAATTTTTTATGTATTTTTTGTAAGCAGAAACGCAGTTTGCATTTTTGTGTGTATTTTTCCATTTTACAGATTTTTGTTGATTGATAAAAAAACTTGCGGAATCGCGTTTAAAAACACAATTTCACCATTTCACCGGTTACCAATCAAAGTTTTTGTCATCAATGATAGGAAGATTACGAGACAATAATCCACTCGTGCCTTGTAATTTATGGTCACGCCCAGATTCGTCACTGTTATGCAAACCATCAAAATGAATGCTATATTTGATCCCAAAAAAAAACTAATAATAATGTTGAATTGATTTAGAATCAAAACAGTACACAAATATGCGTAAAACAATAAAATTAGATGCGTTAAGTACATATGTAATCTTTCAAACCTATAGTCTGGTGTTTCCGTGGAATTTATAAATTACAGTATTGGCTTGGTCGGATTAGTGTTTCCGGAGAATTTAGAAATTACAGTATAAGCGAAGGAAGAAACAAAAGGAAAAGGTTAAAAGAAGCTTTGGTCGGATTAGTGTAACCTACAGGCCATGCATAGGCCATTTCATACATCCAGAATTTTGACACGTGCCATATGTTGGTCTCAGCTGTTACCCACGATCCCTTTTGTTCATCCTGCCACGTGACACTATTTCTGCCGTCAGTTACGAGGATCACCCCTCACACATGGACGATCCTTGTGGCCCTCGTTTTGGTAAACTTATTTCTACTGGTGGTAACTCTTTTATAAACATATATAATAAAGGCCGGCCCATTTTTTATATTAAAAAAAAAAAATTTCATGTACATGTCCCTTTACAACATTTTGTCATGTATCTCACTGGTTAAATATTACAACCGTCGCTGTTAAAAATGAAACCCGACACCTAATTTAGGGTCGGTCTCATTATTTGTTCATTTTTAATGATAATAAACTCTATAAAACCAAAATATTTTCAGAAACATCTTCAATGATAACTCATTTTGAAACAGGCAACTAAAAAACGAAGTAAGCCACAGGCCCACACGATAACGGCAAGCAAATAATGAACAAGATTAAAAAGCCTGCATCAAGCCAGATCTGATATGCAAGCGTTGGGCTTTCATCATTAGGAGCCCAAATTTCGCAAAAAATTCCCGATCCAACATTTAGCCAGGTACTTGCTTGACTTTGAGATAGGACGCAATAATTAACCAGAACCATAGAGACCGTTTGACTTTGAGCAGATATATTTTTATCTGTAAAAAGTCGAATTTTGTTGGCTCTTCTTATCGATTGATATATAAAGTGTACGTGGTAATATATGTCAAAATGAAGATAATGATTATTATTATACAATCTATAGTTTAAAGTACAATTAGCAGTAATAATCAACAAAAGTTACATGGAATCTCCTCGTTTTTTTCAAACTGATCTTTTATCTCACAAACCATTTGACCCAAAAAAAAAAAACAACCATCTAGATTTATACTATTTAAACACTCAATAATGAAAACAAGACCCTTTTTTTAACACGACGGAAAATCACGAGGAGGAGGAAGCAGAGTCTGTGAAGGAAGAGGACCATCTTTAACGATAAATCCCATGGCCAATCCCCAAGAGGTATGTTGCTCGAGATGACAGTGAATAAACCAAACTCCTGGATTATCCGCATTGATCCTTATCGCCGCCCATCCTCCCGTCGGCACCGCGATCGTGTTCCTCTCCGGCGGATCCACCAAATTATACCTCGCCGGATCCTTCTCCGGGTCGAAATTCCCGAATCCTCTTCCCACGACGAAGAAATTGTGTCCGTGTACATGTAACGGATGGTTCTCGATGTTCAAAAAACTCGTCCCCTGAAACACGATCTCCAGCCTCGCTCCGAATTCCACCTCGAACAGCTTCGTCCCGAATTCGGCGTTCATGTTTTCCGTCACCGGATTCACTCCCGTGAAATCGAATCTGTTCCGCGGATTCTCCGGGAAATCGAGCGTGAATACTCCTTTGCTCTGTTTCTTAAAGTAGCTCTCTAGGATCGAGATCGGAGGTCGGACGAATGAGATGTTGTTCATCGACGCGAAGAAACTTTTCCCGTTGTAGCCGTCGCAGGTCCGATTCGACGGACAATCCTGGAGGTTGAGACTGATCGTGGTGATCACGCGCTTGTCGATCGCCGTCGGGACTTTGCACGGGTACTCCGTCGATCCAAGGCTCTTGATGCTCTCGGAGAATCTCGTCGCGAATTTCGTGTCCAGCATATCGGGGAGCACCGCGCGTGTCGACAACGTCGTCGTCAATCGCCGTCTGTTAACGTAATTAACCGATTTGTTTTTGCCGTTGTAACGGAGGAAGCCGACGGTGGTCGAGTTGTCGAAGGGGAAGACGGAAGTGACGTAAGGAGTTGCGGCGATGAGAAATTCGCCGCCGGAGCGCTGGTCGGTGCGGAGGAGGAGGGTGGTTGTTTGACCGGGAGCTATCATGATAGCTTTGGTATGAACCGGTTTGGTGTAAACCGCGTCGACCTCGACCACGGTTAGCGTGTGATTTGATACGGCGAAGAAGAGCTCGTTGTTTAGAGCTGCGTTGATTATGCGGAGGATGTATGTTTTTCCGGCGTCCACTGTCGCCGTAAAAGTATCTGCACACATGCAAGATTTTTAGTTTTATGCGGTGAGTGAGAAACCAAACGAATTGGACCGGATTTTGGAAAAGGTTTTAAACCATCGGTTAAGAGAAAAGAGTGTGTGACCACCTTTGGTAGAAGAACAAGGGTAAAGTGGGCCGGGAAGGCCATTAAGTGTGTAAGCGTCGGAAACTTTAGCTCCAGCTCCTGTTTTCATCATCTCCTTCTCTACCTTGTCCACATCATCATTCCACCATTCGCCTAACATATATCGTCCAAATTCACATCTCAATTCATAATTCTTCAAGATATTAACGTTCATGTTGATTATCTTGGTAATCATGTAAATGTAACGTGAACAAGCAGTTTCTATTATGACTAGTTTTATATAATCTAATTTGTACCGAGTATAATGGGAATTTCGGACTGGATGTGGCTGCCGGAGAAGGGATAAGGACGTCGTGGATAGATGATGAAGGCACCGTAGACGGAGGCTCGTTGCCATGAGTGATGAGCATGCCAAAGGAGTGTGCCTCTTTGATCCTCCACTTTGAATCGGTATGTGTATGATTGTTTCGATCTTATTGGACACTGCGTTATGTAAGCCGGTCCATCTGCCCAACCGGTCCGGTATTGCCTTAACCCATGCCTATAAGCGTACTCACATTATAAAGAATCAATTGATCATTAAACAAAATAATATTGTTAACAGTGGTTAAATTATAGAAATGCATGCATGAGTTTGTTACCAGTGAATAGTTGTATTGTGAGCAATCCGGTTAGTCACTTTGATTTCTACGGTGTCACCTTCGTGAACCACCACCGATGGCCCCGGATATTGTCCGTTCACCGTTAAAAGTTGCTTCGTATGGCACAATCGAGTTACCTTCTTCCATTCCACCTAAAATTCCTCCACAAAAAATCCAGAAAACAAAGAAGGTTACGATTTATCATATATAAAATTATGTTATATCATTCTACAATTGATAAAGATGTGAGTATAAGGAATAAATATGGTGCATATATATACAAATGCTGTATAATTTTGCCGCAGATACTTAATTATCATCAAAAATAAAGTTGTAGCAGTAAATAAAATGAATCTCAGTCTCCGTGAAATTTGCTTACATTAAAGTGAAATCGACGGGTGGTTGAAGCCGAAGAGTAAGGCAGAAGAGTTGCAAACATAAGCAAAGAGGTCGAAATCACTAGAATTCCGAAATTCTCCATTTTCTTCATGTAGAATAGTACTATTCTTTGTTTTTCTTAGCTTACACTTAGCTATGAATCTTGATTAAGTTTGTCAATGTGAAGATTCCTTTATATAGGATCAAACTGGGTTTCCTTTCTACTTTAAATATTATTTTATAAAAGTTTCTGTTGAAGTACCTATATTTTGAATTTTTTTGATTAAACCCCCCATAAGATGATTCTTTGCCCAAAAAAATGGTGGGATATTCTAATAATCACCGGTAAGTGAACGGACCTGTGTTTTATATATATTGAAGATTCTAAATCTCTCAGATATATTATATAGTCATCTGAACCTGACTCATCTCAGCCGGAGTTGATCATAATGCTATGTAAAATATAAATAAACTAGCCGTTTCCACTGATTTATTATCACTACGTACATACATATGGCATGCATGAAAATATAATTATTTTTAGATTCAAATATCTTTAGTTGAATATTTCGACTACATACAGTTTAAATATTTCTCCCCATCGACCCCTAAACCCACGTGAGACATCCCCAATGAACCATACTCATTTTACAAAAGCTAGCTCCCCACCTATGTTTAATATATTGA